AGGTGTCTTCACTCCGACCGTGGGGGTGAGTTTCGCTCCGGCATTCTCGCTGGATTCTATCGCGAGCAGGGCATCCGCCAGTCCTGGACGCTTCCAGAGTCCCCACAGCAGAATGGGGTTGCTGAGCGCCGCATAGGCTTGGTCATGGAGATTGCATGCACCTCCATGATCCACGCCCGTGCGCCCCAGCGGTTCGGTACGCCGCTCACCAGCTGAACCTCTGGCCACGTGTCTCTCGGCCAGAGGCTTCACCGACCAGTCTTTGGACCGGGTCCCCTGGTGTTGCGTCGCGTTTTCGTGTCTGGGGCTGCTTGGCGCTTGTTCGAGACACCTTCGCGGATAAGCTCTCCCCTTGCGCCCTTCCCTGTGTCTTCCTTGGTTTCCCGGTTGACTCCTCTGACTTCACCTTTTACCACCCTCCCCTTCACCAGTTCTTTGACTCCCGCGACGTTCGTTTTGTCGAGTCAGTCCCCTACTACATCCGGTACCCCTGTCGAGGTCTTTCGGTACCTCCTCACCCTCTCTTCCTGACTCCCGCCCCCCCTCCTGCCCCTCAGGTACAGCCCCCTCCCCCTGGTCCAGCCCCGTCAGGTATGTCACACGCTACCCCTCCCCCCTCGATAGGCCCTCAGGTGCCGTCCCCTTCCCCACAGTCCTCCTCCCAGCCTACAGCAGACCCTGTGGGAGCTGGTTTTGGTGACGAGGACCCTGGAGGTGCTAGCTCTGGAGGTGCTAGAGTCGGAGCAGAGAGCGTACCTGTGCGAGGTCCTGGTTCTTGGGGTGCTGGAGTTGGAGCTGAGCCCGTGTCTGTAGGAGACTCTAGTATTCGGGGAGCTGGTGTTAGTGAAGCTGTCCCTGGGGGTGCTACGACTGGGGGTGCACCCTCTGCTGGACCTTGAGAGCCCAGGACGGGCCCTGTTACTTCTTGTGGTGCTGGCTCTGGGGGTGGTGCGCCTGGTTCTTTGGAGAGCGGTCCTGGGGCTACCGCCGCTCCGGACTCTACTCCTCCCCCCCACCCCTACCCGACCCGGCACCAGGCCCGTGCTCGCCGTGCCCGTGAGGAGCAGCTCGAGTTGGAGCGAGAGGAGAGAGAGTTGGAGCGGCGGCAGCTAGAGCTACATGGAGCAGCAGCAGCAGCAGCAGCAGCAGCAACCGCCACCTCCTCCTCCTGTCTCTGGTCTTCGGTCCCTCGGTCTTCCCTCTCCCTCTCCTCCCGTCTCTGGTCCTCCACTTCCTCCTCTTGACCCCTCCCCAGCGGTTTTCCCTCCTCCTGAGCCCCCGCTGTCCCCTCCTCTTTCCCGCACTTAGCCTTCGCGTCGCTCTCCTCGTACTCGTCCCTCGTTCCCTGTTCCTTTCACTTACCTTTGTACTGCCCTGTTTTGTTCTAGTCCGTCTCGTTCGTCTCCTTCTGTACTTCCTTCTCCTCCTGAGTCGGCTCTCACTGCTTCCCTCTCTACTCCTATCACTGACTACTACCGCACGTACCGACCTTTTCCCTCTCGTGTTCTCGCCTCTCTTGTTACCCACCCTCGTGCCTCTCCGTCTTCTGTGTCCGCTCTTACTGCCGCAGTCACTGAGTTTGCCTCCACTCGCCGCCTTGACTACGCCACCGGTCTTGTGGCTGCTCCTCCTACCAGTCCTCTAGCCGTCGGGGGTGAGTCTGCCCTTGGCTGTGACGCCCTAGAGGACAGGCAGTTTGAGCTAGAGTTCCTGGCAGCCGCTTCCCCACATCTCTGTGCCATGCTGCTCGCCCCTGAGGGAGACCCCGACACCCTTGACATACCGACTCCTCGCACTTACGCTGAGGCAGTGTCAGGGCCTTGGGCCTCTTAGTGGAGAGCTGCCATGGACGCAGAGATGGCCTCCTACAGATCCACAGGCACCTATGTCGACGAGGTTCCCCCCCCTGGGGCGAACGTAGTTGATGGCATGTGGATCTACAGGGTGAAACGGCCACCGAGTTCTCCTCCGGTATTCTCTGCGCGCTACGTGGCTAGAGGTTTCAGTCAGCGCGAGGGAGTTGACTTCTTTCAAACCTTCACGCCTACCCCAAAGATGACCACTCTTCGGGTGTTACTGCACGTAGCAGCACAGAGAGACTACGAGTTACACTCTCTCTACTTCTCCACTGCTTTCCTTCAGGGTAGCTTCCACGAGGAGGTCTGGCTGCGTCGTCCCTCTGCCTTCACTGACACTTTCCCTCCTGGGACCCAGTGGAGGCTGAGGCGACCTGACTACGGTCTTCGTCAGGCTCCTCGTGAGTGGCACGACACTCTTCATTCTACCCTCTCTGACCTTGGGTTCCAGCCGTGTTCTGCCGACCCGTCGATGTTCGTTCGTCGTGGCTCCACACCGTTCTTTGTTCTGGTCTACGTCGACGACCTGGTTTTCGCCACTGCTGACAGGGTTGCCTTGGCAGACGTGAAGTCCGAACTGCAGAAGAGACACACGTGCACTGACCTTGGTGAGCTGCGTCACTACCTTGGCCTGCAGATCACCAGGGACAGAGCTGCTCGCACCATTACACTCTCACAGTCACACATGGTGCAGCAGGTCCTTCAGCGGTTCGAGCTTCAGCACTCCACAGTACAGCGCACACCTCTTGCTGTTGACCACAGACTTACTGGACCCTTTCCTGACGAGCCGTTTGAGTCCAGTGGTCCCTACGCAGAGCTAGTGGGCTGCCTCATGTACCTGATGACTTGTACTCGCCCGGACCTCGCCTTCCCTCTCAGCGTCCTTGCTCGCTTTGTTGCGCCAGGGAGGCACCGTCCTGTTCACTGGACGGCAGCTGTGAGGGTGGCGAAGTACCTAGCGACGACATCAGGCGTGGGGCTAGTTCTTGGTGGGCAGCAGCCTGTCGTACTTACTGGTCACTGTGACTCTTCTTATGCTGACGACGCTGAGACTCACAGGTCTACTCAGGGGTACTGTTTCAGCTTAGGTTCTGGAGCTGTTTCCTGGCGGTCCACGCGTTCCTCTTCAGTCTCGACCTCTACAGCTGAGGCTGAGATCTACGCTGGTGCCATGGCAGCACAGGAGCTGCGTTGGTTGACATTTTTGCTCGCCGACCTTGGTGAGCGGCCGAGCTCTGCACCGACCTTGTTCACTGACAACAAGGCGTCGATTCTCCTTTGCCGAGAGCCGCGACTGGAGAGCAGAGTGAAGCACATTAACGTCAGGTACTTTCTTCTGCGAGAGTTGCAGAGACGTGGACAGGCTCGCTTCGAGTTTGTGGAGTCCGAGGCCAACACTGCAGACATCTTCACCAAGGCGCTTCCGCCTTGTGACCACCAGAGGTGTTGTGTGCAGTTAGGCCTTGTTGACACAGTTTCTAGTCGTATATAGGCTTGAGTCTACTGTTTGCTTTGCTTGTACTCTTGCTATACACACTTGTGAACTCTCGAACTGGCCTTGTGGCCCCTGTTGCTTGTGCTCAGAGTGTGTGGTGACGTGATCCACCCTGAGCTTTGTTTCTTTGTGACTGGTCTTGTGACCGTACACTTTGGTTTTGCTAGACACCCCTCACTTAGGCTATGGGGGTGTGTCAAATGTTGTAGCTTGTAGTGAAGTTTGTCTTAGGGGGTACAGATGTTAGGGTTTGTTATGTTTACCCCAACCCACATCAATGAACCAACACTTTCATTCTTGAGACGGAACACCTAGGGTCCGAGATGGCTACCGCAGTGTGCCCAGCAGCTAAACTCATCCTTTCCCAGTACAGGCACCGTTTGTATGTAACTCCTTCATGCGCCTTTCAATATGGCAGACGCCGGAACACCTGTGGTCCCAGATGGCCACCACAGTGTGCCCAGCAGCTAAACTCGTCCTTTCCCAGTACAGGCACCGTTTGTATGTAACTCCTTCATCCGCCCTTCAATATGGCAAATGCCGGAACACCTGGGGTCCCAGATGGCCACCGCAGTGTGCCCAGCAGCTAAACTCGTCCTTTACCAGTGCAGGCACCGTTTGTATGTAGCTCCTTCATTCGCCTTTCAATATGGCAAATGCCGGAACACCTGTGGTCCCAGATGGCCACCGCAGTGTGCCCAGCAGCTAAACTCGTCCTTTCCCAGTACAGGCACCGTTTGTATGTAACTCCTTCATGCGCCTTTCAATATGGCAGATGCCGGAACACTGGGCATCCCAGATGGCCACTGCAGAGCGCGAGCACCTCTTCTGGCAGAGAGACGGCGTCTTCTCGTGAGACACGTCAAAGGCAAGCATCCACGCTCCCATGCTCGCATCCTCGTTCACGAGCATTCTCATCCTGCAACAGTGGGAGTATGGGATCACAGGAGTTGGGTTTCGAAACGAGGAACAACTCCCTCTCGTGAGACACGTCGAAGGCAAGCATCCACGCTCCCATGCTCGCATCCTCGTTCACGAGCATTCTCATCCTGTGAGATAGGAGAACAGAGATGGGAGAACAGAGATGGGAAAACAGAGATGGGAGAACAGAGATGGGAGAACAGAGATGGGAGAACAGAGATGGGAGAACAAGGCACGACTTTTGAAAGGCCTCAATGCGTGCAACTCTTCTGGCAGAGGGATAGCGTCTTCGTTAATGACGCCTCAAAGGCGAGCATCCACGCTCCCATGCTCGCATCCTCGTTCAGAAACATCCTCATCCTGCGGACCGACCGTGAGAGGAATGAGACCGGAGACGGGAGAACAAGGTACGGCTTTTGAGGCGCCTCCATACTCCTCGCACCCTCAAACCCTCCTCCCCTTGGGAATGGCGTCGAGAATTTGGACCGCGTCGCAGGAGAGGGGGAGATGGGGGCGTAGGCCTGCAGGGAATATGTGCACGGCTCACCTCGTTGCAAGACAAATGCAAGGCATCTACAACCCACCTGCCCTTGGGAATGGAGTTGAGAGTCTGGACGACGTCATGGGAGAGCAAGTAGATCGGGCTGGCTGGACGCATACAGGAAATACATGCACGGCTCACCACGTTGCATGACAAGCTCGGCTCATCTTGCCGCAATACAACTGACCTGCCCTTGGGGATGGAGTTGAGAATCTGGACGACGTCGTAGGAGAGCAAGTAGATGGCAGCCGATGCATACAGGTGATACTCCGCCCCCAGCAGCCACGCCTGGGGCTCAAACCTGCACAGAGCAAGACACAAGAAGAAAGCGGAAAGGAAGAAGGTGAGCCCAGGTAAGGGTCAGGGATGAGCGTGAGTGAGCAGGGAGCAGGTGACGATGAAGCTGTTGCATTCGTTGAAAAGACAGCATTGTTGACAAGACAGCATTGCTCAGGAGAACAGCAGGAGTGGTCGCCTGACTTGACGGCGATTGAAAACATTAGGAACACTAGGAATACCAAACATTAGGGTGTTCTGAGTCGACTCAAACCATAGGGATACCAGACTGCTTTGGAAACTGAGTACACTGCATGCTGCATGCACTGAGAAAGCTGCCAAAAGGAGTGCCAGCGAGCGTGATCTTGGTGTAAAATGGCAACTCACCACCTCTTCTTGGGGTCAGTGATCACGTTTCCCTTTTTGAAGCATCTTTTGAGGCGCCTCAAAAGTCGATTTAGGTGCAGTGGCAGGCAGGCAACTCACCACCTCTTCTTCGGGTCAGTGATCACATTTCCCTTTTTGAAGCATCCCAGGTACGTTCGAGGTGACGCCCTTGGCTTGGCGATCAGAGCAGAGAGGCGCTCTGTAGGGACAGGCAGCAGAGGGCGGGTGTCGTGAGAGCAAGGAATCTGAATGTCGCCAGCAACAGACGATCCTTACAGAAATCATCGTCGTGCGTCTGCTCGCAGAAAGCTCACGCACGCACGCACGCACGCACGCACGCGCGCACCCACGCACGCACGCACGCACGCACGCACGCACGCACGCACGCACGCACGCACGCACGCACGCACGCACGCACGCACGCACGCACGCACGCACGCACGCATGCACGCACGCACGCACGCACGCACGCACGCACGCACGCACGCACACACGCACGCACGCACGCACGCACCCAGGCACAATCCCAAAAGGCACCCCTGCTCTGCCTGACTTCAAATGGATGTAATGTGCCCATCTGGCTGACATATTCAAAGCACTTGGGTTTGGGACTTCTTAAAGCCCGGCTTCACAGAGCCTCGGGAGGTGTATCTAAGACGGGCGCACCTGGCATCAAGAAGATGTCAACGTCTATTTTGACGTAGAACTTGGCTTCGTAGAGCTTGACACACACACGCACGCACGCACACACACACACACACGCACGCACGCACGCACGCACGCACGCACGCAACACACACACACACACACACATACACACACACACACACACACACATACACACACACACACATACCCACACACGCACACAAACACACATACACACACGCACACACACACACTCGCGCATGCGCGCACACATACAATCCCAGCAGGCACCCCTCCACTACGAGGGCTCAAGTGGACGTGCCCATCTGCCTCACTTCAAATGGATGTGCCCATCTGCCTCACTTCACATGGATGCGCCCATCTGCCTCACTTCACATGGATGTGCCCATCTGGGTCACTTCACATGGATGTGCCCATCTGCCTCACTTCACATGGATGTGCCCATCTGCCTCACTTCACATGGATGTGCCCATCTGCCTCACTTCACATGGATGTGCCCATCTGCCTCACTTCACATGGATGTGCCCATCTGCCTCACTTCACATGGATGTGCCCATCTGCCTCACTTCACATGGATGCGCCCATCTGCCTCACTTCACATGGATGTGCCCATCTGCCTCACTTCACATGGATGTGCCCATCTGCCTCACTTCACATGGATGTGCCCATCTGCCTCACTTCACATGGATGTGCCCATCTGCCTCACTTCACATGGATGTGTCCATCTGCCTCACTTCACATGGATGTGCCCATCTGCCTCACTTCACATGGATGTGCCCATCTGCATCACATGGATGTGCCCATCTGCCTCACTTCACATGGATGTGCCCATCTGCCTCACTTCACATGGATGTGCCCATCTGCCTCACTTCACATGGATGTGCCCATCTGCCTCACTTCACATGGATGTGCCCATCTGCCTCACTTCACATGGATGTGCCCATCTGCCTCACTTCACATGCATGTGCCCATCTGCCTCACTTCACATGGATGTGCCCATCTGCCTCACTTCACATGGATGTGCCCATCTGCCTCACTTCACATGGATGTGCCCATCTGCCTCACTTCACATGGATGTGCCCATCTGCCTCACTTCACATGGATGTGCCCATCTGCCTCACTTCACATGGATGTGCCCATCTGCCTCACTTCACATTGATGTGCCCATCTGCCTCACTTCACATGGATGTGCCCATCTGCCTCACTTCACATGGATGTGCCCATCTGCCTCACTTCACATGGATGTGCCCATCTGCCTCACTTCACATGGATGTGCCCATCTGCCTCACTTCACATGGATGCGCCCATCTGCCTCACTTCACATGGATGTGCCCATCTGCCTCACTTCACATGGATGTGCCCATCTGCCTCACTTCACATGGATGTGCCCATCTGCCTCACTTCACATGGATGTGCCCATCTGCCTCACTTCACATGGATGTGCCCATCTGCCTCACTTCACATGGATGCGCCCATCTGCCTCACTTCACATGGATGTGCCCATCTGCCTCACTTCACATGGATGTGCCCATCTGCCTCACTTCACATGGATGTGCCCATCTGCCTCACTTCACATGGATGTGCCCATCTGCCTCACTTCACATGGATGTGCCCATCTGCCTCACTTCACATGGATGCGCCCATCTGCCTCACTTCACATGGATGTGCCCATCTGCCTCACTTCACATGGATGTGCCCATCTGCCTCACTTCACATGGATGTGCCCATCTGCCTCACTTCACATGGATGTGCCCATCTGCCTCACTTCACATGGATGTGCCCATCTGCCTCACTTCACATGGATGCGCCCATCTGCCTCACTTCACATGGATGTGCCCATCTGCCTCACTTCACATGGATGTGCCCATCTGCCTCACTTCACATGGATGTGCCCATCTGCCTCACTTCACATGGATGTGCCCATCTGCCTCACTTCACATGGATGTGCCCATCTGCCTCACTTCACATGGATGTGCCCATCTGCCTCACTTCACATGGATGTGCCCATCTGCCTCACTTCACATGGATGTGCCCATCTGCCTCACTTCACATGGATGCGCCCATCTGCCTCACTTCACATGGATGTGCCCATCTGCCTCACTTCACATGGATGTGCCCATCTGCCTCACTTCACATGGATGTGCCCATCTGCCTCACTTCACATGGATGTGCCCATCTGCCTCACTTCACATGGATGTGCCCATCTGCCTCACTTCACATGGATGTGCCCATCTGCCTCACTTCACATGGATGTGCCCATCTGCATCACATGGATGTGCCCATCTGCCTCACTTCACATGGATGTGCCCATCTGCCTCACTTCACATGGATGTGCCCATCTGCCTCACTTCACATGGATGTGCCCATCTGCCTCACTTCACATGGATGTGCCCATCTGCCTCACTTCACATGGATGTGCCCATCTGCCTCACTTCACATGCATGTGCCCATCTGCCTCACTTCACATGGATGTGCCCATCTGCCTCACTTCACATGGATGTGCCCATCTGCCTCACTTCACATGGATGTGCCCATCTGCCTCACTTCACATGGATGTGCCCATCTGCCTCACTTCACATGGATGTGCCCATCTGCCTCACTTCACATGGATGCGCCCATCTGCCTCACTTCACATGGATGTGCCCATCTGCCTCACTTCACATGGATGTGCCCATCTGCCTCACTTCACATGGATGTGCCCATCTGCCTCACTTCACATGGATGTGCCCATCTGCCTCACTTCACATGGATGTGCCCATCTGCCTCACTTCACATGGATGCGCCCATCTGCCTCACTTCACATGGATGTGCCCATCTGCCTCACTTCACATGGATGTGCCCATCTGCCTCACTTCACATGGATGTGCCCATCTGCCTCACTTCACATGGATGTGCCCATCTGCCTCACTTCACATGGATGTGCCCATCTGCCTCACTTCACATGGATGCGCCCATCTGCCTCACTTCACATGGATGTGCCCATCTGCCTCACTTCACATGGATGTGCCCATCTGCCTCACTTCACATGGATGTGCCCATCTGCCTCACTTCACATGGATGTGCCCATCTGCCTCACTTCACATGGATGTGCCCATCTGCCTCACTTCACATGGATGTGCCCATCTGCCTCACTTCACATGGATGTGCCCATCTGCCTCACTTCACATGGATGTGCCCATCTGCCTCACTTCACATGGATGCGCCCATCTGCCTCACTTCACATGGATGTGCCCATCTGCCTCACTTCACATGGATGTGCCCATCTGCCTCACTTCACATGGATGTGCCCATCTGCCTCACTTCACATGGATGTGCCCATCTGCCTCACTTCACATGGATGTGTCCATCTGCCTCACTTCACATGGATGTGCCCATCTGCCTCACTTCACATGGATGTGCCCATCTGCATCACATGGATGTGCCCATCTGCCTCACTTCACATGGATGTGCCCATCTGCCTCACTTCACATGGATGTGCCCATCTGCCTCACTTCACATGGATGTGCCCATCTGCCTCACTTCACATGGATGTGCCCATCTGCCTCACTTCACATGGATGTGCCCATCTGCCTCACTTCACATGCATGTGCCCATCTGCCTCACTTCACATGGATGTGCCCATCTGCCTCACTTCACATGGATGTGCCCATCTGCCTCACTTCACATGGATGTGCCCATCTGCCTCACTTCACATGGATGTGCCCATCTGCCTCACTTCACATGGATGTGCCCATCTGCCTCACTTCACATGGATGTGCCCATCTGCCTCACTTCACATTGATGTGCCCATCTGCCTCACTTCACATGGATGTGCCCATCTGCCTCACTTCACATGGATGTGCCCATCTGCCTCACTTCACATGGATGTGCCCATCTGCCTCACTTCACATGGATGTGCCCATCTGCCTCACTTCACATGGATGCGCCCATCTGCCTCACTTCACATGGATGTGCCCATCTGCCTCACTTCACATGGATGTGCCCATCTGCCTCACTTCACATGGATGTGCCCATCTGCCTCACTTCACATGGATGTGCCCATCTGCCTCACTTCACATGGATGTGCCCATCTGCCTCACTTCACATGGATGCGCCCATCTGCCTCACTTCACATGGATGTGCCCATCTGCCTCACTTCACATGGATGTGCCCATCTGCCTCACTTCACATGGATGTGCCCATCTGCCTCACTTCACATGGATGTGCCCATCTGCCTCACTTCACATGGATGTGCCCATCTGCCTCACTTCACATGGATGTGCCCATCTGCCTCACTTCACATGGATGTGCCCATCTGCCTCACTTCACATGGATGTGCCCATCTGCCTCACTTCACATGGATGTGCCCATCTGCCTCACTTCACATGGATGTGCCCATCTGCCTCACTTCACATGGATGTGCCCATCTGCCTCACTGCACATGGATGTGCCCATCTGCCTCACTTCACATGGATGTGCCCATCTGCCTCACTTCACATGGATGTGCCCATCTGCCTCACTTCACATGGATGTGCCCATCTGCCTCACTTCACATGGATGTGCCCATCTGCCTCACTTCAAATGGGTTTGGGACGCCTTAAAAGCCCGGCTTCACGGAGCCTGGGGAGGTCCATCTAAGATGGGCGCACCTGGCATGAGGAAAATGTCGTCGTCTATTTTGATGTAGTACTTGGCTTCATAGAGCTTGAAGGCCGTCGTGAAGAACAGCAGACTGTGGGACAGGGATCGGAGATTGTGAGAGCAGATTGCTTTTGAGTTCACCTCGACAGGGATCGGAGATTGTGAGAGCAGGTGGAGACAGGAGTGAGGAGAGGTGTAATTTCTTGTAGCAGGTGGAGAGCAGGTGATATTCGAGATTGTTGTTCTACTTTTCGATTACTACTCCACCTCAGGATACTGCATTTTATCAAGCAGCTACTAATGCAACAGATGATAGTAGGCAGCGGCGGAGGTGAACGAAAAGAAACGCTAGGATAAGCGGAGTAGAAGGTGCATTAGGGGAGGCACGGAGAAAGCAGCTGCAGATTCAGCACGTGAAGATGAAGCATGATAACAGCGATGTGACTTTTGAGTCGACTCAGAAGATGAAGCATGATAACAGCGATGTGACTTTTGAGTCGACTCAGAAGATGAAGCATGATAACAGCGATGTGACTTTTGAGTCGACTCAGAAGATGAAGCATGATAACAGCGATGTGACTTTTGAGTCGACTCAGAAGATGAAGCATGATAACAGCGATGTGACTTTTGAGTCGACTCAGAAGATGAAGCATGATAACAGCGATGTGACTTTTGAGTCGACTCAGAAGATGAAGCATGATAACAGCGATGTGACTTTTGAGTCGACTCAGAAGATGAAGCATGATAACAGCGATGTGACTTTTGAGTCGACTCAGAAGATGAAGCATGATAACAGCGATGTGACTTTTGAGTCGACTCAGAAGATGAAGCATGATAACAGCGATGTGACTTTTGAGTCGACTCAGAAGATGAAGCATGATAACAGCGATGTGACTTTTGAGTCGACTCAGAAGATGAAGCATGATAACAGCGATGTGACTTTTGAGTCGACTCAGAAGATGAAGCATGATAACAGCGATGCGACTTTTGAGTCGACTCAGAAGATGAAGCATGATAACAGCGATGTGACTTTTGAGTCGACTCAGAAGATGAAGCATGATAACAGCGATGTGACTTTTGAGTCGACTCAGAAGATGAAGCATGATAACAGCGATGTGACTTTTGAGTCGACTCAGAAGATGAAGCATGATAACAGCGATGTGACTTTTGAGTCGACTCAGAAGATGAAGCATGATAACAGCGATGTGACTTTTGAGTCGACTCAGAAGATGAAGCATGATAACAGCGATGTGACTTTTGAGTCGACTCAGAAGATGAAGCATGATAACAGCGATGCGACTTTTGAGTCGACTCAGAAGATGAAGCATGATAACAGCGATGTGACTTTTGAGTCGACTCAGAAGATGAAGCATGATAACAGCGATGTGACTTTTGAGTCGACTCAGAAGATGAAGCATGATAACAGCGATGTGACTTTTGAGTCGACTCAGAAGATGAAGCATGATAACAGCGATGTGACTTTTGAGTCGACTCAGAAGATGAAGCATGATAACAGCGATGTGACTTTTGAGTCGACTCAGAAGATGAAGCATGATAACAGCGATGTGACTTTTGAGTCGACTCAGAAGATGAAGCATGATAACAGCGATGTGACTTTTGAGTCGACTCAGAAGATGAAGCATGATAACAGCGATGTGACTTTTGAGTCGACTCAGAAGATGAAGCATGATAACAGCGATGTGACTTTTGAGTCGACTCAGAAGATGAAGCATGATAACAGCGATGTGACTTTTGAGTCGACTCAGAAGATGAAGCATGATAACAGCGATGTGACTTTTGAGTCGACTCAGAAGATGAAGCATGATAACAGCGATGTGACTTTTGAGTCGACTCAGAAGATGAAGCATGATAACAGCGATGTGACTTTTGAGTCGACTCAGAAGATGAAGCACGATAACAGCGATGTGACTTTTGAGTCGACTCAGAAGATGAAGCATGATAACAGCGATGTGACTTTTGAGTCGACTCAGAAGATGAAGCAGGATAACAGCGATGTGACTTTTGAGTCGACTCAGAAGATGAAGCATGATAACAGCGATGTGACTTTTGAGTCGACTCAGAAGATGAAGCATGATAACAGCGATGTGACTTTTGAGTCGACTCAGAAGATGAAGCATGATAACAGCGATGTGACTTTTGAGTCGACTCAGAAGATGAAGCATGATAACAGCGATGTGACTTTTGAGTCGACTCAGAAGATGAAGCATGATAACAGCGATGTGACTTTTGAGTCGACTCAGAAGATGAAGCATGATAACAGCGATGTGACTTTTGAGTCGACTCAGAAGATGAAGCATGATAACAGCGATGTGACTTTTGAGTCGACTCAGAAGATGAAGCATGATAACAGCGATGTGACTTTTGAGTCGACTCAGAAGATGAAGCATGATAACAGCGATGTGACTTTTGAGTCGACTCAGAAGATGAAGCATGATAACAGCGATGTGACTTTTGAGTCGACTCAGAAGATGAAGCATGATAACAGCGATGTGACTTTTGAGTCGACTCAGAAGATGAAGCATGATAACAGCGATGTGACTTTTGAGTCGACTCAGAAGATGAAGCATGATAACAGCGATGTGACTTTTGAGTCGACTCAGAAGATGAAGCATGATAACAGCGATGTGACTTTTGAGTCGACTCAGAAGATGAAGCATGATAACAGCGATGTGACTTTTGAGTCGACTCAGAAGATGAAGCATGATAACAGCGATGTGACTTTTGAGTCGACTCAGAAGATGAAGCATGATAACAGCGATGTGACTTTTGAGTCGACTCAGAAGATGAAGCATGATAACAGCGATGTGACTTTTGAGTCGACTCAGAAGATGAAGCATGATAACAGCGATGTGACTTTTGAGTCGACTCAGAAGATGAAGCATGATAACAGCGATGTGACTTTTGAGTCGACTCAGAAGATGAAGCATGATAACAGCGATGTGACTTTTGAGTCGACTCAGAAGATGAAGCATGATAACAGCGAGCAACTCACGGTACCATGAAGAGAGCACCTCGCAATGCCATCATGCAATCACCTCACACCACGAGCCGCTTACATCTTGCGGTTTAGATTGAGGTACGACTCTTGCACGTCAACACGAAAGAAGTCCCCGTGAGTGCTGTTCTCCGCCTGCAGCATCTCCTCGTCCTCCACGCTTCCGTGCCCCACTATGAACCGAAACACCAGCCCCGTTGCTGCTTCCACTCTGGAGAATATGTGAGGAAGGAGGACGGGGAGGTGGGAGGGGTGCAGAGAGAGAGAGGGCACAGCTCATACCAACCGGGACACCAGCCCTGTTGCTAGAATACCCTTTAACGGAGAAGAAGGGCAGGGGGAAGGTGCCGACAGGGCACATCACATCCCATCCCATAACAAACCATCGCAACCTGTAACAACACTGTACCGCACTCCACCGCAACACACCGGAATGCTCCGGAATGCACTGGAATGCACCGGACTGCACTCCACCGTACCCGACTGCACCTCTGCACCCGACCATACCGCACCACACCGCTCCCAACCTCAACCCACCGCATGCACCCCAGCGCACCATATTGCACCACGCCACACCCAACCACATCGCACCGCACCCGACCACACTGCACCACAACGCACCCCACCCCAGCCCATCGCATCCCATCCCATCCCATCGCATCCCATCGCATCCCATCGCATCCCATCCCATCCCATCCCATCCCATCCCATCCCATCCCATCCCATCGCATCCCATCCCATCCCATCCCATCCCATCCCATCCCATCCCATCCCATCCCATCCCATCCCATCCCATCCCATCCCATCCCACCACATACCACATGCCCCCACTACCACCGGATGATGGCCTACCGCGCGTGCTCCTCGGGCGTGCCGGGGAACCACGTCTCGCGAAGCAGCGCGCGCCTCGTGCCGCTGCGGCCGAAACCGGTCAATACCCCGACGAACCCCGACACACGCTTCCTGCCCGGGTACCGCAACCGATCTGCAATCCTCTCATCCATCTCTGACGATTCAACCATCGGCCCGACCGCCGCTGCGGTCGCTGCGACTACACGCTGTAACTCGGCGGGTTCATTCGTCGCTGTCGCTTCGCTAACCGGCGGCTGTAACTCCGAGGGTGCATTCGTCGCTGTCGCTTCGCCAACCGGCGGCTGTAACTCGGGTTTATTCGTCGCTGTCGCCGCTTCGCCAACCGGCTGTAACTCGGCGACTTCATTCGTCGCTGTCGCTTCTCCAATCAGCTGTAACTCGGCGGGTTCATTCGTCGCTGTCGTCGCTTCGCCAACCGAAAGTAACTCGGCGGGTTCATTCCTCGCTGTCGCTTCGCCAACCGGCTGTAACTCGGCGAATCTACTCGTCGCCGTCGCAGAGGTGATCCGTTGTACCACCAGCTGGGATGTAGTCGTCCGATCATACCTAAGAACGAAGACGTCTAAAATGAGGAAGACGAGGACGGCTAGTTGGAGCAGGACGAGGGACCAGGACACGCGCCATGACGTCAGCAATTGCGCCGGCTCGACGTACGTTTGACCCTCGGAGCCCATCACTAGGTAGAAAAACCTTGAAGGACTTAAGACGTCTCAAATGCCAATGAAGGTTCGCAAAGGCGCCTCAAATGCCAATGAAGGGACCGAGGTTTGTTGCATCGTTCGCGAATAATACTGTCGTAAAGTTCGAGGCGCCTCAAAAAGCATCGGCGCGTAAAGTTGCTGAACGGTCTTATCGCACACGATTATCGGGACCGATCTTGCAGAGGATGTCTTGCAATGGTAGTAATAGTAATAGTACACTATGGCAGTATCAGAGCCGCCGGTTGAGAATCGTTTGGGAAGAGGGACGAAACTCTCGGTCGCGAGCGAGCAGCCATTAAATGGAGCGCGCGGGTGAACGTCGGGCTTCCCTGGTCCTTCCTGGACTCCTCATGAGTCCTGAGCCATTGGGCCCTTCGGTATCGTATCGACATGGATGGATGCTCGCTGGTCAACTGACCGCGAGCAGAATGAAATCTGAAGTCCTATTGGGGGATGGGATAAAACGTGCCGTGACCGTGTATTCGGTGGATCTCTCCCAAGGCGCGTGCCATCGGAATGGGGGAAGCCGACGGAACGACCGGTGGTTTTGACGACTTGACTAACGGCCCGAGAGACGCCATGATACTGTACTGTGCTAGGTCACTGGGCTAGTTCGCTGATACTTCTGTTGTGACTGGGTCACTTCACTAGGCTGGTTCGCTGTGTGATGAGCCAGCCGAGGGAAAGGAGGGAACGAATGAATGGTGCCCTGTTTGCTGGGCATGGCTGCTGCCACCGTATCTCACCACGCAAGAAGTTTTTTTAAACCGACTCAGAACGTATCCCACCGCGTTTTTACCTGTGCCGGCCGGCACGATTGTTCGTGCTGTCACTTGCACCACCTCACCCAAATCCCAATGATGCGGTATAGGTTAACGCGATGATATCTTTGCAGAAAGTAATTTTGTTCGAGTACATAGATCAATATAACGATGAATTACCTTAATCACTACAAGACATCAAATGCCTATATTTGTAATAATGGCACCATGAAATAGCCATTCCCAGTATTCACTTCGGCTATCGAGTTAAATTAATCATGTTCTTAGGTTGTGGGCTTCTGCAAATACAAGTCGTGCAACTTTAAATGGGGAGGAAAGCTCATGGACAAGCTGCATCGTCAATGCACGCATCCTGACCAGCGAAATTTACACGCCTTTCTGCCTGAACAAGTGCAATCTCATGTCAGGTACTACGTTATGTTGTTTCTTCCATACTCTGAATCATGCGCCTGCATCTACGTCTGGGTCGGGCCGGTGAGAGCTGCAATTTCTGCACGCAGGGAGTGGACGATTTCTGCTGTGCTGGAAGTCCCTGCTGCCACCGCAACCCACCACGCCTTCACCTGCGGCGTGGCTGTCCCTGTAACTGTGACTGGGCCGGGGCAGTCAGTGCTGAGATCTCGGAGCGGAGAGACTGAATGCTTTCCTCCGTGCTGGCAGTCGCTGCTGCCACCGCACCCCACCACGCCTTCACCTGCGGCGTGGCTGTGCCGGCTGTCACAGTGGCTGCCTCATGAAGAGATGGTGCTGTTGCCTGCACCACCTGCAGCCCTGCCAGGATCTGTGTGTCCGTGTGTGTGTGTATTGGGGAAAGAAGGGGAAGGAGGGGAAGGAGAATGGGTGTTTTGCGTATGGGTGTGCGTGTGGGGTGTGGGTGTGCGTGTGTGGAGTGGGTGTTGGGGGGGGGGGGGAGGGGAGGGTGCATGGGTGTGGGTGTGTGGGTGTGTGGGTGGGAGTGTGGGTGTATGTATGTGTGTGGGTGTGAGTGGGTATGAGGGACGAGGGCGAGAAGGAGGTTGATGAGAATTCAGTCTATCAGCTGTGATGGGGCCAGGAGGTGCGGAAGAATGCAGGATGACTTTGGGAATTCTCAGAATCAACCTGCATATGAATGGCGCAGGCAGCCAGGCCAACCCACACGATCACCACGGAGTGAGTGAGTGAGTGAGTGTGGGGGTGAGTGAGTGAGAAGAGAGCGGAGTGAGTGAGCAAGTGAATGAGCGAATGAGCGAATGAGCGAATGAGTGAGGGAGTGAGTGAGGGGGTCACTGGGGGGTTAACCTTGAGAAGAGCGGAGTGCTGTGAGTGCACAGCGGAGGCTCGAGGGCCGATCTTGATGGGGCGAGGAGGGGGGTTGCGCTGCATCCAGGGGAGTAGGTCCTGAGAGGGAGGGGAAGGAGGGGAGGGGGGGTGGCACAGGGGGGTGGGGAAGCGGAGGGCACACGAGAGCCTGACTGTGGGTCAAGGACCTGCGGAAATGAAGGGGGCATGGGTCGCTTTTGAGAATTCGCAAACGGGTGTCATGGGAGGCATAGGGGCCAAGAGTAGCAGAAGAAGAGATGGGATGGGAGGGGCTGTGACAGCGCGTCTTACATGAGGGAAAGGCAGTGTAAGGAAAACGAGGGTCCGGAGCGCAGCACTGGACGAACGGTGAGCAAGAGTTCGGAGCTAATTTCAGAACCGTTGCCCGCTTGCACTAAAAACTCCTCAGACATCTAAGATGGCCCGCAAGTGCGAGCTAGGTAGTCTGGTATGGTTATGTGAGTCTGTCTGTGATTATCTGCTCCACACACTAACCCAGGACGACCATACCCAATTACTGAGGCGCCTAAAGAAAACCGCAGGTGTGTGAGGCAGGTGTGTGAGGTAGTTTTGTTACAATATTCTAAGTGGATTCACTCCACACACCAATCCAGGACGCCTAACAAATCCGCAGGTGTGAGGTAGTTTTGCTAAAGGATGACCATGCAAAATTCCATTGCCATTCGATTCGCTCCACACACCAATCAAGGATGACCAACCCACTTAACCTGCCCACTTGATTCGCAATCTTGGCAGAGTGCCAGGAGAGTGCTAGAGCTGGACTGACACCCTTGGAGCTATCCACTCACCCTGTCCACTTTATAAGCGACCTCGTTAGCAAGAGAGAGGTAGCGCTGCACAGCAGCGGTCAGATTGGCGTCAGCAGCTGCTGTGTGCTGCTGGCTCTGGTCGCGCAGAGGGTCCACCACACACTGATGGGGGGAGAGGGAAGAAGGAGAGGGGAGGTGGAGGGGGGAGGAGGAAGGAAGCAAGGCAATCTCGTCAGCAGCTGCTGTGTGCTGCTTGCTCTGGTCGCGCAGAGGGCCCACCATGCACTGATGGGGGAAGAAGGGAGGGGGAGGGGGAGGAGGAAGGGAAGGCAGAAAGGAAACCTTGTCAGCAGCTGCAGTGTGCTGCCTGCTCTGGTCGCGCAGAGGGCCCACCACACACTGATGGAGGGGGGGGGGGAGGGAGGGTGAGGAGGAGTAAGGAAAGGTAGCAAGGCAGCAAGTCAGCAAGACAGCAGGGCAGCAAGGAAATCTCGTCAGCAGCTACCGTGGGGTGGCGGCCCTGGTCATGCAGAGGGTCCACGATGCAGTGATGAGGTTGTGGGGAAGGCAACCATGATATGTGAAGGTTTTAAGCTTCAAGACAGCAACTTGATGGGAAGACGAGGTGACAGAACAATCTCGGGGTACCAAAGCTTTGGTGATTTGAGTCGAATGGATGGAGAATCCATGAGTGGACCCGTTCTTAAGGCGAATCCAATTGAATGGACAGACGGGCGGTCCTAGTGAGATGCTCCGCTGCTTTCTTCCACGTTTATCTCAGTATTGGTGAGATGCTGGGAACCAGTATTGGTGGATATAATACGAATAAAGTCAAAAGCCAAGGCAGCCTCCTCAGGCCCACCTGGGCGGCCAGGCCAGCAGAATGGTCCCGTCCCATGATCCATCTGATACCCTCTATTCTGTGCTTTGAATACGAGTTGTCATATGTAATCTTAATGAAGGCCAATAGCCAATCGCCATGTCATCTTCCCACCACCTGGGCTGCAAGCACGATGGCCTGGTCAAGCCCCACTCCATTTCCCATTCTTACACGTATGCTGTTTGATAAATCATAACCCTTTTAGTTGCAGGCAGCAGCCATGCCACCTGCCTACAGCCCACCTGCGCGGCCGGCCGGCAGCAGTATGGTGCTGTCGTGGATCTGCTGCTTGCATGCCTTCACTTCACCATGCATTCTTGGACACACTCCCGTTACAACTCAAAGTATCTGCTGCTTCCTCTCCCGCGCCTCACCTGAGCGGCCAGACAGCAGGATGGTGTCGTCGTGGAATCTTGGATCTGCTGCTGCATGCCTTGCCCACGATTTGCCAGATACAATCGTGAAATCACAAGGCAACAGCCCTGCCTGCCTCCTCGCCTCACCTGCGCAGCCAGCAGGATGGTGTCATCATGGATCTGCTGCTTCCTCTCCCTCACTTGACCACGTGTTGTTGGGTGGAATGTCATCACAAGGCAACAGCCCTGCCGGCCACCTTTCCACCCAACGCCACCCTCCCGTGTCTAACCTGAGCGGCCAGCAGGATGGTGTCATCGTGGATCTGCTGCTTCCTCTCCCGCAGCTCCACCAGCCGCTGCCGCGCCTCCTCTATGCCGCTCATGTTGGCCCTGTTGTCCCTGCGCCTGCTGGGTGGCATCGGGGAAGCAGGGGGGAATGGGGGAAGCGGGGGGGTTGCATTTAGCCTCAAAAGCAGCTCCACCAGCCGCTGCCGCGCCTCCTCTATGCCGCTCATATTGGCCCTGTTGTCCCTGCGCCTGCTGGGTGGCATGGGGGAAGCAGGGGGGTTTGCATTGCATTTCTCAGTCAGCTCATATATCCCCCGCAGCTCCATCAGCCGCTGCCCCACCTCCTCTATGCCTTCCCCCCTGCTGTCGCTGTGCACCATGGGGGGGGGCTTATAAAGGCAGCATAGGGGAAGGAGGGTGTGCATTCTTTATGCGCCTCAAAAGCAGCTCCACCAGGCGCTGCCCCGCCTCCTCTATGCCGCTCATGTTGACCCTCTTGTCCCTGCGCCTGCTGGGCGGCATGGGCCCATGGGGGAAGCAGGGGGGTTTGCATCTTCTCAGTCAGCTCATCTCTATGCTGCTCCCCCCCCCCATGCTGCCGCTGTGCACCATGGGGGGGGGCAGAGGGGTTTGTTTCAGCGGCGACATAGGGGAAGGAGGGGTGTGCATTCTTTATGCGCCTCAAAAGCAGCTCCACCAGCCGCTGCCCCGCCTCCTCTATGCCATCCCCCCTGCTGTCCCCGCTGCTGCTGCTGCTGCTGCAGCTGGCGGCATGGGGAAAGCAGGAGGTGCGGGAGGGACGCACAGCAGGCCTTGAGTTGCTTGAGCGAAGAGAGTAAGGGGGAGTGGGAAGGGAGAAAAGTGAAGCGCAGAGATAAAAGAGTGCAGATACAGATGGAAGAATAGGCATGCATACACTTCAGCCGCTAATAGCATACAGTAACTCTTTGAGACGTCATCTTGGGAACAGAACATACCTCTCACCTCTCACCACCTCTCACCTCTCACCACCTCTCACCTCTCACCACCTCTCACCTCTCACCACCTCTCACCTCTCACCACCGACTCGCACCTGGCAGCAGCATCAGCTTTGGCGCGGGTGAGCAGGTCGGGCGAGAAGAGGGGCGGGAAGGACGAGGGTTGCAGCAAAGCAGCTGCTGACAGCGGTGCATACGAGCCCAATGCGAGCTGGTCCTCTGGCCTGGGAATGGGGATGGGAAACGAGAAGTGTTGAGGGAACAGGAGACGAGAAATGGAGGAGCATGGGGGTCCAGCAGGGCTGCTGCTGACGGCGGGGCATACGAGCCCAATGCGAGCTGGTCCTCTGGCCTGGGAATGGGAGAAGGGAGATGGGAAGGGTTGAGGGAATGGGAGACGGGAGACGGAAGAGCACGGGCAGCAGCAATGCAGCTGCTGATGGCGGTGCATATGAGGCCAATGCGAGCTGGTCCTCTGGCCTGGGAATGGGGGATGGGGAATGTGAAATGGGTAGGGTTGAGGGAATGGAAGATGGGAATTGGAGGAGCATCGGGTGTAGTGTCGCAGGGAAGCTGCTGGGGGCGGTGCATTGCATACGAGCCCAATGCGAGCTGGTCTTCTGGTTTGAGAGGGGATGGGGGAGATGTTGTAATGGAGGGGCATGGAGGAGCTGGAGGAGCATGGAGGAGCATGGAGGAGCGCATGGGAATAATACAGCAGCAGCCGCTGATGGCGGCGTTTAAGAGTCCAAAAACAGCTGATCCACCGGCCATACAGGGTTGTACGTGGGGGATGAGGAGACGAGACTGGGGTGTGTGGAATGGAGCATGGGAGTGAGAATGTGGAATGGGGAATGGGAAAGGGAAAGGGAGTGCACGCGGGCAGAGGCAGCCACTGGTGATGGCATGCGTTGTATGCGTCCAGAGAGAACAGAAGAATCGCCCTGATGATTCCAATGGGGATTGTTTATGTGGCGCTTGCCACACCCAATGCACCAGGACAAACCTGCTCCGTACCCTCGCCCACAGTCATACCTGCTCCTTAGCCTCCCCATGTCCTCCACCCGGCGAGCCACTTCCAGCAGCCATGTGGCTCGCTCTGGCACCCCGCCCACTCCCTGGGGACCGCATGGGGAGGGAGTTGCATAAGGAGGGTGCATGGATATGGAGCAGGAGAGCATAACACATTGAGCATGCTGTGGGGGGGTGGACGGATGGGGCATGCATGGTGCAAAGGGCATCGGGCACGAATCACAATGTGACGCATGGTGTGTGGTCCCTATTGCATGGAGTTATCTAGTTTTGAGACGTCTCAAGTCACGATGTGACGCATGGTGTGTGGTGTGGTCTCTATTGCATGGGGTTACGGCACCACACAAGCATGCAATATGAGTGAATTTTTGAGACGTCTAAAAACATCACTCATATCACGTCCCTACTGCATAAGGTTACGGCGCCACACAAGAATGCCGGGGGAGCCCAACTGCAGACTCGTCTCATCCTACTGTGCTGGCGTCCACCTCATCACACATGTGCTATGCGGCAGGCAGTAGGGGAAGCAGCAAGGGCAAGAGAGCAGAACGAACGAACGAACGAGGGGGAAACGGCCATGCCAAGAGATCTCAGCGACTCATCTCAGGCCAATCTCATTAGTATCAGCGACTAAACTTCAAGCAGCCGAACGAACTCACGGTAGCAGCGTCCCGCCCATCGCCTTGAGCCATGCCCAACACGTTGACTTTTGAGTCGATTCAAAAGTCAACTCTTTTGAGTCGACTCAAATTTCAGTATCAAACTTAGAGCAGCCGAACGAACTCACGGTAGCAGCGTCCCGCCCATCGCCTTGAGCCATGCCCAACAGCACTGCCGTGTGACACACGCCTGATGGGGATGGGGATGTGCATGAAGTTGGGAGGGAGGGGTGGGTGGCAGGGATGGGAATGTGCCAGACAGATGGGTGGGCGGGTGGGAGCATGCTGGGTGTGATGCGATGGCGACCAGACAGCGGCTGCGATGACAAGGCTGATGGGTGGGATGCATGCACTGAAGGCGAAAGGACGAGAAGAGAGAAGCGGATGTACTTTAAAGAAGAGAAAAAGCGGGTTTACGTGACAGCAAAACGCGAAGGGATAGAGTGCAGCAGGAGCAGACGGATGAGTGGGTTTCACATCTCCCAATCCCACGGAGCAAGGAAAGAGTAGATTCGACCCAGATCACATCTCCCAATCCCACGGAGCAAGGAAAGAGTAGATTCGACCCAGATCACATCCCCCAATCCCACGGAGCAAGGAAAGAGTAGATTCGACCCAGATCACATCCCCCAATCCCACGGAGCAAGGAAAGAGTAGATTCGACCCAGATCACATCCCCCAATCCCACGGAGCAAGGAAAGAGTAGATTCGACCCAGATCACATCCCCCAATCCCACGGAGCAAGGAAAGAGTAGATTCGACCCAGATCACATCCCCCAATCCCACGGAGCAAGGAAAGAGTAGATTCGACCCAGATCACATCCCCCAATCCCACGGAGCAAGGAAAGAGTAGATTCGACCCAGATCACATCCCCCAATCCCACGGAGCAAGGAAAGAGTAGATTCGACCCAGATCACATCCCCCAATCCCACGGAGCAAGGAAAGAGTAGATTCGACCCAGATCACATCCCCCAATCCCACGGAGCAAGGAAAGAGTAGATTCGACCCAGATCACATCCCCCAATCCCACGGAGCAAGGAAAGAGTAGATTCGACCCAGATCACATCCCCCAATCCCACGGAGCAAGGAAAGAGTAGATTCGACCCAGATCACATCCCCCAATCCCACGGAGCAAGGAAAGAGTAGATTCGACCCAGATCACATCCCCCAATCCCACGGAGCAAGGAAAGAGTAGATTCGACCCAGATCACATCCCCCAATCCCACGGAGCAAGGAAAGAGTAGATTCGACCCAGATCACATCCCCCAATCCCACGGAGCAAGGAAAGAGTAGATTCGACCCAGATCACATCTCCCAATCCCACGGAGCAAGGAAAGAGTAGATTCGACCCAGGTCACATCTCCCAATCCCACGGAGCAAGGAAAGAGTAGATTCGACCCAGATCACATCCCCCAATCCCACGGAGCAAGGAAAGAGTAGATTCGACCCAGATCACATCCCCCAATCCCACGGAGCAAGGAAAGAGTAGATTCGACCCAGATCACATCCCCCAATCCCACGGAGCAAGGAAAGAGTAGATTCGACCCAGATCACATCCCCCAATCCCACGGAGCAAGGAAAGAGTAGATTCGACCCAGATCACATCCCCCAATCCCACGGAGCAAGGAAAGAGTAGATTCGACCCAGATCACATCCCCCAATCCCACGGAGCAAGGAAAGAGTAGATTCGACCCAGATCACATCCCTCAATCCCACGGAGCAAGGAAAGAGTAGATTCGACCCAGATCACATCCCCCAATCCCACGGAGCAAGGAAAGAGTAGATTCGACCCAGATCACATCCCCCAATCCCACGGAGCAAGGAAAGAGTAGATTCGACCCAGATCACATCCCCCAATCCCACGGAGCAAGGAAAGAGTAGATTCGACCCAGATCACATCCCCCAATCCCACGGAGCAAGGAAAGAGTAGATTCGACCCAGATCACATCCCCCAATCCCACGGAGCAAGGAAAGAGTAGATTCGACCCAGATCACATCTCCCAATCCCACGGAGCAAGGAAAGAGTAGATTCGACCCAGGTCACATCTCCCAATCCCACGGAGCAAGGAAAGAGTAGATTCGACCCAGATCACATCCCCCAATCCCACGGAGCAAGGAAAGAGTAGATTCGACCCAGATCACATCCCCCAATCCCACGGAGCAAGGAAAGAGTAGATTCGACCCAGATCACATCTCCCAATCCCACGGAGCAAGGAAAGAGTAGATTCGACCCAGGTCACATCCCCCAATCCCACGGAGCAAGGAAAGAGTAGATTCGACCCAGATCACATCCCCCAATCCCACGGAGCAAGGAAAGAGTAGATTCGACCCAGATCACATCCCCCAATCCCACGGAGCAAGGAAAGAGTAGATTCGACCCAGATCACATCCCCCAATCCCACGGAGCAAGGAAAGAGTAGATTCGACCCAGATCACATCCCCCAATCCCACGGAGCAAGGAAAGAGTAGATTCGACCCAGATCACATCCCCCAATCCCACGGAGCAAGGAAAGAGTAGATTCGACCCAGATCACATCCCCCAATCCCACGGAGCAAGGAAAGAGTAGATTCGACCCAGATCACATCCCCCAATCCCACGGAGCAAGGAAAGAGTAGATTCGACCCAGATCACATCCCTCAATCCCACGGAGCAAGGAAAGAGTAGATTCGACCCAGATCACATCCCCCAATCCCACGGAGCAAGGAAAGAGTAGATTCGACCCAGATCACATCCCCCAATCCCACGGAGCAAGGAAAGAGTAGATTCGACCCAGATCACATCCCCCAATCCCACGGAGCAAGGAAAGAGTAGATTCGACCCAGATCACATCCCCCAATCCCACGGAGCAAGGAAAGAGTAGATTCGACCCAGATCACATCTCCCAATCCCACGGAGCAAGGAAAGAGTAGATTCGACCCAGATCACATCCCCCAATCCCACGGAGCAAGGAAAGAGTAGATTCGACCCAGATCACATCCCCCAATCCCACGGAGCAAGGAAAGAGTAGATTCGACCCAGATCACATCTCCCAATCCCACGGAGCAAGGAAAGAGTAGATTCGACCCAGATCACATCCCCCAATCCCACGGAGCAAGGAAAGAGTAGATTCGACCCAGATCACATCCCCCAATCCCACGGAGCAAGGAAAGAGTAGATTCGACCCAGATCACATCCCCCAATCCCACGGAGCATGGAAAGAGTAGATTCGACCCAGATCACATCCCCCAATCCCACGGAGCAAGGAAAGAGTAGATTCGACCCAGATCACATCCCCCAATCCCACGGAGCAAGGAAAGAGTAGATTCGACCCAGATCACATCCCTCAATCCCACGGAGCAAGGAAAGAGTAGATTCGACCCAGATCACATCCCCCAATCCCACGGAGCAAGGAAAGAGTAGATTCGACCCAGATCACATCTCCCAATCCCACGGAGCAAGGAAAGAGTAGATTCGACCCAGATCACATCCCCCAATCCCACGGAGCAAGGAAAGAGTAGATTCGACCCAGATCACATCCCCCAATCCCACGGAGCAAGGAAAGAGTAGATTCGACCCAGATCACATCTCCCAATCCCACGGAGCAAGGAAAGAGTAGATTCGACCCAGATCACATCCCCCAATCCCACGGAGCAAGGAAAGAGTAGATTCGACCCAGATCACATCCCCCAATCCCACGGAGCAAGGAAAGAGTAGATTCGACCCAGATCACATCCCCCAATCCCACGGAGCAAGGAAAGAGTAGATTCGACCCAGATCACATCCCCCAATCCCACGGAGCAAGGAAAGAGTAGATTCGACCCAGATCACATCCCCCAATCCCACGGAGCAAGGAAAGAGTAGATTCGACCCAGATCACATCCCTCAATCCCACGGAGCAAGGAAAGAGTAGATTCGACCCAGATCACATCCCCCAATCCCACGGAGCAAGGAAAGAGTAGATTCGACCCAGATCACATCCCCCAATCCCACGGAGCAAGGAAAGAGTAGATTCGACCCAGATCACATCCCCCAATCCCACGGAGCAAGGAAAGAGTAGATTCGACCCAGATCACATCCCCCAATCCCACGGAGCAAGGAAAGAGTAGATTCGACCCAGATCACATCCCCCAATCCCACGGAGCAAGGAAAGAGTAGATTCGACCCAGATCACATCTCCCAATCCCACGGAGCAAGGAAAGAGTAGATTCGACCCAGATCACATCTCCCAATCCCACGGAGCAAGGAAAGAGTAGATTCGACCCAGATCACATCCCCCAATCCCACGGAGCAAGGAAAGAGTAGATTCGACCCAGATCACATCCCCCAATCCCACGGAGCAAGGAAAGAGTAGATTCGACCCAGATCACATCTCCCAATCCCACGGAGCAAGGAAAGAGTAGATTCGACCCAGGTCACATCCCCCAATCCCACGGAGCAAGGAAAGAGTAGATTCGACCCAGATCACATCCCCCAATCCCACGGAGCAAGGAAAGAGTAGATTCGACCCAGATCACATCCCCCAATCCCACGGAGCAAGGAAAGAGTAGATTCGACCCAGATCACATCCCCCAATCCCACGGAGCAAGGAAAGAGTAGATTCGACCCAGATCACATCCCCCAATCCCACGGAGCAAGGAAAGAGTAGATTCGACCCAGATCACATCCCCCAATCCCACGGAGCAAGGAAAGAGTAGATTCGACCCAGATCACATCCCCCAATCCCACGGAGCAAGGAAAGAGTAGATTCGACCCAGATCACATCCCCCAATCCCACGGAGCAAGGAAAGAGTAGATTCGACCCAGATCACATCCCTCAATCCCACGGAGCAAGGAAAGAGTAGATTCGACCCAGATCACATCCCCCAATCCCACGGAGCAAGGAAAGAGTAGATTCGACCCAGATCACATCCCCCAATCCCACGGAGCAAGGAAAGAGTAGATTCGACCCAGATCACATCCCCCAATCCCACGGAGCAAGGAAAGAGTAGATTCGACCCAGATCACATCCCTCAATCCCACGGAGCAAGGAAAGAGTAGATTCGACCCAGATCACATCCCCCAATCCCACGGAGCAAGGAAAGAGTAGATTCGACCCAGATCACATCCCCCAATCCCACGGAGCAAGGAAAGAGTAGATTCGACCCAGATCACATCCCCCAATCCCACGGAGCAAGGAAAGAGTAGATTCGACCCAGATCACATCCCCCAATCCCACGGAGCAAGGAAAGAGTAGATTCGACCCAGATCACATCTCCCAATCCCACGGAGCAAGGAAAGAGTAGATTCGACCCAGATCACATCCCCCAATCCCACGGAGCAAGGAAAGAGTAGATTCGACCCAGATCACATCCCCCAATCCCACGGAGCAAGGAAAGAGTAGATTTGACCCAGATCACATCTCCCAATCCCACGGAGCAAGGAAAGAGTAGATTCGACCCAGATCACATCCCCCAATCCCACGGAGCAAGGAAAGAGTAGATTCGACCCAGATCACATCCCCCAATCCCACGGAGCAAGGAAAGAGTAGATTCGACCCAGATCACATCCCCCAATCCCACGGAGCAAGGAAAGAGTAGATTCGACCCAGATCACATCTCCCAATCCCACGGAGCAAGTAATCAAACACACTGTTTCGCCTCTTCAGTCCTTGTCATTTAGTAAAACAGGGAGAGCGCTCGCTTGCAAGGGGCATGGCTTACGGCTCTCCACGGTGTCAATCATTTCAGCCGTTGCCCGGGTGTGCACACAAACAGAGGCACACACACACATGCACACACACGCACAGAGGCACACACAGTTGCTAGTGAGTGGCATGGCAAGGCATGGCTAACGGCTCTCCACGGTGTCAATCATTTCAGCCGGCGCTGCACCCCTGTCTTGATTCGTGTGCATGGAGCCTAGAATCCTGTTGCCCACATGCACACACACAGCACGCACACACATGCACGCACACACACACATGCACGCACACACATCCACGCACACACACACATGCACGCACACACATGCACGCACACACACACATGCACGCACACACACACATGCACGCACACACACACACATGCACGCACACACACGCACACACAGGCACACACAGGCACGGGCAGGAAGAAGATTTTGGGCTTCACCACCTTCGCCTCGATTTATGTACACAGGGACCGGACCAGTATCTTGTTGCCCCTCACACACACGTGGAGGCACGGGCAGCAAGAAAACTTATACACGGGTTTGAGGTAGCATATGCATACATACATGCCTGTTGTATATTTAAGGTGTGGTTGACACGTGGCTGCAGATAGGGTGCGAAGTGACTGGAACATAGCTTTGGGAAGTCGCATGCAGTTTTGATTTTAGTCCGTCCCTGGTGCAAGTGTTACTAAATGGTACAGGTGCTATCTGATGCAGGTGCTACCTGGTGTGATCGCTATCTGGTGCAGGTGCTGCCTGGTGCAGGTGCTACCTGGTGCAGGTGCTATCTGGTGAAATGTGCTATCTGGTGCAATGTGCTATCTGGTGCAATGTGCTATCTGGTGCAATGTGCTATCTGGTGCAATGTGCTATCTGGTGCAATGTGCTATCTGGTGCAATGTGCTATCTGGTGCAATGTGCTATCTGGTGCAATGTGCTACCTGGTGCAATGTGCTATCTGGTGCAATGTGCTATCTGGTGCAATGTGCTATCTGGTGCAATGTGCTATCTGGTGCAATGTGCTATCTGGTGCAATGTGCTATCTGGTGCAATGTGCTATCTGGTGCAATGTGCTATCTGGTGCAATGTGCTATCTGGTGCAATGTGCTATCTGGTGCAATGTGGTGCAATGTGCTATCTGGTGCAATGTGCTATCTGGTGCAATGTGCTATCTGGTGCAATGTGCTATCTGGTGCAATGTGCTATCTGGTGCAATGTGCTATCTGGTGCAATGTGCTATCTGGTGCAATGTGCTATCTGGTGCAATGTGCTATCTGGTGCAGGTTCTGTGCGGGTGCTACTTGGTGAAGGCCCAGTCGAGGAAGTGCAGGCGTTGTTCCGTGTGGTTTAGGAGCAGGTCAACCTCCTCCTGGGATACAGTGCAGTACAGTGCAGTGTAAAAAGGACGCGCGTTAGATGGATTAATCTGCATGTGGTGTACTAACGATTGCGCGTAAGGATGAGAGTCTTTGTACGGCGTAGTATGTTACCCCGCAAGTTTGCTCTACGATGCAGTATGACGAAACGACTTTTGAGGCGACTCAGAAGCATGCTACCGCGCAAGTGTGCTCTATGATCGGGTACGATGAAACCCGACGGGGACCGGGATTCGGGAAGCAAAACGGAGGGAGTGAACGCGACATACAAGAGATCGAGCGTTCGCGCCGGCCAAGGAGTAACCGACGTCCTCCAGTCTCGTCGCGACAGCCGTCGCCAAGTCCATGGCTGCGCTTCGGTGCTGCGAAACCCCGTGTGCGAAACCCCGTGTGCGAAACCCCGTGGCCACGGAGAGCGCTTCAACGGAACTGACAACTGCGTTCCAAGATCGCCTCAAAAGACGAGCGGATCGCGTGAAGTGAAACACAGAGCACAAGAAAACAGGAATGCAAAGAATTCCTGGAACAAAGTGGTCGTTTGCATGAAGGAAGTGGTACGGGCGTGCCTACCGGCGGGCCGCGCTGCTGCTAGCGGATTTCTGCTGCTACGGGCAGAGCGCGCTGCTGCTAGGACGAACCTCTGCTGCTACGGGCAGATCGTGCCTGCTGCTAGCGGATTTAACGAGAGTCGCCCTGCTGCTAGGATCGCGCTGCTGCTAGGACGAATCGCTGTTGTGCTGTTTGGACGAATCGCTGATGCTAGGACGAATCGCTGGTGTGCTGCTAGGACGAAAGAGTCATCTTCAACTCACTGGCACGATTTGTCAGCAATATTTTTATCACAGCGACAAGACCGACGAGCTTTGCGAAAGATGCCTTACACTGTAACCTGACGTAAGCCCGTTTCTGCGCTCCCTGGAAGGAGGTGATCGTTCGCACGAATGACTTCGTTTACCCTCTCATGTTGGTGGAAGGTTTTGCTCTGAAGGAAGGCTGCGGTCGTATTCGTATCGCGCGTCAGAAGAAAACGAGGTTCGGATTGGAATGCACACGGAATACGCCTCAACTCTCCTGAAGTGTGTATATTTACTTCAGGAGGGAATCAATTATGACACTGTATCGAGGCAGTCTGCAGCAGGGAATCGAATTTATTAGGCCGTTGCAGCTCGTTACTTGACCCGAAGCAATTCGTGTGGCTGAGATTCGTTGTACGACGTGGCGGGAAACTTGGTTGTTCTGACACCATGGGCGACTGCCCCTTTCATCAACTTCTGTGCGACAAGCGTACGACGAGCATTTCGGTTGCGCGACCATCTGTGCATGCGACATCATCGGATTTCACGATGGCGTTGGCCTTCTTCAACCAGCGCCAGGAAGTTGGAAAGGCGTGTTTACAAATGAGGCCAAAGAGGCCAGAGTCAATCTCAGGTGCTAAACCGCGAACTCGTTCCCGAACACTTTCAGCCGAGTACATTACGTTAAAAAAGGCTCTGATTTTTGAAAGTCATATTCAGCTTGATGGCACGATTTGTCAGCTATAATTTTACTACTGGGACAAGATTGACGAGCTTTGCGAAATAAACGTTACTACAATGTAGCCTGATGTAAGGCCGTTCTCTGCAACAAGCCCCCAAATACTGCTGGGAAGGAGTCCTACCCAAGGCCGCCAAGCACCCCCCACCTCGAGACCACAAGAACTGGCAGTGACCGACTGCGCAGGACACCAGTCCATGGCCGCTGATGGTTCATGTTGCTCTTCAAAGCGCTTCCTGAGACAATTTAGGCGTTCCTGCCTCCGGCGTTGTAGTCTTTGAAGAGCCTTAGGCCACAATATTCCAGTTTGCAGTCAGTTTAGCCTAAGTTAACTCGCAGCACTTCACCTTACCTGGGTCTAACTTTTGGGGGATCATAGCCAAGCTTCCTTGAGCTATCGCCGAAATCATCGATCTAGCTAATAGCCAACTCCAAAGATTATAGTTTCATGGCGGGGTTGTGTAAAGCGGGTACGGAAGGCCGGTCTAGAATCCACAGACTTCCGGATGCGAAATGAAGAGAGAAGCCCGACGAACTCGCACGCCTTTCATCCGAACCCACCATCGGCTCACCTTCGTTCCTGTCTCCTTCACGCCTCGCATGCGAAAAGCCACGCTTAACACACAGTCGAAAGTAGTTCCTCTTCCCCTCGATAAGATGCCTCCTCCCGTCGACCTAGCCTCTCAACCCCGTCCGAGCACCGCAGATGGCGGTCCACGTCCGGGGGGAAATCAGGACTGGTTACCCACAGATGGAGGGGTACGAGGGGGTAACCAGGAGAAGTTACCCGAGAAAAAGGTTACTCCCAGCCTTAGTGTCGCAGATCGAGTTGCTTCTTTCAAGCAATTGGCTGGACACGACAGGAGCTCCTCCCCCAAACCGTCAGGCTCGACACGGTTCGGAACCGGCGCTGCAGGTTCGGCGAGCCCGTTCAGGGCTAGTTCGGCCGAAGCTGGTTCGAGCGACGTTGGTCTGGAAGTGCAGCTCGGGCAGCTGAGAATAAAAAACGCGGACCTGAAGCTGAACGTGGAAAATCTGCAGGCGGAGCTGAAAGCCGCTAAGGAGCAGATCGGGCAGATGACAAAAGAAATTGAGGCGTGGAAAAAGGAGGGAGTTTCGAAAGACAGCGCTGCTGAGATGAAAGCGGAGATTGAAAAGCTCAAGAAGGAATTGGCAGAGAGCAAAGGAGGAGGAAAGGGCGTGGGGGTAGTGGGAGAGCGAGATAAGGAAATGAAGGAAATGGAGGAGAAAATGATGGTGATGGAGGTAGAGGTTGGGAAGTACAAATTCGTGCATGACAGTTTAAAAGAGAGGGTAGAGAGGCTGACCAGGGATAACAAGAAACGAATTGCGTCTGAGAAAGAGGCGCTAGATGCGATTGGGAAGGTGAGGGAGGAGAAGGAGGAGGTGGAGAAGAGACTGAGTGAGGTGGAGGCGGAAAGGGATGAGGCGAGGAGGAAGTGTGAGGAAGCGCAGCAACGGATGGCAGAGGCTGTGAGAGAGAGAGGAGAGGTGGAGGTGAGGAGGGATGAGGATGTAGCTACTGTGCGGAGGGCTATGGAGGAGGAGAAGCGGAAGGTTGAGGAGGGAAGGAGGAAGGCGGAGGAGGAGAGGGATGGAGTGTTGAAGGCGAAGGGTGAGGTGGAAGGGGAGAAGGGGGTGTTGATGGGGAGGTTGGCGGAGGCGGAGAGGGGACGAGAGGATGCGGAGAAGGGGAGACGAGATGCAGAGGAGGAGAGGGGACGGGCTGAAAGGGAAAAGGAACAGGCGTGGAAGGAGAGGGAGGAGGCGGAGGCAGCTCGGAAGGAGGCGGAAGGGGAGAGGGATGAGGCCGTGAGGGCGAAGGAGGAGGCGCAGAGGGAACGAGATGAGGCGACGAGGGCGTGTGAGGCGGCGGAAACGAAGCAAGAGGAGGCGGAGAAGAGGAGAGACGAGGCAGAAAGATCAAGGGAGGAAGCAGAGGCACGGAGGGAGGAGGCTGAGAGCGCAAGAGGGAAGGCGGAAGAGGAGAAGGAGCAAGCGCAGAAGGAGAGGGAAGAGGCGGAGGCAGCACGGGGAGTGGCGGAGAAAGAGAGGGAAGATGCAGTAAAGGGTAAGGAGGAGGCGGAGAGGGAACGAGAAGAGGCGACGAGGGCTTGTGAGGCAGCGGAAACGAAGCAAGAGGAGGCGGAGAAGAGAAGAGACGAGACAGAGAAGTCAAGGGAGGAAGCAGAGACACGGAGGGAGGAGGCCGAGAGAGAGAGAGGGAAGGCGGAAGAGGAGAAGGAGCAAGCGAAGAAGGAGAGGGAAGAGGCGGAGGCAGCACGGGGAGTGGCGGAGAAAGAGAGGGAAGATGCAGTAAAGGGTAAGGAGGAGGCGGAAAGGGAACGAGAAGAGGCGACGAAGGCACTTGAGGCTGCGGAAGGGAAGCAAGAGGAGGCGGAGAAGAGAAGAGACGAGGCAGAGAGATTAAGGGAGGAAGCAGAGGCACGGAGGGAGGAGGCTGAGAGCGCAAGAGGGAAGGCGGAAGAGGAGAAAGAGAAAGCGAAGAAGGAGAGGGAAAAGGCGGAGGCAGCACGAGGAGAGGCGGAGAGGGAGAGGGATGAAGCTGTAAAGGGTAAGGAGGAGGCAGAGAGGGAGAGGGAGGAGTCAGTAAAAGGCAAGGAGGAGGCGGAGAGGGAGAGGGATGATGCAGTAAAGGGTAAGGAGGAGGCGGAGAGGGAGAGGGATGATGCAGTAAAGGGTAAGGAGGAGGCGGAGAGGGAGAGGGATGAAGCCGTAAAGGGTAAGGAGCAGGCAGAGGCGGGGATGGAGGAGTCAGTAAAAGGTAAGGAGGAGGCGGAGGGGGAGAGGGATGAGGCACTAACGGGTAAGGAGGAGGCAGAGAAAGAGAGGGATGATGCAGTAAAGGGTAAGGAGGAGGCGGAGAGGGAGAGGGATGAGGCAGTTAGGGTAAAGCAAGAGGCGGAAACTGAGAGAGACGAAGCAGTAAAAGGTAAGGAGGAGGCGGAGAGGGAGAGAGATGAGGCTGTAAAGTGTAAAGAGGAGGCAGAGAGGGAGAGGGATGAGGCTGTAACGGGTAAGGAGGAGGCGGACGCAAAACGGGCAGAGGCCGAAAGCGCTCGTGAAGCGGCTGAGAAGAGGCAAGAGGAGGCAGAAAGAGGGAGGGAGGAGGCAGAGGGTAAAAGGGAAGTTGCGGAAAGGGAGAAGGAGGAAGCGGAGCAGGCACGTGCAGAAGCAGAGGCACGGAGAGACGAGGCTGAGAGGCTTCGTGCAGAGGCTGATGGGAATAGAGCGGATGCAGAGAGGGCGAAAGAGGAGGCTGAGAAGGCGAAGGAGGAAGCGGATAACGCTAGGGAAGAGGCGGAGAGGGAGAGGGAGAAGGCAGAGAAGAGAAGGGAGGAGGCTGAGAAGGCAAGGGAGGAAGAGGAGAAGCTGAGGAAGGGAGCAGAAAGGGCACGCAATGAGGTGGAGAAAGCAAGGGCGGAGGCGGAGAAAGCCAAGAGCGAGGCAGAGTCGAAGCTGGCAGTTGCAGAGACGAGCAGAGTGGCATCCGAGCAGACGTGTGCTCACGCTGAGGAGAGATCAGCTGAGGCTGAGAAGCAGCGAGCAGCAGCTGAACAGGCTTGTTGTGATGCGAGGGCGCTAGCTGAGGAGGCAGAGAGGCGACGGGAAGGTGCTGAAGTGAAGCAGAAGGAAGAGGAAGAGAGGAGGAAGGAGGCAGAGGAGAGGAGGGAAGCTGCTGAGAAAGTAAAGGAGGAGGTGGAGGAGAGGCAACGAGAGGCAGAGAAAGCAAGGGCTGCTGCTGAGGAAGCGCGAGAGGAGAGCGAGAAGGCAAGGGATGAGGCTGATGCGAAGAGGAAAGAAGCCGAAGAGGCAAGGGAGGAGGCGGAGAAGGGAAGGGAGGAGGCAGTAGAGAGGGCAGCAGCGGCGGAGGAGAGGAGTGAGGAGGAGAGGAAGGCGAGGGAAGAAGCTGAGAGGGCGAGAGAGGAGGCTCAAAGGTTGAGGGAAGAGGCGGAAAAGTGTACAGAGGAAGCGATAAAGGCGAGAGAGGATGCAGAGGCACGATGTGAGGAGGCAGAGAGGAAGCAAGTAGAGGCAGAGAGGAAGCAAGTAGAGGCTGAGGTGGGCAAGGAAGAAGCAGTGGAAGCGAGGCAGCAAGCAGAAGTAGCGCGGGAGGAGGCTGAGAGGAAGCAAGCAGAGGCGGAGAGAATGCAGGTGGATGCAGAAACGAAACAGGCAGAGGCAGAGGTGGTGAAGGAATCAGCAGAAGCAGCACGTGCAGAAGCAGAGGTGGGGAGGGCTGAAGCTGAGAAGGCAAGAGAGGCAGCTGACAAGGCAAGAGAGGATGCAGAAGGGAGGCTTAGGGAGGCAGAGAAAAGAGCAGAGGAGGCGGAAGAGAGTGCGAGGGAAGCAGTGGAAAGGGGTAAGCAGGCGGAGGAGAGGGCACGGGAAGCAGAGAGGGCAGAGCTAGAGGCAAGAGAAGAAAGTGAGGTGGCGAAGAAGGCAAAGGCGGAAGCAGAGGCTACACGCGAGGCAGCAGAACGAGATAGAGAGGCAGCTGAGAGGGCGAAAGAGGAGGCTGAGAGGGCGAGAGAGGAGGCTGAAAAGGCAAGGAGGGAAGCTGAGCAGGGGAAAGAGGAATCGGAGCAAGCTCGAGCAGCAGCTGAAATGTCGACAAAGGAGGCAGTTGAAGCAAAGGAGGAGGCTGAGAGAGTCAGCGAGGAGGGTGAGAAGGCGAGGAAGGAGGCAGAGAGGGGCAGGCGAGAAGCAGAGAGAGCACAGGCGGAGGCGGAGAGGCAGAGAGATGAGGCGGAGAGGCGAATGGCTGGTGCTGGGATGAGCAAGGATGAGGCGGAGAGGGAGCGGGAGGAGGCGCATAAGAGCAGGGCGGAGGCGGAAAGGAGGATGGAGGAGGCAGAAAGCAGGAGAGAGGAGGCTGAGAAGAGGAGAGATGAGGCGGAGAGAGCAAGGGAGGTTGCTGAGGAGGCGAGAGAAGAGGCTGTGAGAGAGAAGGAAGAGGCTGTGAGAGAGAAGGAAGAGGCTGTGAGAGAGAAGGAAGAGGCTGTGAGAGAGAAGGAAGAGGCTACTCAGGGGATGGCTGAGGCGGAGGAGAGGCGGGTGGAGGCAGAGAGGAGAGAAAGTGAAGCAGAAGAGAGGGAGCGGGAGGCTGAGAAGGCAAAGGAAGAGGCTGAGAAGGCTTGGGAGGATGCAGCTAAAGCTGCGGAAGAGGCTGAGCAGGCAAAGAGAGAGGCGCTTGAAGCTAAGGCAGAGGCCGAGGAGAGGAGGGCGGAGGCAGAGAGGACTCGAGATGCTGCAGAAGCGAAGGCAGCTGAAGTAGAGAAGGCGATGGAAGAGGCTATCTGTGCGAAGGCAGAGGAGGAAGAGAGGAGGTTGGAGGCCGAGAGAGCACGAGATGCTGCAGAGGCGAAGGCAGCTGAACTAGAGAAGGCTGTGGACGAGGCTGTGAGTGCAAAGGCAAAGGAGGAGGAGAGGAGGGTGGAGGCAGAAACAGCACGAGATGCTGCAGAGGCGAAGGTGGAGGGGTTAGAGAGGGCTGTGGCAGAGGCAGAGGCGGCGAGGAAGGTAGCAGAGGAGGAGAGGAGTGAGGCGTTGAGGGGCGAGGAGTGTGCTGTGGAGGAGCGGTATGAGCTGGTGCAGGCTCTTGAACGGGCGGGTGAGGAGAAGGATGAGTTGACAAGGGCTGCTGAAGCAGTGAAAGGGGAGAGGGATGAGCTGGTGCAGGCTCTTGAAAGGGCGGGCGAGGAGAGGGATGAGCTGGTGCAGGCTCTGCAGAGGGTGACTGAGGAGAAGGATGAGCTGGAGAGGGCTGTTGCAGCAGCGATAGGGGAGAGGGATGAAGCGGTGAGGGCTGCTGAAGCAGTGAAAGGGGAGAAGGATGGGGCGGTGCAGGTGGTTGAGAGGACGGGTGAGGAGAGGGATGAGATGACGAGGGCTGTTGCAGAGGCTGTTAGGGAGAGGGACGAAGCGGTGAAGGCTGTTGAGGAGGCTGTTAGAGAGAGGGATGAAGCGGTGAAGGCTGTCGAAGCAGCGAGAGAGGAGAGGGACAGGGCAGTCGAGGCTGTGGGGTTGGCAGTAGAAGAGAGGAACGAAGCAGTGAGGACTCTTGACAGGGTGACAGCGGAGAGGGACGAGGCGATGCTGGTGATTGATGAGGCGGTTAAAGAGAGGGATGAAGCGGAGAAGGCTGTTGCATTAGCCGTTGAAGAAAGGAACGAGGCAGTGAGGATTCTTGACAGGGTGACGGCGGAGAGGGACGAGGCGATGCTCGTGATTGATGAGGCGGTTGGGGCGCTTGGAGGGGCCGTTGGGGCGAGGGAGGCGAGAGGGCTGGTTGGAGAGAGGGTAGCGATCAGGGAGAGAGAGGCGCGAGCGGTGACAGCGGAGAGGAACGAAGCGGAGAGGAACGAAGCGGAGAGGGACGAGGCGATGCTGGTGACTGACGAGGCGGTTGGGGCGCTCGGAGGGGCCATTGGTGCGCGGGAGGCGCGAGGGCTGGTTGGAGAGAGGGTGGCGATTAGGGAGAGAGAGGCGAGAGGGATGGTTGAGGAGAGGGTGGTGAGTGAGGAGAGGGAGGCAATTGGGGCAGGAGGGGATATTGGAGAGAGGGAGGGGATTGGGGAGAGGGAGGCTATTGGGGAGAGGGAGGCGATTGGGGAGAGGGATGCGATTGGGGAGAGGGAGGCGATTGGGGAGAGGGAGGCGATTGGGGAGAGGAAGGCGATTGTGGAGAGGGATGTGAGGGAGGTGGTGAATGTGGATGAAGCTGAAGCAGCAGGAGGGGATGGCGAGAAGGTGACGGTTTGTGTGGGGTGTTCAAGTAAGTGTGATGGGTTTGTGGGTGGGAGAGGCGAGGTGGAAGGGAGATGGCAGGAGGCTGTTGCGGTCAAGGGCGATGAGAAGTGGTGGAGAGCGGTGGAGAACGATAGGGAGGAAGCGGAGAGGAGGCGGGAGGAGGCGAAGAGACGACTAGAGGAGCTGAAGGGGATCCTTGATGAGGTGAGAGGAAAGCAGGAGGAGTCTGAGCGGAAACTGGAGGAAGTCGAGAAACAGCTGGTGGACATGGGGAATGAGAAGGCTGCTGCTGAGAGCAGGAGAGAAGAGGCAGAGAGGGAGAGGGTTGAGGCAGAAGGGAGGAGAGTGAGAGCAGAGGAGATGAGGGATGAGGCTGAGAGGAAGTTGGAAGAAGTTGAGAAACAGCTGGTGGACATGGGGAATGAGAAGGCGGAAGCAGAGAGGAGTAGAGAGGAGGCGGAGGCTGAGAGAGAAGAAGCGGAAAGGGCGAAGGTTGAGGCTTTGGCACGGTTGGAAGCGGCTGAGACGGCACGCAAAGCGGTGGAGAATGAGAAGGTTGAGGCAGAAGAGGGGAGAGTGAGAGCAGAGGAGCAGAGGGATGAAGCTGAGAGGAGGAGAGATGATGCTTTGAGGGAGAAGGAGCAGGCAGAGAAGGAAAGGGAGGAGGTGGAGAAAGCAAGGGAGGAAGTGGAGAAAGCATGGAAAGACGAGGGGCTGAGGAGAGCAGAGGCAGAGAAGGCACTAGAAGAGGCACTGGAGGCAGGTTTTGTGGTGGATGGGCGGACGGGGGAGACAGAGAGGAGGATAGAGAAGGCGGAGCAGAGCAGAGAAGAGGCAGAGAAGATGAGAGAAGAGGCAGAGAAGGGAAGAGAGGAAGCAGAGAGGAGGAGAGAGGAGGCAGAGAGGAGGGGAGATGAGGCAGAGAGGGCACTAGAAGAGGCGCTAGAGGCAGTAGTGCAGGCAGAGGTTCGAAGGGAAGAGGCGGAGAGGAATAGAGATGAGGCAGAGAGGAGGAGGGAAGAGGCGGAGAGGGATAGAGATGAGGCAGAGAGGAGGAGGGAAGAGGCGGAGAGGGATAGAGATGAGGCAGAGAGGAGGAGGGAAGAGGCGGAGAGGAGAATAGAAGAGGTTGAGGAGGATTTGACTGAGCTGGTGGTGAAGCTTGAGGTAGTAGAGAAGGCAAAAGCAGAGGCGGAGGAGGGGATTCAGGAAAAAAATGCATTGACAGGTGAAGATGCAGAAAAGGGGGAAGTGGATGGGGGGATTACAGAGGGGGAGAGGGAGAGGGAGCGGGTGGTACGGGAGGTGGAAGAGTTGACAGTGCAGATAGAGGTACTGGAGAGAGAGAAGGAGGAGGGTGAACGGGAGAAGGAGAGAGCTGAGAAGGAGAAGGAAGAGGCATTGAGAGAAAGGGAGGAGGTTGTGAGACGGCTTGAGGAGATGCAAGAGATGCTGGAAGAGGTGAGAAGGGAGGAGGCTTACAGAAGGGAGGAGGCTGAACAAGAGAAGGAGGACGCTTACAGAAGGGCAGAAGATGCTGGAGTACGAGTGAGAGAGGCAGAAGCAGGAAGAGAAGAGGTGGAGAGGAGGAGAGAAGTAGCAGAGGGGGCACTGTCGCTAGCAGAGGTGGTATTGCAGGAGGCGGAGGTGTGGAGAGAAGAGGCAGGGAGGCGTTGGGGAGAAGCAGAGGGGGCAGTGTTGATGGTCGAGGTGGTATTGCAGGAGACAGAGGCGTGGAGAGAGGCGACACAGAGGAAGTTGGCAGAAGGAGAGGGGTTATGGAAAGAAGCTGAGCGTGCGAGAGAGGAGGCAGAGAGGAGGAGAGAAGAAGCAGAGGGGGCACTGTCGCTAGCAGAGGTGGTATTGCAGGAGGCAGAGGTGTGGAGAGAAGAGGCGGTGAGGAGATTAGAAGAGGGAGAGGCGTTGAGGGAGGAGGCTGAGCAGGCGAGAGAGGAGGCTGAGAGGAGGAGGGAAGAAGCAGAGGGGGCTGTGGAGGTAGCAGAGGCAGCGAGAGATGAGATGGAGCGGGCGAAAGAGGAGGCTGAGGCTAGCTGGGAAGAGGCGCTGGTGATGCTGGGAGAGGCTGATAGGGGGCGAGAGGAGGCGGAGAGGAGAAGGGAGGAGGCTGAGAAGAAGATTGTGGAAGCTGAGAGGTTGGGAGAGGTAGCAGAGAGACGAGGAGAGGAGGCAGAGAGACGAGGAGAGGAGGCAGAGAGACGAGGAGAGGAGGTAGAGAGACGAGGAGAGGAGGCAGAAGGTAAGGAACGAAGGGAGGATGCAACGCACAGTTCTGAAGAGAGTGTGGTGATCGTTTCAGAAGCTGATGAGCAACCTGTAGAGGCGAGAGGGGCTGGCGAGGAGATGGAGGGAGAGATTGGAGGAGAGGAAGCGGGAAGCGATGGTATGGAGGGCGGGGACGGAGCAGAGGCAGTGGAGGGCGCTTTGGAATTAGGGGCACGGGAGGGTAAGCGATGGCGGGGTGGAGGTGGGGAGGATGGGGAGAGCAGTGGAGGGGAGGAGGAGGATAAGGGCTGCAGCCGTGAGGAGAAGGGTCGGGAGAGCAGTGGGGAGGAGGAGCAGGTGAAGGGAGTGATTTGTCACTGCACTCAGAAAGAGGTGCTGCCCGAGGGTGCTGCTGCAGAGGTGCCACTCAGAGGGTGGCCGAATCCTGACAGCAGTGGGGGGGAGACAAGTGTGGTTGGCATGAGCTTTTTGGAAAGGGAAAGAGACGAGCTAAGAGTGCGGTGGGAGGCGGCAGAGGAGAGACGGAGGGAGCTGGAAGCGATTGTGAGTAAAACGGGTTTGCAGCTAGAGAGGGTGGGTGGGGTTGAGGAGGTTGAGAGGGCGAGTGGAGAGGCAGAGAGAGGGAGGGAGGAGGCGTTGAAAGAGAGGGACGAGGCGGTGAGAGGAAAGGATGAAGCTGAGAAGGCAAGGCAAGAGGCGGAATTGAGGGTTGAGGAGGCGGAGAAGCAGAGGGATGAGGCGGTGAAAGCGTGGGAGTGTGCGGAGGAGGCAAGGAGAGAGGCGGAGGCAGCAAGGGATGAAGCTCTGGAATCAAGAGAAGGCATTCAGAAGTCGTGGGATGATGCTGAGGAGGCGAGGAGAGGGACGGAGGCAAGGCTTGAAGAGCTTAAGCAGGCTTTGGAGGAGGCTGAAAGGGCAAGGCAAGAGGCTGAGATGGCAAAGCAAGTGGCAGAGGCGGCGAGAGAGGAGGCTGAGGCAGCTTGGAAGGAGGCAGTGGAGAAAGCAGAAGAGGCGGAGGAGAGGAGCGAGAAGAGGTGTGAGGAGGAGAGGAAGGTGAGGGACGAAGCTGAGAGGGCGAGGGAGGAAGCTGAAAGAATGAGAGAGGAGGCTGAGAAGGGAAGGGAGGAGGCGGTAGCGAGACAAGCCATGCCGTGCAGTGCGTGCGCTGAAAAAGACGAGGCGATGCAGTCCATTCTCAACGAGCTTGTTGCCGCCCAGGCTACGTCCGAAGCTGCCATAGCGTCGGCGGCTACCAACGCTGCGGTGGAGATTCGGGCGGAGCTTCGGATGGCGCAGGAAGGGTGGGAGAAGAGGCTGAGTGAAGTGGAAGGGGAGTTAGAGCGTGTGAAAGGGGAGGGAGAGAAGCTTGAGAAGAGAGTGAAGGAAGCGGAGGGGGAGGGTGTGAGATTGCGAGAGGAGGTGGAGGGAGAGAGGAAGGGGAGGGAGGAGGAGAGAGCTGCCAAGGAGGAAGAGAAGAGAGCAAAGGAAGAGGAGAGGAAGGCGAAGGAGGAGGAGAGGGAGAGACGGGAGCAGGCGGAGGCAGGGAGGAGGGCAGCGGAGGAGGAGGCGCAGTTGACTAGGGAGGACCTGGAGGTGATGCGAGACGCAAAGAGGGAGACGGTGCGGAACCTCACAGACTCACTGCTGGCAGCGGAGGAGCAGAGGAAGCGACTGCTGTTCCTGCTGCGCAAGGCACAGGTCATCGAAGGTGAGCCATTGGTGTGAGTGTGTGTAGGGTTTTTTGTTACAATAAAAGCAACCCGCAGCGAAGAGGGAGACGGTGCGGAACCTCGCAGACTCATTGCTGGCCGCGGAGGAGCAAAGGAAGCGACTGCTGTTCCTGCTGCGCAAGGCGCAGGTCATCGAAGGAGAGAATTTGGGATAGATAGATTGCAAGTGGGGGTTGCTTGCGAATAGTTTGCCAGTTGAGGTATGGTAATGAAGCTGGTTGTCCGGTCAGTGAGTGAGCACGTTTTGAGGCACCTCAAAAGTCGTCTGTGTTTTGAGGCGCCTCAAAAGGTATGGTGATGAAGCAAGTGAAGGGCTGGTTGTCCGGTCAGTGAGTGAGCATGTTGCAAGCAAGAATTCTTTTGCTCCTTTCGTGTTGCCTTGTGCCCTCCATGCAGGTCTCTAGCACCCAGACATATGTACAGGAATGACATAGATCATCCTTATATTGTCTCCGAGGAGATTGTTTTGCAAGCATTGCTGGATAGTGGTCGTAGAAACTCTGTTGACACTGGTTTATAGTATTAATGAATTCCGTGTTAGTGTATACAACCTTTTTCTGTACAATTTGAACGTTATTCAGAGGTTTGGTGATGCTTCTGATTGTTTATTTGGGGACTTCGCAACGCAATTTGTTTTTTTATCAAAGGCTTTGAACACGAGACACATTTATTGTTCATTTAGGGAGTTCTCTAGTTACCTTTCTAGAGTTTTCAGGACAGTATTCAAATCGCATTCTTGGTACATAACGCGTGTGAAGTGACACAAAAAAATCGGACGTGAATTCTCTGCACCACGGGAAACCCTATTGAACCGCACAAGGTCAACAGAAGACCAGCCCGTTAGGAGGAACATTCAGCACCGCAGTAGACTAATCAGGTGTGCAGGAATCATCGCAAGCATGGTGGAGCGCGCAGCGTACCAGCGGTCGCGCAACGCGTCGCAACAGCGGCGGACATCGCAGCAGCAGCAGCAGCAACAGCAAGGCCAGTCGCACAGCCAGGTCGCACAGCCGTCGCAACAGCCGCAGTCGCAGCAACAAGAGCAGGCGCAGGGGCACAATGTGAACACCGCGGCTCAGCCGCCAAGCGCGCAGGCGCAGGCGCAGCCCGCGCAGCAAAGGACTCATCAGCGCGCGCTTCCCCCACAGCAGCGGCAACCAGCGCAGCAGAAGCGGCAGCAGTTGCGCCAGACCGCGGCGCAACGGCGCACGTCGCTAGCGCAGGCCGCGCGGCAAACTGGAGGGGATGCGGGGAAGGCGGAACATGGCCAGGGGGATCGGGGGAAGCCGCCGCAGGGTCAGGGGGGGCATGGGAAGGCGCAACTGGCCGGGGGAGCAAACCCGCCAGCGCACGCCCCGCTTCCGCCTCTTCCGCGGAAGCAGCAAACGCGGGTGCAAGCGCAGGTGGCGCAGCAGGGGGAAGCGCAGGCGGAAAAGCAGGCGGGGCAGCAGGGTGGACAGCAAGGGGGGGGGCAGTATAGGGGGCAGCAAGGGGGGCAAGCGCATAGGTTACAACAAGAATCATCACAGCCGCAACCAGAACAGCACCAGCAGCAGCACCAGCAGCAGCACCAGCAGCAGCACCAGCAGCAGCAGCATAATTCCTCCGGGCAGGATGCCACTCACGGGCAGGCGTCCGGGCAGACGAAAGGGCACCCTCAACCAGACAGGCAGGAGCCGGGGGGGCAACCCCAAGCCCACGGGCAGGGAAGCGGGCAGACTTCCGGGCAGGTTCCCGGGCAGGTTTCGGAGCAGCTGCCAATGCACGAAGGCCACGTGGAGCATGCTATTCTGCCTGAGCGGCCGGATTGGCTGGATGATTACGAGATAGTGGGGAAGATCGGCGAGGGGACGTATGGGCTGGTGTATCTGGCTAAGGACCGGCGCAAGGGCAAGGGGTCGGGGCGGTCGGCTCTTAAGAAGTTCAAACAGACCAAGGAGGGCGATGGCGTGTCTCCCACTGCCATCCGCGAGATCATGGTGAGAGGGGAAAAAGAAGAAGGCGAGGGGTAGGGGGAGGGGAGGGAGAGGGGATCAAGGGAGGGGGAGGGCAAGGGGGAGGGAGAGAGGGAGAGGGTGAGGGCAAGGGGTTGGGGAGGTGGGCTGGGGTGAAGAAGGCAACGTGCAACGTCCACATCCGCTACCACACATGCCATTCGATGCCACCCTGTTGCTCCCTTGCTTTCTCGTTCTCGTTCTCTTTTCCTGCCGGACTCTTCCTTCCTCCACCAGCTACAACAAGAGTGCGAGCACGAGAACACAGTGCACAGCTGCTGAACACAATGAGTGATCACACAAGCCACCCTCTTTCTGTCTTGCTGTCTTGCTCGCTTGTTCTGCCCCCTCACCAGCTACTACAGGAGTGTGAGCACGAGAACATAGTGCAGCTGCTCAACGTGCACATCAACCACCCCCTTGCTCCCTTGCTCCCTCTCTCCCCGTCCCCTGCCTGCCTCTCTCCTCTCCCTCCACCCCCCCCACAACACACCAGCACTTACAGGAGTGTGAGCACGAGAACATAGTGCAGCTGCTCAACGTGCACATCAACCACCCCCTTGCTCCCTTGCTCCCTCTCTCCCCGTCCCCTGCCTGCCTCTCTCCTCTCCCTCCACCCCCCCCACAACACACCAGCACTTACAGGAGTGTGAGCACGAGAACATAGTGCAGCAGCTGCTCATCAACCACAACGACATGTCGCACGACCTCTATGTGAGCACGACCTCTATGTGAGCACGACCTCTATGTGAGCACGACCTCTATGTGAGCACGACCTCTATGTGAGCACGACCTCTATGTGAGCACGACCTCTATGTGAGCACGACCTCTATGTGAGCACGACCTCTATGTGAGCACGACCTCTATGTGAGCACGACCTCTATGTGAGCACGACCTTTATAAGGTTAAGCATGCTGGGTATTCGTGCGTGTGCACCTTGTGCACAATCCCTGCACACACCGTCCGCTTCCTCCGCGAGCATCTGAAGCGCACTCCCTCTGTGAATCCTAACCGATTCAGTGCCATCTTCACATGCCATTTCCCCATACCCCCCCCCTCCACCCCCCACCCCCCCCCACGCCGTCTCCATACGCCTTGCCATGCGTGCGCGCCGCAGGAAATTATCCGTTTCCACCGCGAGCACCTGAAACGCCCTTTCTCTGTTGGTGCTATGATGCGAGGAAATCACACACACCATATGAGCGGCTCTTGGGCATTCCCCAAAACACCATCCCACCATCCCATCCATACCCATCAGGAGATCATCCGCTTCCACCGCGAGCATCTGAAACGTCCCCTGTCTGAATACACGGTGAAGTCGCTGCTCTGGCAGCTGCTCAACGGGCTGCACTACCTGCACAGGTGGGTAGGAGGGTGGGCAAGGCACTCAATTAGCATCTGAAGCGCCCTCTCTCCGAGTACACTGTCAAGTCGCTGCTCTGGCAGCTGCTCAATGGGCTGCACTACCTACACAGGTGGGCGGGTGGTTGTACCGTGTGTGGAAGGCGGTTCGAGGCATGCACATTTCAAGCACATGTCAAGCTCCTGTCAAGCTCCTGTCAAGCTCCTGTCCCCCTCCATCATAAGGATTGCCGAGCAGGCGTTTCCTATGCAGCTCCCGTCATGCACGCAGGAGTCTCTTGCCCAACCAGCCCTGCACCTGCTTCTGTCCAACTGCATTCACAAGTTGTGATCCTCTCTGCTCTGCTCTCGCGAAAAACTTTGGCCCCCCGTAGCAGCAATCACTTGTTTAATTGGATTCACATCGCCCCGTCTTTTGTTTTGCGCAGCAATTGGATTATCCATCGGGACCTGAAGCCTTCTAACATCCTTGTAAGCTCTTTCGGTGTGAGGCGGTCTGTGCAGGCACGCACTGTGTTGATATCCAGTGGCAGTGCATATTCTGGTGCCACATTCAGTGTTGAGAAGGCTTTAAAGCTGGTGTCTTCTGACTAAGTTTATGTGATTTTCCCATAGATTCTGCCATGTACATGGCAGATACATAGATAAACACATGTGAGGGTGGGTGTGCTCACCTATAAACACAGATACACACACACACACACACTCTCTCTCACTCTCACTCACTCTCGCATACCCACCCTGACCACCAGGTGATGGGCGAGGGCGAGGAGCAAGGGGTGATCAAGATCGGCGACTTTGGCCTCGCCCGCATCTTCCAGTCGCCCCTGCGCCCGCTCTCCGACAACGGGGTGAGTTGAGTTGAGCGCAGTGAGTTGAAGACTTCTTGGTCCTTCAATCCAATCTAATGCGATTCAATCAATCCAATCTAATGCGATTCAATCAATCCAATCTAATGCGATTCAATCAATCCAATCTAATGCGATTCAATCAATCCAATCTAATGCGATTCAATCAATCCAATCTAATGCGATTCAATCAATCCAATCTAATGCGATTCAATCAATCCAATCTAATGCGATTCAATCAATCCAATCTAATGCGATTCAATCAATCCAATCTAATGCGATTCAATCAATCCAATCTAATGCGATTCAATCAATCCAATCTAATGCGATTCAATCAATCCAATCTAATGCGATTCAATCAATCCAATCTAATGCGATTCAATCAATCCAATCTAATGCGATTCAATCAATCCAATCTAATGCGATTCAATCAATCCAATCTAATGCGATTCAATCAATCCAATCTAATGCGATTCAATCAATCCAATCTAATGCGATTCAATCAATCCAATCTAATGCGATTCAATCAATCCAATCTAATGCGATTCAATCAATCCAATCTAATGCGATTCAATCAATCCAATCTAATGCGATTCAATCAATCCAATCTAATGCGATTCAATCAATCCAATCTAATGCGATTCAATCAATCCAATCTAATGCGATTCAATCAATCCAATCTAATGCGATTCAATCAATCCAATCTAATGCGATTCAATCAATCCAATCTAATGCGATTCAATCAATCCAATCTAATGCGATTCAATCAATCCAATCTAATGCGATTCAATCAATCCAATCTAATGCGATTCAATCAATCCAATCTAATGCGATTCAATCAATCCAATCTAATGCGATTCAATCAATCCAATCTAATGCGATTCAATCAATCCAATCTAATGCGATTCAATCAATCCAATCTAATGCGATTCAATCAATCCAATCTAATGCGATTCAATCAATCCAATCTAATGCGATTCAATCAATCCAATCTAATGCGATTCAATCAATCCAATCTAATGCGATTCAATCAATCCAATCTAATGCGATTCAATCAATCCAATCTAATGCGATTCAATCAATCCAATCTAATGCGATTCAATCAATCCAATCTAATGCGATTCAATCAATCCAATCTAATGCGATTCAATCAATCCAATCTAATGCGATTCAATCAATCCAATCTAATCCAATCCAACCCGACCCAATACAATCAGCATGTTGTTTTCTCTGACTGATGGTCGACTTGTTGGCGACTCAGCTTAAATTCTCTGCCATTCACTTGTCTCTCCCTGGCCCCTTTCTAGACCTTCAAGTTGCTTCGGTGGCCATTCCCTACTGTGCTTTCTGAGACGCTCACTTTTCACTTGCTTAACCTTCCCCGTGCTTTTTGCTGGGCTTCTGTGTCCATCCTCCGTGCATGTCTGTCCAAGTTGTTGCTACCATCTGCTATTCCTTGCTACATCCCGACACTCCCTGTCCCCCTCTCCCTTTTCCTCACGCCTCTCCCCACTCCCCTTGTGTGCCCAAGTGGTGGAAACCATATGGTATCAAAACCCCTTTGAGTCGTCTCAAAAGGCATGCCTCACCTCACGCCTCTCTTCAATCTGGTGTTTGAGAATTCTAAAAAAACATATGGTATCAAAACCCCTCTGAGTCGTCTCAAAAGGCATGCCTCACCTCACGCCTCTCTTCAATCCCCTTGTGCCCCCCAGGTTGTGGTGACCATCTGGTATCGATCCCCAGAACTGCTGCTAGGCTCACGGCACTACACATGTGCTGTCGGTATGTGTTTTAGCTTTTCTCCCTGTCTTCCACCTTCCCTTGTTGTTTTAAGGCTTTAGGTTCCTGCCTCTCCTCTCCTTCCTTCCACCGCTTCCCACCTGCGTCACCCTGCCTGCTTCACTCTGCTTGCGTCCTTCTGCCACTCGATTACCCCGTACCATCATCCACCGCAACACCCTGTACGGGAAGGCATGTGGGCGTTAGGGCCAAACCAATATTTCTGCTGCCTTTCATCTGCCCGTGTTTGAACCGCCCGTTATCTACCACCACCACCCTTAACCACCAGACATGTGGGCGGTGGGGTGCATATTCGCGGAGCTCCTCACACTCAAGCCCTTGTTCCAAGGCCTCGAGGATAAGACCTCCGCCAATGCCTTCCAGGTGCGCTGCTCCCCTTACTGCTCCTGCTCCTGCTCCTGCTCCTGCTCCTGCTGCTGATGGTATTTCTTTTCTCTCCATGGTTCGTTCGTACTGCTTGTCTCTGTCACGCTTCGCACCCTTTTCCCTCATCCCTTCCTGCTCATCCGCCGACAAAGCTCGCCCTTTTTCGCTCAACCCACCTCCCTCACCTCGTACTCACATCTTCTTTGCACGGCAGAAGGACCAGCTGGATAAGATCTTCAGAGTGCTAGGTGGGTGCTGGGTGGTGATAGGTGGTGATAGGTGGTGATAGGTGGTGATAGGTGGTGATAGGTGGTGATAGGTGGTGATAGGTTGGTGATAGGTGGCTGGATACAAGGTGCGTGGTTTGGGTACACCTGCGAACATGTCTGTAGCGTATGAAATATTAATCCTTGACTAAAATCGCAGGCAAAGTCACAGGCAGTCGACTCACCACTTACAACCAAGTCAAACCGAAGCACACCCGCAGGCCATCTTAAGGTTCACAAGTTGTCCAACGCTGCTTCTCTACCAAGTGAGGTGCTCACTCTCTGTCACCGCCTTTCACTCCTCTCAACCCCTTCCCACACCTATTCCCACACCTATCAGGCCACCCCACAGTGGACAAGTGGCCAATGCTGCAGTACCTTCCACATTGGCAGGCGAACCGCCAACTCATTCAAGACAAGAAGTAGTGAGTTGTGGTTCGCTCTGCATGGATTCACAGTAAATGAGCTGTTGCACACCTGGTCTCTCATGCTCTCATGTGCCTCTGCCCGTGTGCCCCTTTTGCCCGTATGCCCGTATGCCCTTATGCCCTTATGCTTGTATGCCGGTTTGCCGTATGTACTTTCACCCTTATGCCCTTATGTCCTCATAACCGTCTTCTCCTCTGCTCTCACTGCTGTCCTGTTCCTCCTCTCCCTCCCTTCACTCCTCTTGCAGCCCCAGCAGCCTTACCGCATTCTGCACAGCTGGTCTTCATGCTCTCATGCTCCCATGCTCCCATGCTCTCATGCTCCCATGCTCCCATGCTCCCATGCTCTCATGCTCCCATGCTCCCATGCTCCCATGCTCTCATGGTCTCATGTGCTCCTCGCCCTTCCCACAGCCCCCAGCTGCAGCCTTACCGCATTCTGCACAGCTGGTCTTCGTGCCTTCATGCCTTCATGCTCCCATGCTCCCATGCTCTCGTGCTCCCACCCATGCTTTCATGTGCCCCTCACCCCCCTCACAGCCCACAGCCAGAGCTCTACCGCATTCTGCACAGCTGGTCGCCCAACTCGCATGCCGTCAACCTGCTGCTGCGCATGCTCGAGTGCGTACCCCATCTCCTCTCTTTTCATGCGCCTCCAACGGCTCAAAACCTACGCTCACAAGTACCATAGCATGATGACTGTTGAATCGGCCCCGCACAGTTCTCCGGGTTCATAAGCCGCGCTCACAAAAAACACATGCCAGTGGATGGTGTTGCAGCACTGTGGATGGTGTTGCAGTACTGTGGATGGTGTTGCAGTACTGTGGATGGTGTTACAGTACTGTGTCTTAATCATGTTGCCCCGGCATGTGACACGACAAACTATCCTAATAACACGTCGCTCCTCAACTTCTTCCCAAGAAACCATACCGACATAGCTATGAACGTGCTTTTGAGTCGACTCAAAAGTCTCTTCCCAAGAAACCATACCGACATAGCTATGAACGTACGCGCTTGTTGGGCAACTTCGTTCCGTCCCTCCAACTTCGCATCTCATTGCTTCTCGTTGCATCCCGTTGCTTCTCGATGCATGTTTTCCCTGGAAATTCGTGTGTCAACATCCTGTCTCCTCGTGTGCTCCCAGTACAGACGTTGCATCTCTATGTTTTCACAGACCTGTACTTTGCAGGCCACCTGTCCATTGTTGACAAGTCCTCGTGTGTTCCCAGTACAGACGTTGCATCTCTTTGCGCTTGCTTGCCCCTGCCACGCCCTGCCTGCGTTCTTGCAGCTATGACCCCAAGAAGCGGATAACAGCAGGGCAGGCACTCGAGCACGAGTGAGTGCCCTTTATTTGGTTTATTTGGTTTATTTGGTTTATTTGCTTTATTTGCTTTATTTGCTTTATTTGTCCCAGCTACAGAGAGCCTCAAGCTGGAAAGACCAAACGCACCCACGGCACCCTCGCGCTCAATTGAGTTTGCTCCGTCAGTCATTCTTTTGTCCTTTTCCTCTTCTGACCTCCCTCATTTCCACCACGCTCATATCTTTCTGCGTACCTCTAATATTCCCCCCGCCTCCTCTCTTCTCTCCTCCTTCCTCATGCCTCACTCGACCACCCTCACTTGCCGCACTTGTCTCACTGTCTCTCTTGTTTTAATCGCCTCATTGGTTTCATTTGCCTCGCTTGCTTCACCCCTCTTGCAGGTACTTCCGCATCGACCCGCTTCCCGGCCGCAAGTCAGTACTCTCCTCCCCACGCCCCTCTCCTCCACACGCCCCTCTCCTCCACACGCCCCTCTCCTCCACACGCCCCTTTACTCCACCACACCATTTCTTGCGTTCCTTCACATCACTCCTGCTTGGATGTCCCTTGTTCTCTATTCCCCTCACCCTCTTCCCTCACCCTCTTCCCTCACCCTCTTCCCTCACCCTCTTCCCTCACCCTCTTCCCTCACCCTCTTCCCTCACCCTCTTCCCTCACCCTCTTCCCTCACCCTCTTCCCTCACCCTCTTCCCTCACCCTCTTCCCTCACCCTCTTCCCTCACCCTCTTCCCTCACCCTCTTCCCTCACCCTTCACACCTTCCCCCTTCTCCTCTGCCCCCTTTCCTCCTCTTCCCTCCCCCCAGCTCGTTCTTCGCAGGCCACCACCCCATGGAGCGCCCAGTGGTGTATTTCAAGCGTCCAAGCCCCTGCATTCCCACCCTCCCTGTTTTCCTCTCCACCCCCTCTCCTCCTTCCCCCTCCCCCAATTCCCCCCCAGCTCGTTCTTCTCAGGCCACCCCATGGAGCGCCCAGTGGTATCCCCAAGTGCCTTCCCTTTTCCCACTCACCTCACCCCTTCCCCTTCCCCCTCTCCCTCTCTCACCCTTTCCTCCTCTCCCCTCCCTCAGCTCGTTCGTCTCAGGCCACCCCAGGGAGCGCCCAGTGGTGTACCCAAAGCGCATGCCAGTTCCCTGTGACCCTGACCCTGTCCCCCCTTATCCTTCCCCCCTCTGTCCCCCTCGCTCTCAGCTCGTTCTTCTCAGGCCACCCCATGGAGCGCCCAGTGGTATCCCCAAGTGCCTTCCCTTTTCCCACTCACCTCACCCCTTCCCCTTCCCCCTCTCCCTCTCTCACCCTTTCCTCCTCTCCCCTCCCTCAGCTCGTTCGTCTCAGGCCACCCCAGGGAGCGCCCAGTGGTGTATCCCAAGCGGCTGCCAGTCCCCTGTTCCCCTCACCCTTTTCCCTCGTGTCCTTTCTTCCACCCCTCTCCTTTTCTTCCTCCCCCGCAGCTCCTTCTTCTCAGGCCACCCCATGGTGCGCCCAGTGGTGTACCCCAAGCCCATGCCACTTCCCTCTCAACCCCTCTCAACCCCTGCCAACAGCTCGTTCTTCTCAGGCCACCCCATGGAGCGCCCAGTGGTGTACCCCAAGCGCCCTGTGGACCTCTCAACTGATTTTGAAGGCATCTCCACCCTCTCCTCCGCTGCTGCCTCCTCCCATGTCGCTGCTCTCTCTGCCATGCCTCCACCGCACCAGCAGCATCATCAGCAGCACCAGCATCAGCATCAGCAGCAGCAGCACCATCAGCAGCAGCAGCACCATCAGCATCAGCAGCAGCAGCAGCATCAGCAGCAACAGCAGCAACAGCAGCAGCAGCAACACCATCGGCACCATCAGCAGGTGGGTGGGTGTGCATGGGTGTGCATGGGTGCGAGTGTGGGTATGCATGAAGGGATGGGCTCGTTGAAGCCTGGAAGTATGGAGATTGCGTTTTCATGCCACTGTGTCGCCATTCCGCATACCATCATGCCCATACCATCCATGCCCCATACCATCCATGCCCCATACCATCATGCCCATACCATCCATGCCCCATACCATCATGCCCATACCATCCATGCCCCATACCATCATGCCCATACCATCCATGCCCCATACCATCCATGCCCCATACCATCCATGCCCCATACCATCCATGCCCCATACCATCATGCCCATACCATCCATGCCCCATACCATCCATGCCCCATACCATCCATGCCCCATACCATCCATGCCCCATACCATCCATGCCCCATACCATCCATGCCCCATACCATACATGCCCCATACCATCATGCCCCATACCATCATGCCCCATACCATTATGCCCCATACCATCATGCCCCATACCATCCATGCCCCATACCATCCATGCCCCATACCATCCATGCCCTGTACCATCTATGCCCCATTCCCCACCTCCCATCCCCCACCCATCCCCCCAAACAGCCATCAGCGCCAGGGCAGCGCATGGCCACATTAGTGTGTGTGTTGTCCGTTCCCCACCCCACATTACCCACCCCCCCAATCCCCACCCCTCCCGCCACACCCCATCCCCCACCCCTCTCCCCACAATCCCCCACACCTTCCCCCACCAGCCATCAGCGCCAGGGCAGCGCATGGCCAACGTCACCCTGCTGCACCGCTCGGGGTCAGGAGGAGGGAGCGGGGAGGGGAGCGCAGGTGCCGTGGGCAGTGGCGGGGGGAGCAGGGGTGGGGGGCAGGGGGCAGGGGGGAGTCAGCAGGGGCAGCAGGGGTATCAAGGGCAGCAGCAACAGCACAATCAGCCGCATCACAGCCAGCAGCAGCACAGCCAACAGCAGGTTTCCCAGGGACAGATCCAGCAGCAGCACCATTTTCACCCTCCCTCACAAGTATGGGACCCGTTGAACCCTCTGCATGTGTTCATGTGGACCGTGCATGTTCTATATGTCATGTATGCTATGGATTGTGGATGTGATGCATCAACATGATGCCATCACATTCATCCTCCTTTCCTCCATCCCCATGCTGTCAGGGTTATCATCCTTTCCGCCTTCACCATGCCATAATGTTTATCCTTATCCTCCATTCCCATGCCATCACATTTATCCCAATGCCTTCATGTTTATCCTAATTGCCTACACCCCCCATGGTTAGAACCTACTTAAACACCCATCCCCCAACCTACTTGGTGCTTCAAAACCACTTGCGATATGCAGCCGCGCAGCACGAGGGAGAGGAGCGGTCTGGCGCACGGGCAGCCCGCCACCAAGATTCGACGAATTTAGACGCCAGTCGACACGTGTACATTAACATGTATAGAACATTTTGCACATTTCCGGGAATGAAGTTATGCAATCATATAAGCAAGAGTTAAGCACAATTTGAAAAGAGAAGAAGAAAATTTGAACATTCTGACCTTTTTTACTACACAGCAATGTTTTTAAAGGGCTGGATAGCAACCTTAGAAAGAATCTTGCTGGTAGGATAAAGTGACTCAACTCTAATATAGAATGCAGTAGACTGGGAAAGAGGTCTATGCTTTCCAACCGAGCTTCATTGGTTCATGTTTTAAACGCGATATTTATTGGGTTCTACATCCTCGCCGCTTCGTCCGCCGCGATTTTGCGAATCGGGTCGAACTAAGTCGCAGATAATTAGTCCAGTCGCGTTGATATGGCAGCCCGCGTTCGTTTCGTCCAGCCACGCTGTTAGTTTGCCATACATAGATAATACCGTTACTCACTCTGGCAGCAGCGATCGAATTTGGAACCTTTGTCCCGCAATTACAGCGACACGTGGCAGCCAGCATATCGAATTTTATGTCGACTGAAAGCGCACCGAGCGAATCGTTGATCAGCATCACGTCGATTACTCGTATAATGGCAATGAGTGCTCTGACACTAATATAGGCGATTTGCGTTACAAGCTTTCGGCTTCGTCTGACGACAAGTTAGCAGGTTCCGATCCGTTTCTCTGCGATGTTTAAGAAGAAGAATTTCCGTCGCAGGCAGGACGACGACGACGATGGCGACGGTGGGGGCGAAGGCGATGCGCGAAACGGCGGGACCGCCGCCGCGAAGCCCGTTGCCTTAAAGACGACCAGTAACAAACCTAAGGCGGCTCCGGCGACGACTAAGGCGACACCGTCGAGCTTGCTTAGCTTCGCAGCCGACGAGGAGGGAGAGGGCGACGATGGCGGGCCGTTCGGCATGGCGATCGCCGTGGGGGGGAGACCAAAACCTAGCTCGAAAGAATCCAAAGCAAAATCCAGATCGGCGGGGTTCGGTACGGGGCATGGGGAGGGGCATAGAGTGAACAGGGATAAGAAGGGCCGGGAGGAGCGGAAAGGGCGTGAGGAGAAGCGGGAGGGCGGGAAGGGCGGCGGCGGGGTGGTGGTGGGGGGACCGTCCGCTGGCGGCGCGCTGAACGTGATGCCGCAATCTGGGGAATACACCAAGGAGAAACTCGCGGAATTGGCGGTATGCACACTCCTCGCCTCCCCCTCCCCCTCTCCTCCCCCCCTCCTCCCCCCCGGTCCAGTGGATTTCTGCATGAGTTGCTGCATGCCTGCATGCATGAGCCGCCACTGACCCTCAGTTCATTTCTGTCGTCTTATTGGGACAATCGCACATTGCATCTCCTTGCCCCTCCCCCGTCTCCTTCCTCCATCTCCATCCCACTCCTCTCACTAACCCACTGTGTTCTGGTTGCTCCCTCCCACCTTCCCCTTCTCTCCCCCCCTCCACCTTCCCCCCCTTCCCCCCACCACCCCCACCACCCCCGCCACCCCCGCCACCCCCGCCACCCCTCCCAACAGCGCAACACCATGCGCATTGCAGCGCCTTCGTCCGCCTCCAGGCGCACACCCCCTCCCCCTTCCGCCTCTATCGCTGCAGCAGGCGCAGCCCTCTCCGCCTCCGCGGCCCCCTCCTCCACTGTCACCCCGCCCTCCCTCTCCGAACCTCTCATCGTGCTTCGGGGATCGCTCAAACCCGCAGGCTCAGCAGCCGCCGAAGCAGAGACCGGAGCTAGCGGTTCCGGTGCATCAGGTTCGGCAGGTGCTGCAGCAGGAATGGGAGGATTGGGAGGTTTGGGAGGAGGCCTAGGAACAAGCTTAAGAAAGGCAGGGGGTAGTTATATTGGCGGTACTTTTATCCCAGACGCTGCTGCTATAGCAGCGGCAAAGGCAAAGAGAGAGAGATTAAGACAGGCCAAAGCAGCACCAGATTTTATCCCCCTTCCAGGGTCTGATAGATCTGATATGGCCGGGCTAGGGAGTATGAGGGGGGTGGAAGACGAGATGGGGGAGGAGGAGGGGGAGAAAGGGAAGGGGGAGCAGTCGAGTGAAGATGAGGAGGAGGCTTTGGGGGGAAGAGTGGCGCTAGGGGGGGTGTTGGGGGGGGATAGGGGGAGTGGGCGGGGGAGGGGAGGGAAGGGGAGGGGAGGGAGTGGAGAGGTGAACGGGGAGCGGAGAGGGCGGGGGATGCGGGAGGAGGAGGATGGAGAGGAGGAGGAGGAGAGGGAGAAAGAGGCAGAGGAGGATGAGGAGGAGAGGAGGTGGGAGGAGGAGCAGTTGCGCAAGGGAGTGGGTCGAATGGTGTCTGTGCCAGGAGCTACAGGGGGGAAGGACGGGGGATTGGGGGCAAAAACTGGGGGGGAGAAAGGGGGCGGTGTGGGGGGAATGGGGGGAGGGGGAGTGGAGGGAGGGCGGAGTGCAAGGGAGGTGTTTTCAGGGGGGATGAGGGCAGGCGCGTGGGGATATGGGGGGGCAGCGGGGGGCGCAGGGGGGATGGGAGGTGCAGGGTCGATAGTAGCGGAAGGGGATGAAGTGATGAAGTTCCTGAGAGAGGGCCTTGCGAGACTGCAGGTGCGTGCTCTTAATGAATGGGCTCTAAACGAATGTGATATAGCCAGCTCGCTATCCGCATTCTACCTATTTCTCCACACCATTCAGCTTCAGCACCACACTTTACATTGCAACGCTTCTCACCATGCTGCACCACACTCTCCACAGCTCCACGCCTTTCAGCACCACTCCCTCCACTGCTCCAGACCGTGCTTCACCGTTTACCACTGCCAATCACCCTACACCACTCTACTCCACTCCACCCCTTCCCTCCCTCCCTCTCCAGGCCTCACAATCCAAGGCTGAGCGGGAGGCTCGGGAGGCGGAGGATCGGCTGGTGGCGGCGGCAGAGGAGGTGTTGGAGCTGGAGAGGGCGATGAAGGGCGCTGAGAGCAAGTACCGCTTCGTGCAGGACCTCAGGCAATACATCGCCGTGTTGTGCGATTTCCTCAAGGTGAGTTGAGGCTCACTACTGGTCAAGTCACTTCTGGGGGCGCTATACGTGGCTGTGCTGTGTGACTTTCTCAAGGTGAGTCCTGGGCTGGCTTCGTGCATGTGAGGCGGAGGATCGGCTGGTGGCGGCGGCAGAGGGGGTGTTGGAGTTGGAGAGGGCGATGAAGGGCGTTGAGAGCAAGTACCGCTTCGTGCAGGACCTTCGGCAATAAGTCGCCGTGCTCTGCGACTTCCTGAAAGTGAGCTGCCTCAGAATAAGCTCTGTGACTTCCTCAAGGCGAAGCTGGCTCCTCCTGGTGGCTTCTGGGGGCGCTGAGAGCAAGTACCGATTCGTGCAGGACCTGCGGCAATACGTGGCCGTGCTGTGTGACTTCCTCAAGGTGAGGTTGGTTGGCTCCTTCTGGCTTCTGACAGCTCTGAGAGCAGCTTCGTGCAGGGCATGCCGTAGCACGTCGTTGTGCTTTATGACTTCTGCGATTGTAAGTTTCGATTCGAGGGCACTGTGGGGCAGTAAGGAGTTAAGTAGGTTAGTCCTTGAATGCACTCCCTCGAAAGCCCTCCTCCTCCCCGTCTCCCTTGTCACATCAGGGCCGTCTCGGTCTCGCTTGTCACATCAGGGCAACGCGAAAGAGTCGCTGGAGGAGTCGCTGCAGCATTAGCTGCCGTAGAGTGGCAATTCACATGTCACGTCCTTAGATATACGCACCTCGAGCTGTGTATGGCCCTGACTATTTCACTATCTTTCCTCCCCCCCCTCTCTCATCAGGACAAGGCGGCATTGATAGAGGAGCTTGAGGAGTCGCTGCAGCAGCTGCTTGAATGCGCCACCCTCTTAACTAAGACTCGTCACTCCCTTTTCCCCTTTTCCTGCTGTCTCACATCAGGACAAAGCGGCGCTGATAGAGGAGTTGGAGGAGTCGCTGCAGCAGCTGCAGGAGGAGCGTGCCAACGCAGCATTCAACCGTCGACGCGCTGACCTGGTGGATGAGCTGGCGCAAGCAGAGGCTGCCACGTCAGCGGCAGCAGCAGCGATGGCACAAGGTGCCGGGACGGTGACGGCAGCGGCAGCGGCGGCAGCAGCGGCGGAGGCGGTGGTGGAAGGGGGAGGGGCGGCGGGAGGGCGGGTGGAGTTAGATGAGTTTGGAAGAGACGTGAACCTGCAGAAGCGGTGAGAGCTCTGTGGGAAGTTACGGTTTAGTTTGGAAAGGATGGGTATAAGTTGAGTGTGCTAGTGGTGGAGTATGGATGGAGCTTGTTTCTTCTTTTGTTGCGGGTGAGTTATTGGTCCCCTACACAGTAACAGCCTAACAAGTTTGATTCGCGGCGGCCACTCCCTCCCTTTCCCCCAGCTGCCGTCCCCGTCCCTCGTCATCCAGCCCCTTGCACGTACCCAAAACTCCTCGTAAACCTTACAACCTGGAGCCCATCCTTACAAACCTCTTAAAACCCCAACTCTGAACCCCGTCCTTCCACGGCATGTGCAGGTTGGAGTTCCAGAGGCGAGTGGCAGCGCGGGAGCGACGGCACGCCAAGGCTGAGGCCAGGAGGGCTGGGCGGGGCGAAGCAGAAGGGGGGGGAGGAGGTGGAGGAGGTGGTGTGGGGAGGGTGGAGGGGGAGTGGAGCAGTGATGAGAGTGATGATGAGAGGAGTGCGTACAGCTCTGGCAGGCAGGAAATACTCACTGCTGCTGGTGAGCTCCCACTACCTTTCCCCTTTTGAGACATCTCAAAACTGGAGAGTGCAGGAAATACTCACTGCAGCTGGTGAGCAACCTCCCTCCCTTTTCCTCGCATCCTACATGCTTGTTCAGATGCTGTTGCTAGATTGCCCCTGGTCATTCTTATGAGCCTACTTAAGCTACTCTGAGATGTATGTCGCTGCAAACCTGTTTTGTGCGCCGTCGAGTCAAATCAAATCAAATCAAATCAAATCAACATCATGGGTGTCGAGCAGCATCAGCCTCCTGCTGATGTGCGATTTTTGTTCTTCTGACTGGCAGGCACTGCACCCTGGCTCCCTGGCTCCCTCCCTCTCCCTGCTCCCTTCTTTCTCGCATTCGTTTTCCTCCTCCTCGTTTTCCCCTGCTTTCGCCTATCCCACCCGACCATCTCTCTGCCCTCTCCCTCCACCACTCCTCCCCTCCTCCCCTGCTGCCTCCCCCCCAGATGCGGTGTTTGCGGATGCAGCAGAGGACTACAGCAGGATAGAGCGAGTGAAGGAGCGCATGGAGCGGTGGAAGCAGCAGCATCACCCTAAACCCCTTAGTCTGCCAGCAACCGATTCCACGCTCTCCATCCCTCCTCGAACCCTTCTGCTTCCCCCCAAGATGCGGTGTTTGCAGATGCAGCAGAGGAGTACAGCAGGATAGAGCGAGTGAAGGAGCGCATGGAAGCACCACTACCCTAAACCCCTTGACCCACCAGCAAGCAAGCCAATTCCTCCTTCTCCACCCGTCCTCAAACCCCTCCTCAACCCCTGCAGATGCAGTGTTTGCGGATGCAGCAGAGGAGTACAGCAGGATAGAGCGAGTGAAGGAGCGCATGGAGCGGTGGAAGCAGCAGCACCCCTCCGCCTACCGAGACGCCTATGCCAGCATGTCAGCGCCGGCCCTCTTTGCTCCCTTTGTGCGCCTGGAGCTGCTCCGATGGGACCCGTTGTTTGGGGGAGGTGCCTTTGACTCCATGCACTGGTGAGTCAGTGAGTCGGTCAGAGAGTGATTGAACCCGCGTGCTGATTGTTCTCTCTTCGCTGGCCCTCTTTGCTCCGGTGGTGCGCCTGGAGCTGCTCCGATGGGACCCCTTCTTTGGGGGAGGCGCCTTTGACTCCATGCACTGGTGAGTGTGTTACATTGCCAGCTTCTGATAGCCGTTTTTCATATCCTTTTTCCACTACTTTCCTCCAACCGACTGTTGGTTTGATATGCCTCGTAATTAGTTCCACTGTCTCCTCTGCTCCTCCGCCCCACCCACCCCCACCCCCCACCTGATACTCAATCCTCTGTGACTACGGCCTCCCAACCGACGGGTTCAGAACTCAAAACATCTTAGAGCTCACCACCCATCACCCACCACAACCACCCTTCACCTCCCTCCATCCCGCCCAACCAGGTACTCTGTCCTCTTTGACTACGGCCTCCCAACCGACGGCTCCGAGCCTGCCCCGGACGACCCGGACACGAACCTGGTGCCGAGGCTCGTGGAGAAGGTGGGGCTGCCGATCCTGCACCACGCGCTGCAGCACTGCTGGGACCCGCTGGACCGCGCCGCGACCAACCGTGCGGCGGCAGCTGTGGAGGAGGTGCTGGTGTATGTGGAGGCGGGGGCTCCCGCAGTGGTGGAGATGGTGAAGGCCGTGGAGGGGCGGATTGAAAATGCCGTTGGGGAAATTCAGGTGAGTTTATGGCCTTTTTTTTTTTTTTTTTTTTTTTTTTCCGAAAGAGTGGCATGGCAAACGCTGGGAGGGAGGGGTGTGCGTACGAAAGCTGTGGAGGGGTTGCTGGTGTGTGTGTCTTTGAGTGGACAAAAGCACCCTTCTTAAGGAGAAGAACCACATGTGGCCTTGGTGTGGTGTGGAGGAGGTGCTGGTGTATGTGGAGGCGGGGGGCCCTCGCGGTGGTGGAGATGATGACGGCGGTAGAGTGGCAGATTGAGAGTGCTGTTGGAGAGATGCAGGTGAGTTGGTGGCTGAAATGCTTTTGAATGTACGAGTGGCATGGCAAGCTGTGAGTGGGGGAGGGGAGAGGGAGGGGTGTGCGACGACAGCTCCTTTGTTTGATGGTGTGTTTTTGAATCGACAGCCCGTTTCAGAAACCACATGTGGCCGTGGTGTGGAGGAGGTGCTGGTGTATGTGGAGGCAGGGGCACCTGCGGTGGTGGAGATGGTGAAGGCCGTGGAGGGGCGGATGGAGGGGGCTGTTGCTGAGATGCAGGTGATGCGGTGGCTGAAATGCTCGTTTTTGTACGAGTGACATGGCAAGCTGTGAGGGAGGGAGAGGGGAGGGAGGTGGGACAGCTGTGGTGGGATTGATGGTGTGTCTCTGAGTCGACAGAAGAACTCTTGTCGAAAACCGCATGTGGCCATGGTGTCGAGGAGGTGCTGTTGTTGAACTTTGAACAACCCCTTTCTTCCCCTTCTTACTTCCCCTTCGTCCGTCCCCTCCTTCCGTCCCCTTCTTCCGTCTTCTACTTCCCTCCTCCCCAACCCCCTTGCCACTGTTCGCGTGGTATTAGCGTGGCCACCGCCCATACTGGCTGAACACCGGCCCGCAAACAGTTGTTCCTTTGAAATTCTAAACACTTCTTTTCTTCCCCTTCTTCCTTCCCCTTCTTCCGTCTTCCTCTTCCCTCCTCCGTATCACCCGCCTCCTCCCCCGTTACTGCTCGCAGCTACCAGCGTGGCCGCCCCCCATACTCGCTGCCTGCCCCTCCGCTGCTCGATTCGCAGCTCAGAGATTCGGGCACGCGCTGCGCCTCATTTACAACCTGGGAAGGTGGGTTCTATTCATACCAAAGTGCGCTCGAATCAAAGGTGGCAGGTCAGGAGATGGTTGCGGAGAGCCCTTGCGTGCATCGACTCGGAGGCACCTCCAGAGATTTGGGCAGGCGCTGCGCCTCATCCGCAACTTGGGCAGGTGTGTTCACTGCCTAACTGCGTGCAATGCAAGACTGGCAGGTACCAGGAAATGGCTGTGGAGGGTAAGAGCGTCTGAAGCACCTCCAGAGGTTGGCGCTGCGCCTCATTCACAACCTGGGCATGTGGGTTCAAGAGCGTTCGATCGAAGTGGGCAGATATCAGGAGATGCTTGAGAGACACTTCAGGAGGAAGCGGCAGAGGAGAAGAACATGGTGAATGTGGGGAAAGGGCGAGGGGCGAGAGGGAGGGCATGGTGCCGGCCGCAGGTGCAGTGATGGAGAAGTTGTCGGCCTTCCGTGGTTGGCTCAAGTGATGATTCTGAGGAGCTGTTCTGAGGAACATGGTCCGTCTTCCCGTGGTCGGCATGTTCCTCAGAATCATCACTTGAGCCAACCATGAGAGGCCGGACAACTCCTCCATTATTGCACCCACGGCCAGCACCATGCCCTACTTCTCGCCCCTTGCCCTTTCCCCACACCCACCATGTTCTTCCTATTCCTCTCCTCTGCCGCTTTCCTCTGCAGCACCAGCATCACCTCCACCTGGATCACCTTGTTCTTTTCAAAACCCCTTTGTAGGAGGCATGTGACACTTGTTTTTTCTATCTCTCATCTGCAGCCTCTCTGCACCAGATCTGTAACATGGGGGAATCTCCAGGCAGTGAGACATGGTGTCTCTCAGATGCTTGTGGAGTTTCTGAGAAAGTTTAAGGAACAAGACGTCTCCAAATCTCCCTTTTATCACGTGTCTCTCAGATGCTTGTGGCTACACCGGCTGGACCGACTCGTGCTGTGCTCGATCTTCTCTAACATAGGGGGGATGGGGATGTGACAGACTGTGTGTTCCTGAATTTTGAGGCGCCTCAAATTTCCAAGGAATACACCACCCCAATCCCATCTCCCCTCCTCACCTCCATCCCCACCTCCCCCTCCAACCCTTTCCTTCTCCCCTCCACCTCCACCCCAACTCTCCCATTCACGCCACCAGGATGCGAGACGTGGTGTCTCAGCAGCTCCTAGATCGACTCGTGCTGCAGTCTCTCCTGGCCAATCAGCTGCTGCCACATCTGCGCGCCCTCGCCCCCGCGCTGCACGACGCTGTTCCCCGTACAGAGCGACTCGTTTGTGTGCTGTGTGACGGCAAGTGGGCCGGCACGGGCAGCGGCAGTGCCTTGCCTCCTTCTGCTGAACCCAGGAACAGGTGAGCTGTCTGCTCGAGTTGTACCTTATATAGAGTGATTAGGTTAGGTAAGGCTACTGCACAACACTCGTTTGTGTGTTGTGCATCTGCAAGTTACTGGCAGCAGTATCGCCTTGCCCCCTTTTGCAAAACCCAGGAACAGTAAGCTGGCTGCTCAAGGTAAGGTTACTGCACAGCACAGCACAGCACAGCACTCGCATTGCCCCCTTTTGATAAACCCATTTAGAGTGACACGTTAAGGTTACTGCACAGCACTCGTTTGTGTGCTGTGACGGCAAGTGGGTGAGCACTGGCAGCAGCAGTACCCTCCCTCCCTAAACCAGACCTGAGGTAGAAATGGAAGCACCTACGTGCAGCATGCCAAGCTGGTACCTCTTGTTTTCTCGTATGCTTCTCTGCATTGTGATCTCACTCTGCATGTGAGTGTTGCTGATGCATGTGCATCAATCTTCCCACTAGTTGCATGTGCTCTCACCGAACGCTCTCACTTGTTTCTCATCATCGTTCATGCTTGCGCCTTCTTGTGTTTCAACCAAAAACATTGAACCCGAAAACCCTCACAGTCCTAGGTCTCCTCTATCACAGCTGGTGGCTTATATCGAAACGCTGGGTCGGTCTGTAGAGAGTCGGAGTGCTGTGGAGGGGCAGAGGGAGGAGTGTGTGGGGCTGGCGAGGCGGCTGAAGCGCATGCTGGTGCAGATGGAGGAAATGGATAAGGCCAGGGCGCTTGGCAAGGTGTTTGGTATCAAAGAGGCCCTGTAGCTTCGAATTTTGTGGAGGGGCAGAGGGAGGAGTATGTGGAGCTGGCAAGGAGGCTGAAAGGCATGCTGGTGCAGATGGAGGAATAGGACAAGGCCAAGGCGCTCGGCAAGGTGTTCGGCATCAAAGAGGCAGTGTAGTGTGTTGTGTTCTTGATACTAAGAGCGTATTCCTATCCTCGTATCGAGAGAACCTCATATCATCTTCCCACTGAAAATTCCCCTAAACCCGAAACCTCTCGCTAGTTTTACCAGGCAACAAGTACAATCTTGATATGAGGTTCTCTTGATACGAGGATAGGAATACGCTCTAATGTCGCATATGTTACAATCAAATTCTTCACTCTTCTGGAAAAGGTTGGGAAACATTATCAGAAAATGCTCTATCACCCGTCACCGGTAACAATTCTCGGGGCTTATCCTGTGGGGACGGAGCAAGGTACAGTTTCTAGTCAAATACTAATGCATGTATGCTGGATTTTGAGCCTGCGAAGTTTAACAGGTGTACATAATCCGAAGCGCGGGTCTCCCTATACCTGGAGCTGGTTGTTCAACGAACCTTGCCAACAAGAAAAATCGTGGCGAAATTCGTTCATTGCCGACATTGGTCTGACACCCTTGGGATTGGTGTGGTGTCGGGCCAACGGCTACCTCCTTTCACACGTGGTTTTCCAACTTCGAACTGACACATGTTCTCCAACCACGAAATTTGCGAAGTCGATCGGCGTCGCCAATGCATAGCTGAATCGTCAAACACCAGAAAAGTCAGCTGAGCACGGTTACCCTTCACGATCTGCGGTGTAACAGACAGAATTCGTCGTTCGGGCTCAGTTCGTGAGGGTAGGAACGGCCTCGTTAACGTATACCCCAAGGTCTCGGTTCGCTCGGGTTTCACTTCCGAACAATCAGGTTCTTTAGAATACTGTACTGCGTCATAATTCCATTTCTTCTACACCTCCTCGGGATTCCCTTCGTTGCTTTCAAGTCACGCTCCGTGAGCGTAACAGTGGCCTTCGAGTTAATATCCGTCAGACTTTGTATGATTAGCAGTTTTACCTGAAACCACGACATAGAGTTGTATGTATTGGAGTTTTAAGCTGCTACGTGCTGTATTGGGGCGTTTCGCCCCTTCCAGCTAGCGTCATGTGTCGGCTGATGGTGTATTTAGGCACGCCATGCCTACTAGCCGACTTGGTTACCAAACCGTCTAGATCGCTAACGCGTCAGTCTTACGACGCTAAGGAACGTTTAACGGGTCATGGATACCTTAACGGGGACGGATTTGGGATCGGGTGGTACTCACCCGAAGGCCAAGGTCCTTTAGCGATCGAGGATCCGACGCCTTGCGTTTTCTCATCCATTCAGCCAGCCTGGAACAATGGTAACCTCAAGCGGTTGGCGAATAAGATCATTTCGCCACTCATCTTCGCTCACGTTCGCGCGGCGTATCCGGGAATCCCCGTCAATGACTCCAACTGCCAGGTCCGATGATGCCGTGTTACGTCCGTCAGGGATCTGATCCGTTTCTCCCTCACTGCTTGCAAGGAAGTGACGTCGTTCACCTCGTTAACGAAACCCGTTCGAACGTTGGATGATGGGAAACGTTCTTAGTTGTCTGGGGTATGAATGCGTGGTTGGTTGGAATTGGAAGCAACCGAATCTGCCTCTACCTCCTCATGCTTTTCCACTGCCTTGCTCTGCGCAGTCGTTGATGCGTCCTCCATGCACCTCAGAAATCGTAGTCCTTGCTGTCTCTCCTGTGCCATGCCGGCAGGACACGTCTCCTTTCTTCTACAATGTTTAAGGCGTTTAACGAATGATTGTGAGAATGTCTTCCTTTTCGATGATTACCTTCTCTTTCCTCCCTCCATCTCCCCTCTCAACCGTCGTGTTCACCCTGTGGCATGTCTGCACACACAACGGCCAGGGTAATAGCATTTCACAACGTGATTATTTGGGTGTTGGACTCTAATTTACCCCACGTCCCCCTATGTCCTCCTTCCGTCTCTCAGCCTGCATGTCCATCCTGTGGTTCCTCTGGATGCACAAGGAAGGGATCAGGGGCTTCCACAACGTGCCTACAAAAGTGCTTCCCTATCCCTTCCACGTCCTCCAGCCGTTCGTGTGCGGGCGGTACATATGGATGCACAACGGCGGGGTGGGAGGGTTCCACAAGGTGCGGAGAAAGCTGCTGGAGTCGCTGCGGGACGACGTGTACCAGCAGTGCCCCTCCTTCGAGTCTGATTCAGCCATCTGCTTTGCTCTCTTCCTCAACCAGATCCAAGACCCCATGCAGCAGCTCGCTCCAGGTATCCGTTTGCTCATCTTTGTTTTGCTTTGTCCAGCTGCTCGCGCCACGGGTTTCAGAGGATCTTCCTAAAATTTCGTGGCTGGAATCATGACGACTCGTTTACACGTCTCATCGTCTTCGCGGAACCAAACTCAGCTTCATGCGTCAATTCATATGCATAACATCTCCTTGACCTCCCATCGGTGCAGAGGAGCTGGTGGTTCGGATGGAGGCGACGGCGGACGAGGTGAACGAAGCGCAGCCTCATACATGCATGTGTGTGCATTGTGACTTGACCTCCCATTGTGCCTGCCGTGCACGCAGAGGAGCTAGTGCCTCGGATGGAGGCGACGACCAATGAGGTGAACCAAGCGCAGCCTCATACACACATGTGTGTGCATTGTGTTGTGACCTCCCATCTTGTCTGCTGCTGTGCATGCAGAGGAGCTGGTGGCAAAGATGGAGGCGACGATCAACGAGGTGAACCGGCTGTGTGGCGAGGCGGGGGTGGCAGACGAGCTCTCTCTGCTCAACTTCGTTGTTTCCGACGGCCGCACGGTGGTGGCCACCAAGTGAGTTTACTTCATTGCTTCCATTAGCTCACTTTACTTCACTCTGCTCAACTTCGTTGTCTCCGACGGCCGCACGGTGGTTGCCACCAAGTGAGTTTACTCCCATGGTCATTGCCACCAGACGAGCTCTCTCTGCTCAACTTCGTTGTTTCCGACGGCCGCACCGTCGTTGCCACCAAGTGAGTTCAGTTTGGTGCTGGCCACCCAGTGAGTTTAATTCAGTGCTGGTGATTCATTATGTTCATTAACTAGTTCGCTGGTTGCCACCGCACCGATTGAGGTCAGTCCTTCCTTCTCCTCTCTCCCTCCTCTGCTGCAGACACCGAAGAAGGAGTGCGTAGCGCCGCATGGAGTGTTTGGAGAAGGGGCGTACATACCTCTGCTTTTCATGCCATATTCCCCCCTCCTTCTCCTTCCGCCCTCCCACCCGGCAGGTACTGCAATCTGCCCCACGAGGAGTGTGCGACGCTGTACTACGCGAGTGGCAGCCGGTTTGAGGCGCTGGACGGCAGCAGCAATGATTACTTGGTGCGCCACGCCGACCGCCGCGGGCTGCTGGGGATCGTGGCCAGCGAGCCGCTCACTGATGAGAGCGCGGACTGGATTCAGGTAAGAGGAGTGATGGGGGTGGGGGGAAGGGGGAAGAAATTCCAGCGAGCCGCTCACTGATGAGAGTGCTGACTGGATCCAGGTGAGTGGAGTGATGGGGTGGGAAGGGGGAAGAAATTCCAGCGAGCCGCTCACTGATGAGAGCGCGGACTGGATTCAGGTAAGAGGAGTGATGGGGTGGGGGGAAGGGGGAAGAAATTCCAGCGAGCTGCTCACTGATGAGAGTGCGGACTGGATTCAGGTAAGAGGAGTGATGGGGTGGGGGGAAGGGGGAAGAAATTCCAGCGAGCCGCTCACTGATGAGAGCGCTGACTGGATCCAGGTGAGGGAGAGGTGGGGGGAGGGGGCGGAGAAAGAGGGGACAGGGTGGGTGGATTGATGCTGGGGATTGTAGCCAGTGAGCCGCTCACTGATGAGAGCGCGGACTGGATCCAGGTGAGGAGAGATGGCGGGGTAAAGGGGGGTGATGGGGATAGTAATATAGGTTGTTTAAGTGAGCCGCTCACTGATGAGAGTGCGGACTGGATCCAAGTGAGAAGTGGTAGAGGGGAAAGGGGGGTAGATGAAGCTGGGCTGGGGGAGAGGGTGGGTGGGATCGTGGCCAGCGAGCCGCTCACGGATGAGATCGCTGACTGGATCGAGGTGAGGAGTAATGGGGCGCAAGGGTAGAGCTGCTCACGGATGAGAGTGCCAACGCATTCCTCTCCTCTCCTTTCTGTTCCTCTCCCCTTGCCCCTCAGCCCTCAGGTGCCGCGCAACACTGCGGTGGTGATGACGAGGTTCAAGGGCGAGTTCGTGGATGTGCTGCTTCTGAATCCCTGAACCCCCAACCCCTCTCCCCTTTAGGTCCCGCGCAACACAGCGGTGGTGATGACTCGGTTCAAGGGCGAGTTTGTGGATGTGCTGCTGGTGCCCATCAACCCGCCCCCCTCTGTGGCTCGCGACATCTCACGCGCCTTCAAGGCCCTCGCCAGCTGCCCGCCCACCTCCCTCAAGGTCTCCCTCCGACGCCCCAGGCGAGCACAGGCCAGGAGGCGACGGGTGTCTGCTGAGGCTCAGCAGCAGCAGGTGGGGCAGTCTCCAGTTTCCAACACCTCATCTCAAGCAGCGTTCTCTGCTGCAACGACTCCTCCTCCTCTTCCTGCTGCTGCTTCTCCGGCTGCTGCTGCGGCTGGCAGTGGATCACCGGTGGTGCTACCAGCAGGAGGGGCGGCAGGAGGAGCGGGCAGCTGGAAGGAGGGTCTGCGAGACCTGGTCAGAGATCAGGACGGCAGGGCTGCCACGGGAGACGAGGAGGAGGACGATGAGGACGATATTGATGGGGACGCAGAGACTTATGGGTATCCCAGCAGTCAGTCTTGGAATGGTGGCATTAGCGGCAACGGCACAAACTGCAGCAGCAGTGTCAGAAGCAGGAGGTATCCGCCCACCACAGTTCTCCCACCAGAGGGCATTCCTCTGACAGACAGGCCGCGGCACGCGATGGCGAAGCACCGGCAGCCGGTGCTGGCGCTGGCAGTGGATGGTAACCGCGTGTTTGCGGGGTCGCAGGACGGGCTGATCACGCTGTACGAGCTGCGGGACTTCCGGTGCGTGTGCACGCTGGCGGGGCACAGCCAGACCATCTTCTCCCTCTCCGTGCACCACGACCGCCTCTACAGCTCCTCCACCCGCGTCGTCAAGATCTGGGACACCAAGACCTTCCGCCTCCTCTCCACTCTTCGATACTCCGATGGGGATGTCTTTGCCCTCGCCCTCGCGCTCGGCAGGTCCGTCGCCGGCCCTGCAGGCACCTCCATCGTTCGTTGCACCAGGGCGTCAGCTGCTGCTGCAGCAGCCGTTGCTAAGGGGAATGGGGAGGGGCAGGGGGGTGGGCAGAAGCAGTTGAAGCATCTGCACAGCTTGCAGCATTTCGTGATCCCCTCAGGTTCCTCCTTTCCCGATGCCTCGGCCGTGCTGGACGCTTCTGTGTCACAACCACCTGGTTCTACTGCTGCTGCTGGTGCTGCTGCTTCTGCTGCTGCTTCGTCTGCTGGTGCATTCTCTCCTTTGCCTGCGGCAGCGAATCACAGGTCGCCAGCTGCCATGGCAGCGGCGGCGGCTGCTGCAGCTGCAGTGGCAGCAGGAGGGGAGGGTGCAGTTTCTTCCACTGGTCGCAGTACGTCACAGATAAAAGACCCTCAGTTATCAGCCAGTGGAGGAAACAGCAACAGCAGCATCAGCACTGAAACAGCGTCAGGGGGAGGAAGAGTGGCAGCAGCAGCAGCAGCAGCAGGGGCAGCAGGTGGGTCTATGTGGGAATCACTCTCTTCTGAAGAAACCCTTTGGCCCCAGGCTTCAGCACTTGCTACCCAACCTCGCGGTGCTGGGACTGCTGTTGCCGTCACTGCTGCTGCTCCTGTTGCCATACCTCAGGCTCGAGCCCGAAGCAAAGGCCCAGGCTCAGGTCTGGACGGTGGTTCTACAGCAGTGGGGTCTGGTGGGCATGTGGTTCGGGTTGGGTTCGGAGATCTCGCTCAATCGCTCTCACCCGAAGCTCACTTATACAGCTACCTGGAAGGGGCGAGGTCTGGTGGAGGGTCGGCAGCAGGCTCGTTACGTGGCTCAGCAGGGAGGTCTGGAGGTTCGTATATGACAGTGGTAGGTGAGGGGGAGGAGGAGGAGGATGAGGAGGTTGGAGGGAGGAGGGGTACGGAAGGGAATGGTGGGAGTGGGGTGGGGTCAGGTGGGTACTGTGATGGGCAGAGAGAGGAGGTGAGAGTGCAAGGGTGGCATCAGGAGGTGATTGGCAGGTTACCAGATAACCAGAATGTAGTTATGAACGGTCAGGTGAATGGTCAGGTGTTTAGTCAGGTGAATGGTCAGGTGAATGGCCTGCAGCCGCAGCTGCACGATGCACAGGCAGTAGAGCAGCAGGAGCAGCATCTAGGAGGAGGGACGAAACCATGTGAAGGAGGAGGGCTGGGAGGTACAGCAGTGGGTGGTGGTTGCAGTGAAGCAGGCAGTGTGGGTGGTGGTGGTTGCGGAGGAGCAGGGGGGGGAGCAGGAGGAGGGGGAGGAGGTGTGGGAGGGGCAGGCGTTGGAATTGGTTGTGCGGCAGGAGGTGGGGGTGGGGTGCGCACGGTGTGTAATTCCACAGAGGCAGCGCTGGTGCTGACGGATTCAAACAAGAATGGCCACTGCAGCCGCGTCTATGCTCTGGCTGTAGCACACCCCCTCATCTGTAGCGGCGCTGGCGACACCTTTGTCAAGGTGGGTGCCGGGCCGGGCTGTCTAATGTGAGAGTTTTCAAAAGCGTTCGGGATTTCTCAAAAGCAGCTGTGGCAACTCTGTCCCCAAAGCATGGATGCGGCATCACACTTTGTCCCAACCCTTGCCACCCACTCACGCACTCCACACTAACTTCCACTCACTCCGTCCCTTTTCTCCCTTGTCTTCAGCTCGTCCCATCTCATTCCCTTCCATTTGTGGTGGCTGGTTAGTGAAAGGCGAGTGGATGACAAAGCCGCACGAGAATCCTGTCGATTTGCTCTTCCAGCCTTGTCTCAACACCATTTAATATCTATCCCTCTTCCTCAACTTCAATCTCTCTTCCATCTTGTTGGCTCGCAGGTGTGGTCGCTGGTGACGGGCGAGTGGGTGGCAACGCTGCACGGCCACAAGGGGGGAGTCATGGCGCTCGCCACAGCCGATGCAGCAGCAGAATCTTCTCACGGCTCCGCCTCCTCTGCTGCCAACCCTCTCGGCCCTTCCAAGCCTCACCATGCGCCGCCGCACCGCGCCTCCAAGCCTCTGTGGCGCCTCTTCAGCGGTGTGTGTGCTTTCATATATTGTGCCCTGTGATTTTTTTAGGACGTGCGAAAGCCTACGGGCTGCTGCTCAGTCTATGGGCTGCTGCTGCCGCATGTCTGCAACCTGTCTGCTTGCATGCACCACTGCTCACTCACGCATGTCCACCCCTGTGATCATTCGGCCATTGAGTGAAGGGACACACACATGCTGATCACTTCTGCTGGCCGATGCGGATCACTTTCCGATCCCCTTGTTCCTTTTGCCCTCGTGCTCATGTCCGCTTTCTCCCCAGGGTCACGGGACAACACGATTAGGGTGTGGGACCTCTCTTTTCTTTACTGATGCACCGCCATATTTCTCCTCCTGCCCTTGTTCCCCCCTCTCCAGGGTCAAGGGACAACACGATCAGGGTGTGGGACCTCTCATCTCTGCTCTGCATCACCACCCTCACCGGCCACACCGACGACGTTGTGGGGCTCGCCACCGGTACAGCGTTCAGTCGTTTTCCCTCCATTGTTATTCTCCCTCCCCTTCTCACCCACATTCACGAACGTCGCCGTGGGGCTCACCACCAATACACTTATCATGCCCATTACCATCATTCCCCTTCTCGTTTTAATTCACCGACTACGTCGTGGGGCTCGCCACTGGTACTCTGGCCTCACCTTTTTCATCTTGTTCACAGCATTAACAGCAGTACCACCACCAACCCTAGAAACAGTCCCAACAGCAGATGCATGAGCTAGTGCAGCAACAGCGCGAGCTAGTGTAGCAGCAGCCAGTACTGTAGCAACAGCAGATCGAGCCAAGCTGCCAGACATTCATACTGATGATTATGGCAAAACTTATGCGCTTGTGGACTTGTCAAACAGCGGATACCTATGGGGGAGTTTCAGACGCAAGTGGAAGGGAGTACTTGGTCCGACATAACACGTGTGGTCCACACGAGCGAGCCGGCACTTATTGTAACCATAATGAGGATTATTTTTATGAGGCGGCACTTTCTAAGCAATGGGAGAATATGGTTTATACGAAGCAATAGATAAGTGATGATGAGGTGGTGGAATGAGATGAAACGTGCGAATTTGCAGTAAAGGGGGATTAGGGTGCTAGCGGCAGATTCATGCCGGACGTTTAGACTTGTGTTCAAACTGCAAGGGTGCTGAAGCTGGCGGGTCTTAACGATATGGCGACTGCAAAGGCCGCAGCCGAAGGCAGCGGAAGCAGAAGCTGCAGCTGTGGCGGCAGAAGAAGCTGCAGCTGTATTAGAAGCAATGGCAGCCTTAAATTGCCAATTGCGGCTGCGGCTGCCATTGCTTCTGGTGCAGCTGCAGCTTCTTTTGCCGCCACAGCTGCAGCTTCTGCTTTTGCTGCGGCCTTTGCAGTCGCCAGATTGTAAGACCCGCCAGCTCCAGCGCCCTTGCAGTTTGAACTCGAGCCCAAACTCTCGGCAGGAATCTGCCGCTAGCACCCAATTCCCCCTTGGCTGCAAATCCGCACCCTTCATCTCATTCCACCACCTCGTCATCGCTTGTCTGTTGCTCCGTATAAACTCTATTTTCCCAGTATTTAGAACGTGCCGCACCATTGAAACCATCCTTGTCATGGTTCCAACAGGTACCGGCTTGTTCGTGTGGAGCACCGTGTTATGCCGGACCTACTCCCCTCCACCTGCGTTTGAAACTCCCCCGCAGGTATCTACTTTGAAAAGTTCACAAGTGCATAAATCTTGCCATAATCATCAATATGAATGCCTTGCAGCTTTGCTGGTTTTGCTATTGCTGCAGTAGTGGCTGCTGCTGCACTAGCTCGGGCTGTTGCTGCACTAGCTCGTGCAGCTGCTGTTGGGGATAAATCTGGGATTGGTGCTGTTAATATGTACTTCTTGATCATACACTCTTGCTCCTTTCAAAAATCTCTTACCTGATTATCTATTACATCGCCGGCACTGCTAATGATGTTGGAAGTTCTTTACGTCCATCCCCACCCATCTGTCGCTTTGTCCATCCCATTTCCCTTCACTTGCCGCTCATGGTGCTGCAGGCCCTAACAACCGTCTCTTCAGTGCGTCAGTGGATCACACCATCAGGTACGCACCACTGCTCCTGCAATTTCCTGACTCTTTACTTTGCCTGCATTTGTCTTGTATCCTCCCCTTCCTCTCCTCGGTTCACCACGCCCTCATGTTCTGACCCCCTGTACCCACACCCCACTCCCCACCCCACCCTCCCCCACACCAGAGTGTGGAGCATGGTGACATATGAGTGCGAGCGAGTGTTCCTCCAGGAGGGTTCCATCTTCCTCTCCATTGCATGCACGCCCACCGGGGTTGTCACCGGCTCCAGGTGGGTCAGAACAATAACCCTCTCTTTTGAGAATTCTCAAAAGTGGCTCCAGGTGGGTCAGAACAATAACCCTCTTTTCCTCTCTTCAAGGGTGGGCTGGGATCGTCACCGGCTCCAGGTGGGTTGGAGCAGGTGGCGTGTGGTTCAAGTAAGGCCAACTGTATAGCTGCCTGAGGGCTTGCATCACATTTCCTCTCACGTTCTCTCGAGACATAATCTCACCTGCCAAAGAAATGTACCCAGATTTCTCCTGAATTTTGATGTTTGTCTGACCGTGCAATGCGCTCCTCTCTACCCTTACTTTCTTTTCTCTGTCACTTCATGCTCCCCTTCACTGGCCTCCCCCTTTCACCGTCCTCACAGTGACGGTGTAGTGCGGTACTGGGAGGTGGACTCTGCCAGCGTGGACCAATCACAGTCCGCCACGGAGGACAGCAAGGGGCTCCCCACCGCCTCTCACTCGCACCACCTCCCGCATTCCACTCCAAGCTTCAAGCTCCAGGTACCACCTCCTCCACTTCTTGCCAACCTAAAGCTTCAGGTACCACCTCCATCACTCCACTCCAAGATTCAGTCTCAAGGTGCCACCCCCTCGCTTAGACATGGTAACGGGCCGACTTGTCCTGACCCAGGTCGGCCCAGCCCGACCCAGCCCGACACAGGCCAACCCAGCCCGACACAGGCCAAACCAGCCCGACCCAGGCCGACCTGAGCCGAGTATGGGTTGTGTCGGGTCGACCCGACCTCAGCCCACATCCCACCACAGGTTTGTGACCCGCCCCGTTCGGGCCACATGCTCATGATTCATGCCTATCCCCACGTGTCATGTGATTCATGAGTGCTGCCCCCACTCCGAGATCTCTAGTTCGCACTCACGTCTGACCCAGTCTGAGCAGCGTCCGATGGGGCCTGGCTGCCCATAAAAGCCCCCTCTCATGTTTCTATGTGTGTCTCCGTGCACAATGTATGTGTGTGCATGTGTGCATGGCAGAACGAGTCAGTGGCGGCGGAGCAGAGGCTGATGGAGGACACACTGAGGCAGCTGGTGCGCATGAGGACCGTCAGCACATGCACCTCGCGCCTCGCTGCACAGGAGGTGAGTGAGAGGCATCCGCTTGAACCCCTAGAGCCCAAATGTGCTGCCATGAGTATCCCCATGAACCACCAAATCTGGTCGTGAAGACTGTCAGTTCATGCGCCTCGCTCCGCGCTGCACAGGTGAGGCTCTTCACTTTGAGGCTGTGTGTTCACTTTGTGGGTAAAGAGAGAGGGGGGAAGGTTTGAGTGAGAGGCTCTGCCTTATGAGGTATGACCTTGTGTTGCTCTCTGTGTCATCACCCTGCCGGCCATCCATCTCCGCTTCCTCGTTGCCGATGTGGCAAACGGCCAACGTGGTGACACGGTTGCTGCACTCTCCGCATCCGTTGCTCCTCACTTCTCTCCTCCTCCCCTCCCCCCACCTTCTTCCCAGATGTGGTGGGCAGCCAATGTGGTGATGGGGTTGCTGGAGGACATAGGGGCGGATGTCAGATGAGAGGGTCCTATGGGGTATGACCCTGTGTCATCACCCTGCCATCCAAACCCCCCCACACCACTCCCCCCATGGCAGATGTGGAGGGCGGCCAATGTGGTGATGGGGTTGCTGGAGGACATAGGGGCTGCAGGTTGGGGTGTGAGCTTGTATTCACTTGTGTTCCTGCACCCTCTCCCCTCTCCCTCCCCCTCCCCTCTCTCCCTTCGTGGCAGATGTGGAGGGCGGCAAACGTTGTGATGGGGCTGCTGGAGGACATAGGGGCGGAGGCAAAGCTGGTGGTGGCGGTGGATGGGACCAGCCCTGTTGTGTTCGGCCGCATCGTGCAGGTGTGGTTTGGTTGGCTTTACTTTGCAGATGCGGGTTTGATGTGACATGAGGCCGCATTATGCAGGTGTGCTGTACTTGGCCGCATCATGCACGCGCATGTGGATGTGCTGTAAGCTGAAGTCGTTTCAGGCTGTGGTCCTGGATTCCTCCCTGCCATTCCTCATATCCCCAGCCACCGCACAAGGCTCAACATGTGGGCCTTATGACGCCTTAAGGCGTGGGCACCTCACAGCGTGCAGTGTGCACATGGGGCCGACTCTCCCACCCCTCTGATAAACAGGAACATGCCTTCTCCATGATGCATTAAGACCGGGCACCTCACAGTGTGCACATGGGGCCGACTCTCCCACCCCTCTGACAAACAGGAACATGCCTTCTCCATGATGCATTAAGACCGGGCACCTCACAGTGTGCACATGGGGCCGACTCTCCCACTCCTCATTGGAGTCAGTCATTGAGATTAAAATAAAAACGTATATGGTGCTCGCTCACCCTCCCACTCCTCCTCCCTGCTAACCGCCCTCTTCCCTCCCTTTCCACAGGACCCCAGCCGTCTCACGATGTGCATATGCGGGCATTAAGATGTCTTGGGATGGCTGCTCCTCCCACTCCCGCTTTTCCTTCTTCCACAAACCCCCCTTCGGTTCCGCAGGACCCCAGTCGTCTCACCGTGTGCATATGCGGGCATTACGATGTCACGGGTGCAGGCGATGTGGACGGTTGGATGAGCGACCCCTTCGATCTGACGGCTCAGGATGGCTTTCTCATTGGGCGAGGGGTGTCCAGCAGCAAGGGCCCGCTGATTGCCTCCCTCTTTGCCATCAAGGTGCGCCGTCGCTGCTGCTGCTGCTGCTGCTGCTGCTGAAGCTGGTGGGATCACAGTAAAGCGATGAATGTGGCAATAGAAGAATGGGACATGCGTCTGTAGGAGCGTTTCAACGCATGGTTCGGCACTCTTGTGTGCTGAGCGGAGGCCTTTGAGGCCTCTGAGTGGTCTTCACCTTTGAGAATTCTCAAAAGTGATTCTTTTGTCTGTAAGAGCATTTCAAGGCATGGTTTCGCACTCTTGTGTGCCGAGCCGATGCCAGAGTCACCGAATGGTCTTCACCAACAAGCCCCCTCTGCTTGCCTCGCCCTTTCCTCAGACCTCTCAACTCGTTCCATATCTGTCCTCGTTTTGAGCTGCCTCAATATCAGCCTGCTTTTCTGTTCAATACCTTCCCTCCTTTCCTTCCCATCCATCATTTTGTTGCCTCACCATGCTGGCAGGATCTGGTGTGCTGATCTCACAGACTCACACACAGAAATATTGCTTTCCCCTCAATACTCATCCCTTGCATCATGCTGGCAGGATCTGGTGTGTCGGGGCGAGCTGGCAATCAACATTGTGTTTGTGATCGATGGCATGCAGGAGAACGGGTGCAAGGTGAGTGGGGTGTGGTGCAAGGCTTCAATGGGGCTAACCAATCTGGACTGGTTTGAAACCAAGAATTCCCCTGTCTGTCCGAACTCTCTTCCGCTTTCCCCGCTCGGGGCTTCAAGGAGGCGGTGTACGCCAACCTGGACTGGTCTGAAACCGCACCTTTTCCTGTCTGTCCGAACTCTCTTCCGCCTTTCCCGCTCAGGGCTTCAAAGAGGCGGTGTACGCCAACCTGCACTGGTTGAACCTCCCCTATGCCGATCCTACCCCAGCCATAATTCCACACCTCTCCCTCCCCTCTCTCAGGGCTTCAAAGAGGCGGTGTATGCCAACCTGGACTGGTTTGAGGGCACGGGGCTCATTCTCAGCAGCGATGGCGCGTGGATCAGGTGGGGATCAGGTGGGATGAGGTGGGATGAGGTGGGATGAGGTGGGATGAGGTGGGATCAGGTGGGATGAGGTGGGATGAGGTGGGATGAGGTGGGATGAGGTGGGATGAGGTGGGATCAGGTGGGATGAGGTGGGATGAGGTGGGATCAGGTGGGATCAGGTGGGATCAGGTGAGGATCAGGTGGGGATCATGTGGGATCAGGTGGGGATCAGGTGGGGACTAGGTGGGGATCAGGTGGGGACTAGGTGGGGATCAGGTGAGGACTACGTGCCGGCACGGATCAGCTAAGCTGTTGTAAATTTCAAGTGGGGCCGCAGCGCAGAGTTAGGGACCAGCTGAGGTTCCTGTGACTGCTAGCCGTGCCTCCTCTATGACAGCGGAGCACATGCGGTTTCGTATGGGCCCCAATGAGGTGCCGTGACTTTACGTGGCAGCAACTATGCTGTTTAGGTGAAATATGAGTGTAAAAAGGTGCCTCCTCTATGACAGCAGAGCACATGCGGTTTCGTGTGACTCGCACAGCAGACCACTCAAGGGCCGGCTTCTCTCTTTCTCGTTCTGCCTGCCTTGCTCCCCCTCTTGACCGCCACCCGTGCCTCATCTATGGCCGGGTGAGTCTCATCCTGCTTGATTTCTTGCCACCCAACCCCCTCGTTCCTCCGCCCTTCTTCCTTTCCTTCCCCCCTTCCCAGCGACCAGCACCCGTGCCTCATATACGGCATGCAGGGGCTCATCTGTCTGACTGTTGATACAGCCAAACACAGACTTAAGGACCTCCTTGTCTCCTCCTGTCCCCCTCCCTTCCCCCTCTCTCACTTCTTCCCCCTTCAACCCCCAGCGACCAGCACCCGTGCCTGATATACGGCATGCGGGGACTGATCTGTCTGACGGTGGCGGTGAGCGGGCCGCTCAAGGATTTGCACTCGGGCACACACGGGGGCAGCTTCAACGAGCCACTCAACGACCTTGTCACTGTGCTCTCCAACCTCGTCGACTCCAACAACATGATTCTTATTCCAGGTGAATTTAACAACGTGATCCTCATCCCAGGTGAATTTAACAACGTGATCCTCATCCCAGGTGAATTTAACAACGTGATCCTCATCCCAGGTGAGTTTAACAACGTGATCCTCATCCCAGGTGCCGCCCGTTGACCACTATTGGGTCAACCACGCGGACGTAGACAAGTTCCAGACAAAGGAGAAACAAACGCCGCAACTCACCGTCGTCCTTCCCGCACAAGAGGAGGATGAAGCGGTGGAGGTTTCACCGCACGTGAAGAAGGGAGCCGAAAGTGGAGGGGGAGAGATCCAACAACATGATTCTTATCCCAGGTGAAATTAACAACCTGATCCTCATCCCAGGTGAATTTAACAACATGATCCTCATCCCAGGTGAATCCAACAACATGATTCTTATCCCAGGTGAGTTTAACAACGTGATCCTCATCCCAGGTGAATTTAACAACATGATCCTCATCCCAGGTGAATCCAACAACATGATCCTTATCCCAGGTGAATCCAACAACATGATCCTCATCCCAGGTGAATTCAAAAACATGATCATCATCTAAGGTCAAGCCAACACACAGTTTGGGTTCAGATGGAATGTGTTACTAAGTCTTTTGGTGTCAGGTGAATGTGATTCCAACAGTTTTGCATCCATGCAGAACCAAATTCTTAAGCGTTCAATGTCTTTCTTTATTGTTCTCTTTATTCAAAATCTTTGTATGCATGTTGGCAGGGTTCTACGACGATGTGAAGCCATTGGATGAGGAGGAGGAGGCGCTGTACCAGGGGCTGCACTTCCGAGTGGACGAGTACAAGGTGGGTGGGTGGGTGTGGTGTGGTGTGGTGTGGTGTGGTGTGGTGGAGTACAAGGTGGTTGGGTGGGTGTGGCCAGCTGGGAGTGGGCAGCGCAATTCTCAGTGCTGAAATAAAAAAGGTGAAAATGTGGAAAAAAAAAAGCAAGAAAAAATCAGGGAACGAAAAAGAAACAGCAAAAAGCGTCGGCCCCTCTGTCCTCTCCTCTACCCCCCCCCTTCCTCTCCCCCTCATCCCTCCACGGCAGGCACGCAACGGGCTGGCGGCAGTGACGGGGGGCACAGCACGGGAGGTGCTGCAGAGCTGCTGGCGCAGCCCGTCGCTGAGCGTCTTGGGCGTCTCCACCTCGCCCTCCTGCGCGCCCTCCTGGTCCTCTCTCCCCAAAGCTGCCTCCGCTAGGGTAGGTTCCTCAACCCCCCCTCCCACTCCTCCCTTCCTTCAGCTGCCTCCGCCATGCACAAGTCAATCCCTGCCACCATAAACTTTCCGTTAGCCCTCTTCCCTCAATCCACCTGCTATATTTCTCGTTTGCTCAAGTAGAGACCACAACGACCAGAGACATTTGTTCCGTAACTCTATCCCGACGCTATTCCAAAAGGCAGTTTCTATGGAGCGGACAAGTGCAGTCCGTGCTTTCCCCCCTGCTCTTTTTTTTTTTCGAAAGTCGACTTCTACCCTTCCTCCCCTGCTCTCTTCTTTTCGAGCCATATTTCGTCTTTCCTTCCTTGATTCTTCGTATTTGCCAAACACCATGGTATGTGACGCAACTACTCTTAGCACCAAACATAGAATGAATTCATTCACACTCCGTAAGGTAATATTTACGTAACACACCTATACTCAATGTCAAACATATTGGTAACCAGCATACATACACTATGTACTTAAGTATATGATTAAGTAACGCACTTAGTACCTTCTACCAGATGCAAAACACAAGGTTATGTAACGCACTCATCCAGGACATGGTTAACCGAAACTTTCTGTCATCTTCTTCCTTTTCTGTCATCTTTAGTTCGTCCCCTCTGCTCCTTCCTTCTTCATGCCCAGGTGCTTATCCGGCACATGCCAATCCAGAACCGATTCCTTGTTGAATGTTATTATTTCCCCTTCGCTACTTTAACTCCGCATTGTAGGTGGTGATCCGGCACGTGCCAAACCAGAATCCTGACCGCCTGGTGCATCGCTTCCGGGCGCACGTGGCTCATGAGTTTGCCAAGCTGCGGTCTGCTGGCAACTCCGTGGCTGTCACTGTGGAGCACGTGGGCGACTGGTGAGTGCCACGTGAATGATGCACACGCACACAGACACACTGGTGACTGGACGTGGGCGACTGGCGAGTCACGTGGGTGATTGGTGTGGTGAGTGCCACATGGGTGATTGGTGTGGTGAGTGCCATGTGGGTGACTGGTAAGCGGTGGTGTACACACACACAGGCACATTCGTGATTGGGACATGGGTGACTGGTGGTGTGAGTGGGCACACACACACATACACGCACGCATCCACACGTGCGCATACATACATACATACGTACATACATACATACATACATACATACATACATACATACATACATACATACATACATACATACATACATACATACATACATACATACATACATACATACATGCATGCATGCATACATACATTCATACATTCATACATACATGCAAACTTACGCATGTACTACATACATGGTGGCTGTCATTGTCGCACATGGCCAATTGGTGAGCGGCATGTGGTGGAGACATACACACACACGTCCCCTCCACCCCTCCCCCCAAACACATACACACACGCTCTCTCCCCCGACACACACACATACACATACACATACACACATACATACACGTACGTACACTCACACACACACACACACACACAAACATACGTACACACACACACACACACACACACATACACACACACTTCAATCCATGTATTTTGCAAGATTTGAGCGCCTCAACTCTGTTTGGTATGTTTAGTGCAGGTGTGCATCCTGACTAAGCTGACGAATGCATCAATTTCTCTGTACGGATGCATTAGATGCCGTTTTTGCTGGTCAACTAAATCAGTCCAATTTCAACATCATCACCAAGAATTATCCTTTGATTCTACATAGTTTGCAAGATTTTGAGCGTCTTAACTTTTCCTGATACGCCCACTGCAGGTGCACATACTGACCAAACTAACAAATGCAGGTGGTTGGCGGACCTTCCCTGCTCCTTCTATCAGCTTGCAGAAAAGTGCACATATTCATGTGTGCACGTGTGCATCCTTCTAGATTAACTGATGCCCATTTTCGTAGTGCACGTTCAAGTGCCCTTCATTCCATGTCCGTGCATCCTCCATTGTTTGCACTCCCCTCTCCTCCAGGTGGTTGGCAGACCCCTCCTGCTCCTTCTACCAGCTCGCAGAGAAGTGCATTCAGAGCCACTGGGACATGCCGCCCATGTGAGTCTTAAACCCCTGCACTGCCACTGTTTCCGGTGGTATTCCTCTGCATACCTTTTCACAATTGTCAACCTGTAGTCACCAAATAGGTGGTGTGCTTCGGGTGTGTGCTCCATGTCGCATCACAACAAGCCATGTCAGTATGTTTTTTGAGAGAGAGCAAAAGCTACATCCTCTTGAAAGGATTTGGGGATGTGAGGAATGCGGCTAAAAAACAAACATCTATGCATCTCAGAACGTGAGGTATGAGCCAATAGGGATTTCAATTCAGAATTTTGTAAATCAAGAGGCAGCATCTCCCGTGTCTCAAAAGCTGTCAATGCATCCTGTTTTCCCATTCCCCTCACCCACCCACCCAACCTCATCCATCTCAGGAACATTGATGAGAGTCCAGTATGAGGGGCCTGAAAGGCGCTGCCCTACCCATCTTATCCCCTCCTTATCACCACCCCCCGCAGGTACATCAGGTAGTTCAGCACAATCCTGGTAGTGCTGCCTTCTTGATCAGCTGATCACCCCCTTCCTCCATCCCCACCCCCCACAGGTACATCAGGGAGGGCGGCACGATGCCGGTGGTGCCTTTCTTGGAGGCAGCCTTGGGAGCGCCGGCCATCAAGATTCCCATCAGCCAGGCCACTGACGGCAGCGCGCTCCAGGTGGGCCTCAGGATGCTTCTCAGGTGGTTACAACAGACGGTCGTTTGCTCCAGGTGGATCAAAATGTTTTTTCAGGTGGTTGCTTGCGACAGATGGCAGTTTGCTTGCTTTAGGTGCGTGGCTACTCTCTTCAGGAATGAATTTTCTTCAGATGTGTGGTTTTGCCTTCCACCCGAATTAGACAGGGGTGTGATCTGGGTGGTAGGCAACCCTATCTTTCCTTCTTCCTCCTCTAAACCCTGAACCCCTATTTACACCCTCCGTAACTCTTTGACGTGTGGCAGAACGAACGGCTGGAATGGAGCCACCTCATCAAGGGCAAGGATGTGATCAGGGACTTCATCAAGGCTCTGGGGGATGGCAGCCGCAGCTGCTGATGTCAGAATCCGTTGCTGATGTCAGTGTTGGCTGCTGCTGATGTCAGTGTTGGGTGCTGCTGATGTCAGTGTTGGCTGCTGCTGATGTCAGCCTTGCCATGGCTGGCCCGGTGGAGCAGTTGTTATTGAGGAGCATGCATTAGCTGCAAAGGAGTGGGAGGGTGGTGTCTCTGGAGAGTCAGCACAGCAGCTGATGATAGGCCTTGCTGCACTGCGCATGGTCATTGGAAGATGCCAAGTACTGTACGGCAACGCCATTCTTCTAGCTGGCAACGGCCTTATTTTGTGCACCCAGTGGTTCGATATGGAGGCATGGAGAGATGGGGAGCACAGTGGTGAGGGAGCATGGAGAAACTGTTTGATTCCTTTATGACTGGGGTATCTGGTTATAGAACCGTACCAACAAGTATTGGTAGCTGCTGAGGTAAGCAAGCACCCGCTCTGCTTGCGAGTCAATGTGTTGGTACGTATGTACCGTAATTATGGAAGAATGTATATGCATACATGTCCCATTTTTGTAGCATTAGCTTTCCATCGTTACACGCATTCTTACGGTACAACCACATCAGAATTTAGAGAAATGCACGTTCTAGAATGCACTTATCAGAGTGCACATGCGCCCACTTGCGGAGAATAAGTTGGTACCGCACAACTCCTTAAACCACTTTGCATCGTGTTGCATGCAGTGGTCTATAGCCATCAGAGCATAGCAGCCTCTACCTCACATCCTTACCCTTCCCTTCCCTTCCCTTCTCTCACAACAGCATAACAGATTCTGAACAGCAGAAGCATGTGTTGTATAGTCCCCTTAGCACTTCACATAGAGACTGATGAGTCCTGTTTCTGGTCCTCCCAGAGACAATATCAACAGCTGTCACAGGAGTCTCCAATAGGATTTTCAATATATATTACGGTAAAACCAATAAAATTCATCTCAACATACCGTAGCTCTACCCTACTGTCCACTCCACAGAATAGACTGACTGCATGTACGCGCTGCACACGTCACATCATCGCAGCTGCGCATCAGCATCTACTTGATCTCAGCGCACTGCCTTGGCCCAGGGTCCTCTCGGAGGCAGTTGTCAATGGCGATGACAGCAGCCTCGATCGCCGCATCCTCTCCCTTCTCTCGCCAGTAGAACACGTTCCCGTACTTGCCAGCTAGCCGGCTCCAGAAGCTTCTGGGAACCGACAGGTCCACGGTTGCGCCGACGTTGAAGTTCAGGAGGTTGCCTGAGTTGAGGGAGCCCGGGAGAAAGGGAGGGTTGTAGAAAGTGTGACATTGGGGCGAGAAAGAGTGGGTCACAGACCATGCCCATCCACCATGCACATGCCCATCCACCATGCACCATGCCCATCCACCATTCACATGCCCATCCACCATGCACATGCCCATCCACCATGCACCATGCCCATCCACCATGCACCATGCCCATCCACCATGCACATGCCCATCCACCATGCACCATGCCCATCCACCATTCACATGCCCATCCACCATGCACCATGCCCATCCACCATGCACCATGCCCATCCACCATTCACATGCCCATCCACCATGCACCATGCCCATCCACCATGCACCATGCCCATCCACCATGCACCATATCCATGCCGGAAATGCACTCACCCATGTTGGGGTCAGCAACTAACACCACAGTCTCGTCATCCACACCCCCCAGTAGTCCCGAATAGCCAACCCTGCCATGCGCCCACCACACTCATGCCCATGCACGCCCCTGCTCGCTGACACATTGATCAACGGCTGAGATGCACTCACCCATGTTGGGGTCAGCCACGAACACCACAGTTTCGTCGTCCACCCCCCAGTAATCCCGAATGGCCAACCCTGCCACACGCGCACAGCACGGGAGGGCGGCAGCACAGCAGCAGGAGAGAACGCGTTAGAGTGGTGGATGAGAGGAAGGAGCAGGAGAGAGGGGGACGCCGGTGGAAATTATTACTGAAATGACGCGACGTGTAGCAGGAACTCTAGAATGTACAATGTTGCTATCTATTTGCGATTTACCCGGAGTGTTAGGGTAGTTTTGCGCCAGTATCCTCAGTTTATACCCCGTGTCCTGCTCCAATCTCTCCACGTCCTTTGCCAAACGTGCCTCCTGCGCGCACAGACAGGGAGAAGCAGGAGAGGAGAATTTGAGAAAGAGGAGGACCGACCATCGCTGGCTGGGCACTTACACCAAATGCAGAATCCAAGTTTAGTTGGTTTTCCAAGATGGCTGGATTCTGAACAGGACTGAATAGACTCTGGTAATTCAGAGCGATGCGCATATGACTGTTCCCGCAATGCAGCCAGCTGGCACTCACCCTCACCCTCTTGCACACGCACTCACCCTCTCACCCTCTCTCACACCCTCTCACTATCTCGCACACCTTCTCACTATCTCGCACACCCTCTAACTATCCCGCACACTCTCTCACTATCCCGCACACTCTCTCACCCTCTCTCACACACTCTCTCACCCTCTCTCACACACTCTCAACCCTCTCACACAATCTCACCCTCTCTCGCACTCTCACTCCAACACGTGAGCACCACACTCCCGGACGGCTAGCCGTCTGGCTTACCTGGGCGGCGGAGAGGAACCCTGCGACGTAGATGACGGTGGTGGCCTGGTTTCGCACAGCATCGCACCAACACTCAACATCGCCCATCCCGGACGGCTAGCCGTCTGGCTTACCTGGCCGGCGGAGAGGAAGTCGGCGACGTCAATGACGGTGGTGAACTCCTTGGGCAGCAGCTCCGGCTTGTTCACCCCCTCCGGCCGCGCCTCGGCAATCCCTAGGCCTGCCGGAATCGCGATTAGCAAAATGTTGGGAGGAAACAGCCGGGGTGCGGTTGGTATTAATGGCAGCGAGAAGGCTAGTATGGCGGATAAAGGGACCCCAGGGTTAGGCTAGGGTAAATGACGCGAGACGATGCTGCCAACCTTAAGGCGTTACAAAAAATGCCACAGACCGTGTTCCAATGACGGGACTTCATGTCTGTGCAAGCCTTGCACAATGGTAGTTTTGAGGGTAAATGCACCTCGAAATGGTAGTTTTTAATATTTGTGGGTTCGTATGTAGTGAATGCCATACGAAGACAACTTGTGATTCCTCAAAATGGTGTCTCGCATGTGTTGATGGTTGGCGGGGGAACGTGCCGCGAGCTTTGGGATTGCCGATACAACCAGGGATGACGCTTGGTTGTGGCGACAAATGCGGCATTCGGCCACCGCCAGTCTAAAATCTCTCTTCGAGTTTGAAAATCCCTCGTGTCGTATAAATTTCAGCTTGAGTGACGGGATTGGCGAAGGAATTACCTGCTGACAAAGCAACGGCGACGCTCGCAGACGTAGCGACGACGAGTTTCGCGGATTCCTTAGCCAATCTCGCGACTTCGTGTTTCCAGGCAGCTCCGTCCTTCGCAGAACTGTCAGATTGCGACTGGACCTGAGAGCGTGCACGAACGGACGGAATCCGGCGAAGTGGTAACTTCGTTGACGAAGAATCAGCAGAGCTGCTGGCTCCTGCGGACATCGCCTGCCTTTGAAGTGACGCAGGGATGGCTAGGGCACGAATCGCGGTGGCAGCAGCCATTGTAGAGACGTGGAAAGCAGAGGGAAATGGCTAGCAAGAGAAGGTGAAACAGAAACACCACCACGAAGACCACAAATTGCTAAATGAATATGTGTCAAGAGGTGAACAAATTGTTTTGAACTGCAAGAGTGAGCTAGGTGGGTGGAGATGCAGTGAATGTAGAGTGTGGATAGAAGAGGCTTGGAGGTTCAAGAATTAAAAATATACATGCCATCTCTCCCTTGCAAAGTGGCAAACAGTGTATTTGCCTGTGATTTTGAGGGCTATCTGGTAGAACACATAACCACACCCGCGACTGCATTTGAGAAATATGTGTCCCGTCTGCAACAGATCTCTGTGAGGCAGCACTGACCGCTTCCACGACCCAGACCCTCGCGGGTTTGCCTTGCCGGGAGAATGCATAAAACATTAGGACGGGCAGACATTCGGGTAGCTCAGAATGAGTTCATTGAGTTGACATTCGTCGGTAGCCATACACTTCAGTGTCGAGTCAACATTCGTCGTGGCGTGGCACGAACCACAAAGCTGACGACAGCTTTCGCTGATCTGACGAGGCAGCAAGGACCTCGAAATGCGACGTGAAGCAACGGCAAACGTGGCACGAGCTTCACCAATAGTCAAATCACTACCACATCTGTACATTACATTGAACGATGCGCTTACTTCGTAAATACAACTACGCTTCCGCCTTTTGAAATGTCATTAAAACGCCGCCAGAAGCTCTAAATAAAGAGTAAAACTAAAGAAAGACTAAATTACACTATGTATAACACTGAAGCGCACATCATAATCACCACCTATTAATATAGAGCACTTGCATAACACCACACGAGCTAAGGACTACGGCACATCTAGTTACAGCAGCTGCGGGCACACCTCCACTTGCATATGTACACCCCCTCTCATCCTCGCAACCACCAACTCCACCCCGTCCTTCGCCCTCCTTCCTCCAGTCCCATCCCCGCACACCCTTTCCCTACCCTTGAGACTTGCCACCAACTCCTCCCCCTCCACCCTCACCACGTCCCTCCTCACCCCCACGTCCAGCGCCACTCGGCTCAAGCTGTACGACCCTGCACCCCCACAGAACACACAGACACACACACTCACACAAGCACACGAGCACACACTCCAGACCAGACATACAGACACGAACACACCACACAATGCCAACCACCGCCGACCAGCAGCGCAAGAGACATGCATGCGAGACGTGGGAGCATTGGGAAAGGAGCTACCTCAGTCAAGTCGGTTGCGAGCACATACACGCACCAGCCAGGCCAGCACCATGTGCACCATCTCACCACCTTCTCACCATGCCAGCACCCATTTCACTAGCAATCTCTAGCTTCTAGGGTGCCAATCAGCACTATCGGAATAGCAGCAGTAGCAGAGGTCTCATCCCCTCCCACACCTTCCCATTCCCGCCCACCTGTTCCCAACCCCTCCCTCCCCCTCACCATCCCCTCCCACCCCCTCCCATCTCACCGGCAAACACAGCAGCAGCAGCCAGGGGCCCTACGAGCAGCAGGGGCACAGCAGCGGTGGCAGATGCAAAGTTGAACCCAAAGAAAGCAGCGGACTGGCCGCTGGTGCCCACACGAGTCTTGTCGACCACTAGCGCACGCGTCTTGCAGTAGACAGCGAAGTCCTCACAATTGTTGTCCAGCACGTGGTAGCGCCCAAAGCCCTCTTTTAGGAGCAAACGAGCCCTGCAGGAGTGCAACGGGTGGCAATCGTATCACAAAAAAACCAGCACAAGTCAAAATAAGGGTGTGGCTCTTGCAGTACACAACAAAGTCCTCACAATTGTTGTCCAGCACGTGGTAGCGCCCAAAGCCCTCTTCAGGAGAAAACGTGCTCTGCAGGAGAGCAGAGAGTGGGAATCGGATTGCTAAGAATTTTGGGGCCTCTCTTTAAGCACTCAGTCCTACCTCTCTACATGCACACTCAGTCCTACCTCTCTACAAGCACACTCGGTCCTACCTCTCTACAAGCACACTCAGTCCTACCTCTCTACAAGCACACTCAGTCCTACCTTTCTACAAGCACACTCAGTCCTACCTCTGTACAAACACGTTCAGTTCTACCGCTGCACCACAGCATGCGGGGCATCAGACACAGCCATGCTGCACATGCCGCCTCGCATCTGCAGGAAAAGCCCCCCACCGTCTGTTTGTCATGACATGCCTCGCTACAAGCACACTCAGTCCTACCTCTGTACAAACACACTAAGTTCTACCTCTGCACCACAGCATGCGGGGCATCAGGCACAGCCATGCTGCACGTGCCGCCTCGCATCTGCAAGCAAAAGCTCCCCACCGACACGCCGTAGTCGAATCTGAATAGCGCGCCGCCGTGCAGGAAGCACCGCAGGCACGACGAGATCACGCCGTGGCTGCTGCCCTCCGTGCCACAGGCTCGGCACGGCCCCGAACCTTCACCGCTGGTTGTGGTGGTGCGCTGAAGGGCGGGGGAGACGGAAGCAGCGTAGTCTAGGAGGGCGTTGGAGCCGATCTCGTCTGCCTGCTGCCGCGTGAAGTGAATCACCTCGTCTGCTCCCACGTACACCCCTGGAACAGACAAGCGGTGGGCGAGACGAGAGGGGAGGGATTTGTGTAAAGGCTCGTCGTGCTGCTGCAGATGGCTTCATATGCATCCACGAAAACTACCGGGGTAGAGGGTGAGATGGGAAGAAATTCCGCGTTATGCACGAGATACCATGGTGAGAGTAGGACATGCCGATGCGCCACGAGAAGATGTGGTCGCCCGCCTTCAGCTCGTCTCGCCGCACCTCCGCGGGATGCCACAACCCCCCCGCGCCGATCGCCATGCTCTCCGCGTCGCAGTGCGAGCGTGCTCAAATCCTACATCTATGTCTGCTTCGTCTCCATATGTACAGTACGATTCGATTGATTTAGAGCAAAGAAGCCTCCAAGACAGAAAAAAGTGCTATAACATTCTTCAACTGAACGTGCGACTCGAGAGCTTCAACTACAGTTTCCGGATGTCTGATAAAATCTCGGAAATGACGAAGGGAAGTGTTGTTGGCAGATGCGAGAGCTCTGGCCGACGAGTCACGGTAGAGATGTGTGCGAGTGTCGTTGCAGCAGCTGTCGTGAATCATGATACGCACGACTTTATTGGCGTTACCTTCACCCTCGTTCCGTCGTTGTTAGACATAAAAGCAGCTCACATCGATGCTGTCAAAGGGGTGGGAGAGCTGGACGAACATAGAGAATGTCAGATGTCTGTTCCAAGCAACCTCGATATTGTACCCCTGATGTACGCGATTGAGCGTTTGCTTCAACCCACATGAGATGCTTATACTCTTAAGTGCTCAGCACATAGATGGTACTTTTCTGTAAGTTTCCACCTAGGTTAATTGTGCATCCGTGCACAAAGGCAGCATGATTTGATGAGAAATGGCATTTTATTTACATGAAAGTAATTAAACTTGATACATAATACTGGTCCGTCAATCAGTCCAAGCCCCTCCACACTTGATAATAATACTATAGACTCATTTTTAGAGCAAGCTGTGTTGCAAAGTATTGGTTGCCCGATTTGTGGCGTCAAGTGTATTGCCACCACAGCTGACAGTTATCGAATTGCTTCCCAACCGTTCCGAGAGCCTCGAGATGATCGAGCAGCGGGTGGATGGAGAGTTCGAGATTTCCTTGCTTTCTGCTCGCCTGCGGCTTTCCAGCTGCCCTCACCAGCAAGTGCAGGTAGATCCGTGTCTCGCTGTCAGACGAACAGAGGGGAGCCACAGATCGCACCTTGTTTCTGTTGTGACGCATTCACCAGCACTTAGGTTACAAGCGAGACCTTTCTCGGTCTCGTCCGCTGACCAGTAGCCCTTGACACCGGAATTGCCGCTTACGGCGACAGTTTCCGCTTCCCATTCGGGGTTATCATGACGGCGGCTAGCGGCGTGGGGAGCGCGTCGCGGGTGGGAGCACGTTCCGTCCTCGTCGTGACCTTTGCGTTAGCGTTAACGGCGCTTCTGCTGCTCGGCACGCAGCCGCAGTTCGCGGCGGGATTCAAGGCGCACGAGTTCAAGACATGCGACAAGGCGCATTTCTGCAAGCGGAACCGCAACCGCGAACCCGGCACGTCCACTTTGGCTCTGCGATCCGGCGAAATCAATTCCGGCGGAAAATTCATCGGTGTTATCCGTAACAAGGCTTCCGGAAAACGAAAGGTGGAGCTACTTCTGGAAATGACGGCATATGCGGATTCGACGCTTCGTATGAAGATTAACGAAGATTCGTCGCAGAACCGCTTCGAGGTCCCCGACGTCCTCGAGCCAGGGCTCGAAACCAAGGCCGTGCCGCTCTTCGTGATTTCCGGGACGGCGGCGGAGGGTGACGTGACTCCTATCCACCTGTCGTTCGGCGAGGGTCGGCGCGCAGTGGTGGTGAAAGATCCGTTCGCCGTACACGTGTACCGCGGGGAGGATCTGCTCATGTCGTTCAACGGCAAGGGGCTGTTCGAGTTCGAGCACCGGCGCAACAAGACGGATCCCGCGCACGCGGACGGCGGAGCCGCGGAAGGCGGAGCGGCGGCGGAAGGCGGAGAGAACGTTCTCGAGCAGCCGGTGGAGGGGGAGGGGGAGGCGAAGAGCGACGGCGGAGAGGCGGCGGAGGGGGAGGGGGAGGAGCATGAGGGGGAGATGATGTTGCACGACGGGGAGGACGAGTCGTGGGAGGAGACGTTCAAGGGGCACTTCGACTCCAAGCCGCGCGGCCCCGAGGCCATCAGCTTCGACTTCACCTTCCACGGCGCGCAGCACGTCTATGGCATCCCCGAACGCGCCACCAGGTACTTCTGAAAAGCCTCCTGACCTGGGTAACCGAGGTATAGCCGACTTCAAGTTGCACTGCACGTCTATGCCGTCGTTCGTTGGTGCTCTCAGAGGCCTCGGCTATAACATCATCCCGAATCGGCGGCGGTCAGCTCGTCGTGCCGTCCCGTCTTGTCTGCGGCCGTAGCGCTTGCCACCGCAATTCTAGCTCACAGCAAGTCCGCATTCCATCGGCATGCAGCTCGCCGATGGACCTCTCTCTAAGAACTGCAGCAGTCGCCACTTGGACTGTACGAAATCAATCCATGGCCATCCGTGCCCCCTTGCTACTTCCCCCCTTTCCTCTTCCCGCCCTGGACCTGTTTGAGTACCTGCATGAGTCGCCTTTTGGGCTTTACTGAGTCTTCTCTTGTGCGCCATCCAACCATTCCCCCCTCCCTGCTCTCCCTCCCCCTAATTGCTTTCTTATGCACGTAACATGACAGTCTCTCTCTGCGTCCCACCAGAGGCCCCGGCGTGCACAGCGAGCCGTACCGGCTGTACAATCTGGACGTGTTTGAGTACCTGCATGAGTCGCCGCTTGGACTATACAGGTTTACTCAGCTGTCACTTGTGCTTCTTCCCGGCGTCCGCTCTTTTTCTTTTCACCGCCCATCAACAGCCTCTCTCTGCGCCTCACCAGAGGCCCCGGCGTGCACAGCGAGCCGTACCGGCTGTACAACCTGGACGTGTTTGAGTACCTGCATGAGTCGCCCTTCGGGCTCTACTGAGTCTCCTCTTGTGCACCCCCATCCGTTTCCCCCGCCCTGTTCTCCTCTTTGTCACTCTCTCCCCTGCCTGTCAGCCTCTCTCTGCGTCCCACCAAGGGACCCGGCGTGCACAGCGAGCCGTACCGGCTGTACAATCTGGACGTGTTCGAGTACCTGCATGAGTCGCCGTTCGGGCTGTACGGCTCCATTCCCATGATGCTCGCTCACAGCGCCACGCGCACGGCCGGCATGTTCTGGCTGAATGCGGCTGAGATGTGGATCGATGTGCTGGCCAAGCCGGAGGACGTGACTGTACCGGAGGTGAGGTGAAGTGGTGGCAGATTCTCTGTCTGTGTTTTTGTTTGTTTGTTTGGCTTCCCCCCTTCGGGGGTCGTTCTGCTCTGTAGCATTCAGCAGCAGATGCCTACAATGCACTTCACGTCACACATTCCCTTTTCTCCACGCTCTCGCGTTTGAGTCAACCCCGAAGTCACCTTTTGATTCAACTCAAAACTCCCACCTTTTTGCCAACCAGGTGACGACGCACTGGATAGCGGAGAGCGGCATTGTCGACCTCTTCTTCTTCCTGGGCCCGTCCCCGGCCGGCGTGGTTCGGCAGTACACGGCAGTCACAGGAACCACAGCCATGCCGCAGCTATTTGCAGTGGCGTACCAGCAGTGCCGGTGGAACTACAAGGACGAGGCGGACGCTCTGGCTGTGGACGCTGGGTTCGATGAGCACGACATTCCGTACGACGTGCTGTGGCTTGACATTGAGCACACGGATGGCAAAAGGTGCGTGGGTTCAGAGGGCACGGGATGAGAACAGGGCAGGATATGCTATGCATGATTAGATTAACATGACATCCTGCATGATGTGCTGTGGCTTGACATCGAGCACACGGATGGCAAGAGGTGAGTGGGTTGAGGTGGCGGGGAGGAATAAGGCAAGGAATGCTTTGGTAAGATATGTGTGGGGCGAGAGCATGGCATACTATGCAGATCAGATTCGTGGACAAGGGGCGAAAGATGGTCACCATAATGGGACCCGCACACAAAGCTAGGTGCCCAGGGGTGTCATCCTAATGGGAGGTGTGATTCTCATGTGTTTTGACTTCCACACCACGTGCCTCTCTCTTGCTTGTTTTGCCACCCCCATGCCTGCCTGCCTACCAGGTACATGACGTGGGACTCAACGCATTTCCCCCACCCGGCCGAAATGCAGCAGAAATTGGCCGCCAAGGGGCGCAAGATGGTCACGATCGTCGACCCGCATGTGAAGCCAGTTAGATGTCTGAGGTTTTGAGTCTCATGTGCTTATGCCATGCACCCATGCCTGCCTGCCGTTCAGATACATGACTTGGGACTCCACTCACTTCCCCCACCCAGCTGACATGCGGCACAAGTTTGCGGCCAAGGGGCGCAAGATGGTCACGATCGTCGACCCGCACGTGAAGCCAGTTAGATGTCTGAGGTTTTGATTCTCATGTTCTGATGCCATGCACCGCCCATTCCTGCCTGCCTGACAGGTACATGATGTGGGACTCCACTCACTTCCCCCATCCAGCCGAAATGCGGCACAAGTTCGCCGCCAAGGGCCGCAAGATGGTCACCATCGTGGACCCGCACGTGAAGCCAGCCTAGTGCCTGGAGTTTTGACTCTCATGTGCTTCTCTCTCCCTTGGTCTGCCATACACTTCCCATGCACTACCCTGCCCACACTCGCCCATACCTGCCCTTCAGGTACATGACGTGGGACTCCACTCACTTCCCTCACCCAGCTGAAATGCAGCACAAGTTCGCCGCCAAGGGTCGCAAGATGGTCACCATTGTCGACCCGCACGTGAAGCGCGACGACGGGTACTCTCTGCATAAGGAGGCGACTAATAAGGGGTACTACGTGAAGGACTCCAGCGGAAAGGACTACGACGGGTGGTGCTGGCCCGGCAGCAGCAGCTACTTGGACGTGCTCAGTCCCGAGATCCGTGACTGGTGGGCCGGCAAGTTTGCCTACTCCAGCTATGGCGGGTCGACGCCGAACCTGTACATCTGGAATGACATGAACGAGCCGTCTGTGTTCAACGGGCCTGAGGTGAGGAACGGGCCCTACATGAGAAGCGGGTTCGCTTTGGGCTAGCTGGCTTCAGCTGACTTGCGTTTCAGTGGAGCTGTGGTGAGATGGAACGGAATGGCTGGAGCTTGAGTTGAGTGGTGTGGGTTGTGCAAGCGGCAGCTGCAGCGGGCTGATGATCATTCCAGCTGGAAAGAGCAGGGCTGGGCGGGGCCGTCATCTCTTCCGTGCCCTCTCTCCCTCCCTCATTCCCCCCCCTTCCTCCTTCGCTCCCCATCCCACCACCCCTCACCAAAACTGGATGACGATGCCCTAGGACAATCTGCACTGGGGGAAGTGGAGCACCGCAACGTGCACAACGCCTACGGCTGAGGCAATGTGGCGCCCCTTCCCCTCCCCTTCCCCTCCCCTCCCCTTCCCCTCCCCTCCCCTTCCCCTCCCCTCCCCTTCCCCTCCCCTTCCCCTCCCCTCTCCTTCCCCTCCCCTTCCCCTCCCCTCCCCTTCCCCTCCCCTCCCCTCCCCTCCCCTTCCCCTCCCCTCCCTTCCCCTTCCCCTCCCCTCCCCTTCCCCTCCCCTCCCCTTCCCCTCCCCTCCCCTTCCCCTCCCCTCCCCTTCCCCTCCCCTCCCCTTCCCCTCCCCTCCCCTTCCCCTCCCCTCCCCTTCCCCTCCCCTCCCCTTCCCCTCCCCTCCCCTTCCCCTCCCCTCCCCTTCCCCTCTCCTCCCCTTCCCCTCACCTCCCCTTCCCCTCCCCTCCCCCTTCCCATCCCCTCTCCTTCCCCTCCCCTCCCCTTCCCCTCCCCTCCCCTTCCCCTCCCCTCCCCTTCCCCTCCCCTCCCCCTCCCCCTCCCCTCCCCTTCCCCTCCCCTCCCCTCCCCTCCCCTTCCCCTCCCCTCCCCTTCCCCTCCCCTCCCCTTCCCCTCCCCTCCCCTTCCCCTCCCCTCCCCTTCCCCTCCCCTCCCCTTCCCCTCCCCTCCCCTTCCCCTCCCCTCCCCTTCCCCTCTCCTCCCCTTCCCCTCACCTCCCCTTCCCCTCCCCTCCCCCTTCCCATCCCCTCTCCTTCCCCTCCCCTCCCCTTCCCCTCCCCTCCCCTTCCCCTCCCCTCCCCCTCCCCCTCCCCTCCCCTTCCCCTCCCCTCCCCTCCCCTCCCCTCCACCTCCCCTCCCCTCCCCCTCCCCTCCCTTCCCCCTCCCCTCCCCTCCCCCTCCCCTCCCCTCCCCCTCCCCCCTCCCCCTCCCCCTCCCCTTCCCCTCCCCTCCCCTCCCCTCCCCTCCCCTCCCCTCCCCTCCCCTCCCCCTTCCCCTCCCCTCCCCCTCCCCTCCCCTCCCCCTCCCCCCGCCCCCCTTTTCCCCCCCACCAGGTGACGATGCCCAAGGACAATCAACAATACGGGGGGGTGGAGCACTGCGACGTGCACAACGCCTATGGCTGAGACGATTTATGTGGCCCCCGTCCCCCCCTCCCTCCGTCTTCCCCCCCTTCCCCACCCACCAGGTCACTATGCCGAAAGACAATCTACACTATGGGGGCGTGGAGCACCGCGACGTGCACAACGCCTACGGCTACTACTACCACCTCGCCACCGCCCACGGGCTCAAGATCCGCAACGGGCCGGGCAATCTGGACCGTCCGTTCGTACTCTCCAGGGCCATCTTTGCGGGATCGCAGCGGGTGGGGCCCATCTGGACGGGTGACAACACGGCTGACTGGAACCACCTGAGGGTGTCCATTCCCATGCTGCTCAGTCTTGGATTGGCTGGCATGGGTTTCTCAGGTGTGTAGTGCACTTGTCAGGTGTGCAATCTGGTTCTCAGGTGTTGCTAGCAGGAATAAAGATATGTTACGGGGGTTCTTCAGAGGTGGGTCCCATCTGGACGGGTGACAACACGGCTGATTGGAATGGCACCACCTGCGCATGTCCATTCCCATGCTGCTCAGCCTTGGATTGGCTGGCATGGGTTTCTCAGGTGTGTAGTTCTCAGGCTTGCAGTGCGGCTGTCAGGTGTTTAGTGCGGTTTTCAGGAACGGGAACATAAAGATATGCCATGCGGGATCCTCAGTTCAGCAAGGGGCTCCATGTGGACGGGTGACAACACGGCTGATTGGAACCACCTGAGGGTATCGATTTCCATGCTGCTTAGCCTTGGACCCGCTGGCATGGGGTCCTCAGGTGTGCAGTGCGGTTCCCAGGTGTGCTCATCAGGTGCGAAGATGTGTGACATGAGTTTTATTTACCTCCACCTACTATATTTTAGCAGGAGCAGACGCAAAAAGGTTCATTAACCATCTCAATGAGAAAAAACTCATACGCAGACTCTTGAACCCGTCATCTCAATAGAATTCACACTCGCGCTCCTCCAACCGCCCTCCCTCCCTGCCTCCTTCCCTCCCTGCCCCTCGCACGCACTCCCTCCCTCCCTCCTGCCCTCTCCTGCCGCTCGCACGCACTTCCTCCCTCCTGCCCGCTCCTGCCCCCAGGTGCGGACGTGGGGGGGTTCTTTGGCAATCCGAATGCGGAGCTGCTGCTGAGGTGGTACCAGATGGGTGTCTTCTACCCCTTCTTCCGCGCCCACGCCCACCTCGACACCAAACGCCGCGAGCCCTGGCTCTTTGGGTACGGTTTTTTTTTTTTTTTTTTTTTTTTTTTTTTTTCTTTTCCTGTTGTTCTGTTAATGGTATTTGCCATTTTTATCTAATTGTCTCGCTCGATAATTCTTTCAAAAATGAAACAAAAAAAATCGCTTCACATGCATTGTGCACTATGCATTGCTGCCCTTTCTGATCCTCCCCCTTCACCCAGGCAGCGAGCCCTACACCTTGCACATCAGGGAGGCAGTGCGAGCGTGCTCTGCCCTGCTGCCTATCTCTAAACCCGAAAACCTTCCCCTCCCTCCCCTTCCCTCTCACATCCTTCTTCCTAATGCAGCGAGCCGTACACCTCGCACATCCGGGAAGCAGTGCGCATGCGCTACGCCCTGCTCCCCTACATCTACACGCACTTCTGCACCGCCTTCATGGCCGGCACGCCCCCCATGCTCCCTTACCCCTTCCTGTCTCCTTTCTCCCAAAGGCAGCGAGCCTTACACTTCTCACATCAGGGAGGTGGTGAACACGCTCTATGTACTGCTGTTGCCCTACATCTACACCCTAGTAACCACCCTCTCCTCCCTATCCCCGTCCCCCCCCCCCCCTTGCAGCGAGCCGTACACCTCACACATCTGGGAGGCGGTGCGCACGCGCTACGCGCTGCTCCCCTACCTTGACACCCAAGTAACCCACCCCCTCCCCTCCTCCCCTCCTCCCATGTCCTCCCCCCCCTCCCTTGCAGCGAGCCGTACACCTCACGCATCTGGGAGGCGGTGTGCACACGCTACGCGCTGCTCCCCCACATCTACATGCAGTTCCGCACTGCCTTCACAGCCTGCATGCCCTTCGTTACCCCTTTCTTTCCCCGTTCCCCTTAATGCAGCGAGCCCTACACGTCGCACATCAGGGAAGCAGTGCGCACGAGCTACGCCCGCCCTGCTGCCCTACATCTACACAGTTCCGCACCGCCTTCACAGCACATCCCCCATGCGCCCCTACCCCTTCCTTTGCCACATGCAGTGAGCCCTACACGTCGCACATCAGGGAAGCAGTGCGCACGCGCTACGCGCTGCTGCCCTACCTGTACACGCAGTTCCGCACCGCCTTCACGGCCGGCACGCCCCCCATGCGCCCGCTGTGGTTCGTGTTCCCAGCCGACCCGAACCTCTTCACCCACCAGGACTCCTTCCTTCTGGGGCCCTCCGTGCTCGTGCACCCGGTTACTGTGGAGGTACGCTTGTTACCTGCTGTTCCTGAAAGGCTAGAGTTCCACCCACTCATCTAGGTGAGTGGTCAGCGCCTCTTCACCCACCAGGACTCGTTCCTTCTGGGCCCCTCCGTGCTCGTGCACCCGGTTACTGTGGAGGTACGCTTGTTACCTGCTGTTCCTGAAAGGCTAGAGTTCCACCCACTCATCTAGGTGAGTGGTCAGCGCCTCTTCACCCACCAGGACTCGTTTCTTCTGGGCCCTCCGTGCTCGTGCACCCGGTTACTGTGGAGGTGAGTTATTAACTCCCAGATGGGGACCCATCGAGTTCCCCTCCCCTCCATGCACCTCCATGCACCTCCATGCACCTCCATGCACCTCCCAGCTGCTTTCATCACTTCTGTTCTGCGCCTGGTTTTGGTCCAGGGGGGTTATCGAGTCGCCCCGCTCCTCTCCTTGAATTTTCATCCCCTCTTTCCCCTCGCCTCCTCTCTTTTCTCTCTTCTCCCACCCTTCCCTTTTTCTGCTCCTTCTTCCCTTCCTTCCCATATCCTCGCCTCCCTCCTCTTTCTCCCCCCTGCCTTCCTTCCCGTTTCCCCCATTCTCCCCGCTTCTTGGACTTCAGGGCGCAACGTCAGTGAAGGTTTTGTTTCCGGGTAGCGAGTTCTGGTACGATTTGAAGACCGGGCAGCCGCACGCAAGTGGAGAGAAGGAGCTGCCCGTGTCTCTCTCAACGATGCCGGTGTTCCAGCGTGCCGGCTCCATCGTTCCCCGCAAGGACCGCGCGCGGCGGTCCAGCACACAGATGGGGAAGGACCCTTTCACGCTGGTGAGTGGCGGGACGAGCCTTGCGCTCTAAGAGTGAGCACCTAAATAGAAGAGAAGGGCCCTCTGGGCAGCCGCACGCGAGTGGGGAGAGGGAGATGGCTGTGTCTCTCTCGCGCCCGGCAAAGGCCGCGCGCGGCGGTCCAGCACACAGATGGGGAAGGACCCTTTCACGCTGGTGAGTGGCGGGACGAGCCTTGCGCTCTGAGAGTGAGCACCTAAATAGAAGAGAAGGGCCCTCTGGGCAGCCGCACGCGAGTGGGGAGAGGGAGACGGCTGTGTCTCTCTCGCGCCCGGCAAAGGCCGCGCGCGGCGGTCCAGCACACAGACGGAGAAGGGCCCTTTCACGCTGGTGAGTGAGCAGTGGAGGAGACAATGGTGCATAGGATTTTCCGTCACGCTGTGGAGAGGATTGCGGGGGAACGAGTGGATAAATGAAGGGTCCATGCGTGGTGGTGGGTGAGGGCAGCAGCCCTGGTGAGGTGAGGTGCGCGCAAGTGGAGAGATGAAGCTGCCCGTGTCTTTTAAGACGATGCTGGTCTTTTAGCGTGTTGGCTCCATTGTTCCCCGCAAGAGGACCCTTACACGCTTGTGAGCAGCACAGGAGTTGCAGAGCAGTAGAAGGACCCACTTGGGTGAATGGTGAGCGTTGAAAGGAGCCCTGCGCTCTAAAACTGATACTCCATTCTGACGTGTTTGAGAGGTAAACGAGAGGCGTGCTTACCCTTGACAGCAGAGGTGACTTTTGAGTCGACTCAAAAGTCACTCCCTTCTGACCTGTTGGAGAGGTAAATGAGTCATGGTTACCCTTGACAGTGCGCTTACCCATTGCATCGGCGCTGCTGTCAAGGCGCGCTTACCCTTCTCAGCAGCGCCCATGTAATGTTCTGAAACGTCTCAAAACATGCTGTCAAGTTGCGCTTACCCTTGTCAGCAGCGCCCATGCAATGCGAGGGCTGGGGCGCGTTTTGAGGCGCCTTCATAAGTCGTTCTGACCTGTTTGAGAGGTAGATTGATCATGGCTACCCTTGACAGCAGTGCGCTTGCAATGCGACGGCGAGGGCGCGCTCAACATCGGTGACAGCAAGTGCTGCATGCACTCAACCATCGACGACAGCAAGTGATGCATGCACTCAACCATCGACAACAGCAAGTGCTGCATGCACTCAACCATCGACGACGGCAAGTCATGCACTCAACCATCGACGACGGCAAGTCATGCACTCAACCATCGACGACGGCAAAATCATGCACTCGCTTGCTAGAAGGGCGCCTTCATCCACCACTGCCTCCTGATTGCATTTCATCCCCTTCTCACTCCCCTCCCCCCCCCCATCAGGTCGTGGCTCTCAACAGCAGCATGTAAGCAGAGGGCGAGCTGTACATTCACGATGGAGAGCCGTACACATTCCGCTTCCTGATCGCGTTCAAATTCAGTCTTTCTTCTCTTTCCCATGGCAGGTCGTGGCTCTCAACAGCAGCATGGACGCAGAGGGCGAGCTGTACATTGACGACGCAAGTCCCACGCTTTCCACGTCCTGATTGCATTCGAATCCCTCCCTGGTTCCTCCCTTCTCCATTAGGTCGTGGCTCTAAACAGCAGCATGGACGCCGAGGGAGAGCTGTACATCGATGACGGCAAGTCGTACGCCTACGAGAAGGGAGCCTTCATCCACCGTCAATTTCTCTTCTCCAACGGCATCCTGCGCTCGCTCCCGCACCCCGATGACGTGGCGGCGTCCCATTCGCTGGGAGCGCAGCGGCAGGCATTTGAGACGCCGTGTGTGGTGGAGCGCGTGGTGGTGTTTGGGCTGCCGGCTGATAAGCTGGCGAGGAGCCGAGAAGCAGTGGTAGAAGGGACAGGGGTGCGAGTGGAGGTGAGTCAGGAGAGGGTGTTTGGCGGGTATGGTTTGAGACGCCGTGTGTGGTCAGGAGAGCGTGCAGTGCGCCATAGTTTGGGTTTGAGACATTGGGGTGAGCGGGGGCTGATGTTTGGGCTGCCGGCTGATAAGCTGGCGAGGAGATGAGAAGCAGTGGTAGAAGGGACAGGGGTGCGAGTGGAGGTGAGTGGTTGAGAGTGGTTGGATGGTGTTTATCTGGTATTGTTCTGGCGTGTGATGTGCTGCGGTTTGGGTTTGCGAGACCGTGTGTGGTGGAGTGGGTGGTTGAGAGGGTGGTGGAGTGGGTGGTGGAGTGGGTGGTGGAGTGGGTGGTTGAGAGGGTGGTGGAGTGGGTGGTGGAGTGGGTGGTGGAGTGGGTGGTGGAGTGGGTGGTTGAGAGGGTGTTGGAGTGGGTGTTGGAGTGGGTGGTGGAGTGGGTGTTGGTGCGGGTGGAGTTGTTTGGGATGCCTCAGGAGAAGCTGGCGAGGAGCCGAGAAGCGCTGGTGGAGGGAATGGGGGTACAAATGGAGGTGGGTGAGGCGAGGTTGTTTGTTGGGTAGGATTTAGGCATACTGTGCTCATTATGTGCCATGATGTGCTGCTGGGCTTTCCATGGTTTGTACTGTATGCCCTGAGAATCGTGGTGCCTGTGGTCTTCCTCCTTCCACACAAATTTCTTCCACCCACCCTCTCCTTCCCACCCTCTCCTTCCTACCCTCTCCACCCCATCCTCTCCACCCCACCCTCTCCACCCCATCCTCTCCATCCATCTCATGGGAGTGGGCCGTGAGGCCAGGCTGCAGTTCTTCGGCAACGGTGCCCTCCTCATTTCTTCAACAACTCATTATCATCATCTACCCTCTGCTCCTTCCATCTGCAATCCAATCCTCTCCCTCCATCTCCAACCCTCCTCTTCTCATTTCGCGTTCTCTCCTTCCTTTCGACGCCTACCCTCACAGCACACCTGCTTGCAGGATGAGGCAGGCCCGGCAGCATGGCTGCGTCTAGGAATGCTCTCCCTTCATTATCATCACCAATGCTCTTGCATGTCCACTCCATTTCCCTCCCACCCTCGTGGCATGTCTGCTCGCAGGAGGAGGTCGGTCCGGCATGGCTGCGACCAGGAGTGCCCTCCTCAGTGCTCGTGGTCAGAGCGCCACGTGTGCCTATCGCCTCTGATTGGTCCATCAAGATCTTTGATGCATAAAAGAGCGCATTTGGTTGAACATTGCGGATTGACTCTTGACGTGTGTAGAATCTAAGGGTACATTCCCGGAGCCCGTCACAAAAGCCTCAGGTCTCAAAGGATGAGATAAAGTGCGGTGGAAACGTTCTATACTTCGGCGTAATGTGGTGTAGAGCGGTACAATGATATTGTGATGCCTAACTAAAATGAAGACATGTCTTCGCAGGGCTCCGGTATACATTCGAAAGGAGGGGTTCAAAATCTTTAGGAACTTGAAAAGTTGCCCCAAAATCGTGAGGCTGTTAAGGAAAACTCCTTTTCCTTACTTCGCGTCCCCGCTCAGCGCGTACACCACTGTAGCACCACAGTCAGCACCGTTACCACTCGCAACCCTCGCATCGACAAATCCCCCCGCCACCTTCGCACATCGCACCCCGACCTCACGGCTCGGCGGGTAACCCGCGCTCCGGGCCTCCGCTTCGACATTTTCCTCAGTCCCAGGCCCGTCGCGCGACAACCACAGTCCATTACCGTTACCACTGTAGTTTCGCTATATATTCTTCGCTCATGCCTTCGCTCATTGTACTCTTGCTTCGATAGTGCAATTCTCGCTCGCTCACTCAATTGCACTCATAACACTTGGTATTCATAGCCTACGATCTCTTCTCGGACCGCACCCACACCTTCGCTTCCTAACTATCTCAATTTTTGGGGGGGGTAGACGTCTCTCAGCGACACAGCACCGCCGCTCGTAGTGCTCTCTCGTAAGCACGCACGGCCACGACAGAGGCTCTCGCTGAGCTTGCCCAACACCCCCGCCATGGCCGAATTCACGCTCGCGACGTTGACGCAGGAGCAGCTTGACCGTCTCGTGCGCCAAGTTGAAGAATCGGCGCTCGAAATTGCGACGCTCACGGCGGAACGTGACTCCGCGCGTCAGCAATCCACGGTGAATACTCCAGCGCCACCACACGCACCGACAAATGCATCTGCACAATCGGACGAGCCGATCGTCATTTCGTCCGGCACACTAACACAACACGACAGCGTGGGACAGCGCTCAGGTGCAGCCAGTGATGGCGCCGCCCAGCCGATGCCTGGCATGGGAGGGAACAGGGTCGCACCAAGCCTCGTGAAACCCTAAACCCGTCGTTTCATTTTACGCCGTCCGAGACCGGGGTCCTACTACGGACATCGTCCTCGGGGACCGATCGAGCACGCCACCGTACATGCCGTTGCGACGAATGCAGCTGCCGCGCCGTTTAAGGGGCGCTGCTTTGCTTGCAACAGGTCGGGCCATCGCAAGAGTGAATGCCCAGAGGAGCTGAGGCGCCGCGGAGCAGAGCAGGGGAGGGAGTCTCCAAGGCAGGGAAACGCCAGCAGTCAGTAGGAATCGGGCCAACTACTGACGAGACTGCCTGCTCGCCCAACCCCACCGACCCTCACTGAGTCACAGTACCGATTCATGCTATCGATCGGGCTCGGACGAATAAGGAGGGTACAGCGACGGATTGCCCAGTATTGATCCACGGGAAAATACAGGGAGCAGCAGTGAAGATTTTTATCGACGGAGGAGCAAGTCACAGTTTAGTTAATACCGCAACCGCACGCAGATTGCAACTAACACTTAGCCGTTGTTTACCTGAGATAAATGCACGCTTAGTTGACGGCACTCCACTGGCCATACGGGAAAGGGTGGAGAGAGTCAAAGTCCGCTGCGGGGGGAAATTCGGATTTACACAGGAAATGCTCGCGACGACACTCGATGGGCACGACATTTTACTAGGACGTGATTGGCTGCGACGGTATAACCCGCGAATTGACTGGACGACGGGTAGCTGCACTGTGCGAAGTAGCGGTAACTGGGTTGAGCTACCTCGCTGGCAGTCGCCCGAGTCTTCAACGGTACGCGTCAACGCCGTCACCATGAAACGGGCT